CAAAGAGAGGCATAAGGAAGAAGAGGAAGAGACTAGAGAGATTAGAGTATTTCAGAGAGCAATGACTCAGAAGAAAAAAAACTAAGTGAAGGATAGGCAATAAGCTATCAATAGGGAGTTTTTATAAGGGGCATTTGTGATTGGGTTTCAAAATAAAGATATTAGTGAATAAATTAAGTGAGCCAGGGGTAAAGCCGCCAATTTCCCTACAATGTATCATCTACACTTTATCTCATGTGGTGGTATGCAATATATTGGAACTAATGCGAATAAGCCAACATGTTTTAAGCACTCTATATGGTGCAATTGCTTTAAATTTAAACAATTGATGAAAACAAAAGTAAATTTACAACTAAATGTGGAGCAAGTGACATCAAATGTGTAAGTTGATTAATAATGCAAGATGAAAATACATAAATTTTTTGATACACACCTGTCATATTTGATAGACACAAAATTTACTTAAAATCAGAGTTCCCATTAAACTTCAAACAACAGTAAAATATGAAGAACAAAAAATAGAACAAAAACACCCACATATATTGTATGTTACAAAATAAACTAGGTTACACTTGATGTTGTTCTATCTACAAATTAAATTAAATTTAAAAAGTGGGCTTTAACGGGTCAACACGATCCATGATCAGCCTTGCCGTACTAGGTCTTACTTAATTGGATCAAATTTGTGCCGTGATCGGGGCAGCCCAATTTGTTTGATACCTTTAGATTGAAAAGGTGATTAAAAAAAATGGAATTAGAGGACACATAAGAATCGCCGTGGGGAAGAAGGCATGGTATTACCATTTTTCTTATTAAAATTTTTAACAAGATGGTAAGAAAATTATAAATTTTTCTGGATAAATTGAAGGAAAATGAAAGTCAATACCTTTAATAAGGGTAAACTTGGAAAACCAAAGTTAGCTTGTTGTGGTCCAAATGACAACACTTCTTCTAAGTACAAGATATAGTCTAAATTAGGAATGATCTATTAGAAATATGCCCTTAAAGTCAACTAATTATGTAATAGTTAGAGTTAAGGATATCTTTGATAACAAACATATTATGTTATCAATGGACAAAAGATGTTGTTTTATATGTTAAATCATCTTATATTATCTTTTAATATGTAGAACAATCATAGTCCGAGGAATACATAAGTGGATATGAGAGCTATGTAATGAGATTGCATACATGAAGACTTCTCATCATCCCTAAATCCTGAATATGTTCCTGGTCATAGGAATATTGATTGGGCGTCAATATTCCGTAGAGACCAGTACACACAGTATCGTCTCTATATGTATGGAATGGCAAGGTCTCAAGTCATTAAGTGTAGAGACACATCGATATGTGTGTAGATGCTTGTAGAAGAACAAGTACATTGAACGCGATCCAACACATGAGTTACAGCATAGAAGTCTTTACTCACATGTCAAGCTGGAACTCATAAATTGCAATGGTGGAAACTAATCCTTAGACCTGAGGCATCATAGATGTTTTGTGGCTATGTTGTTAATCTTTGAGGGCACTATATGGTCATGCTGAATTAGTCATAGCTTAAAGGTGCTCATCAAGATTCTCAATAGAGTCATGGAAGCAAATGAATGTACAGTAATGAATCTCTACTCTTAGTAAATGAGAGAGAATACTCCAAGATATGATTGGTCAAATATCTACGCAGTATAGTGGATAAGACTTGAAAGAAGAAGTCTTCAAATCTTACTAGGATAATCATATAAAAGGGATGATTCACATTAGGATAGTGACAATTGAATTCTATGATATAATAATGTGAATAAGGAGTATTGACATAAGAGAAGGATTCAATTGCACGGTCGTTCCAATTTGAATAGGTTCTTTCACAACGTCTCATTTGGCTCGGATAACAGTGACTTGTTGCTAGACGACAACCATGGTTTGTGGATGCCCTAAAAGGTTTCAATTAACCTTTATTAATAGGAAGAATTAAATTGTGGAATTTAATTCGTATATCATCTCTGAGGAGTTGTGTCAACCTACTACCTTGCTAAAGGGAACTTACGGATCTGCACACCCAAAGAATGTGATTAGAGGTACAAATGAGGAGAAATGAAATAATTAGACACAAGTCAATGGTTGATAATCAAATATCAAAGTCAACGGGCAAAAGTCAACATATTAACAAAAGCAATTGACCAAAGTCAAATAGTTCGACCGGATCAATTAAGTAAGACTATAATTATAATTTAATAGTTAAATTATAATTAAAAGATTAAGTATGGAATTAATATTGATATATAGAAATATTGGATTGGACTTTTAAATATGATTTAAAAGGAAATGGACAAAATAGCCCAAAAAGCTATTGGGCCCAAAGGATAAGTGGCATAAGATGACATGACCCATGGACCAAATGGAGCCCCAAATACCCACCCAAATTTTGGCAACTAAGGGGAAGCTCTCCCCTTGCCTTTTGTGTTGTCCTACATAAGGTAAGCGTTGGAGAAAAACTAGATAGGGTTTTGGGTTTCTACTTTGGTTGATGAGTGATCATCTTTATATCTCATCTTCCATAAATCAAAAATTGGTCCAATCAAAAAGTAGAATAGCACCTATTCTTCTTGGTTGCCTTCTCTTCATCTCTAGGAGCATTTGGTGTGGTGAGGTAGAGGACTCTAATCTTGGAGCCTTAAGGTGAGGAGTCAAAATCAAGAGAAAGAAAAGACCTTTCCAACAAAGGTGTTCATTCTTGAGAAAATAAGAAAAGGTTATCAAGGGTAAAGATTTATTCTCTTTTCCCTCTTTCTATTTGTGTTCAAAGAGACTAGGCTAAGATACCTCGTTTAAAATAAAAGAAGTTTAGCTCAAGTAGTATAAACAAAATGAATCCGAAATTTAGAATGTTTTTGTTGTATAGGTTGTGGCTAAAGTTCATTTCTTAAGCATTAGATGCATGTTTCCTTCATGATCTCAAATCAAGAACCCTGAATTTTCTAATCAATTGAGAACCAACTGACAATTCGTGGTATGACTATATTTGGGACCAGTCTCGACCCAACAGAGGTTTGTTAACCATGACTTGGTCAGACTGACTATGCGATCAATATCACCAAATACAACCACCACTAAATTGGGCCTAAAATTCAGCAAAAAATCCCATGTGAAATTCGAATCCCTAATTTCAAAACCCAAAATTGACAAATCCCAATTCAATTGTATCATTGAGAGAGAGAGAGAGAGAGAGAGAGAGGAGAGAGAGAGAGAGAGAGAGAGAGAGAGAGAGAGAGAGAGAGAGAGAGAGAGAGAGAGAGATGAGTAAATTAGTAATAAAAAAATTGCATTAAATGTTATCTCAAATGCGGGGAAAAAGTTTCTCAAGGTGAACAAGGGTATAAAGTTCCCTATACATAGGAAGCTTATACCCATGAGTTTAGTATTGCATTCTCATTACTTTTCTACTCTTAAAACTTGAACCAAAAGGTGTCTTAAAGGTAAGCATATATACTTGTGGGGAATGATCTTGATGGCCTTGAAAATTACTTCTTGAACCCTGAAATTTGAACAAGAGAAAGAAAGAATTGTGAGCCTTTGAACACAAGAGCCTCAGATGCCCGAATCAATTCTCCTATCAAGAATTAGTGTTATTCTGAATAAAGAGAGTGTTACTCATGTATATGACGGAGGTAGGGTTTTATATTTCCTCTGAGTGGTTGACTTTTCGTCGTAAGAGGTTTGGCATTATTGGGGCGTTCTTGCCTGTAATATCACACATCTAGTCAATTAGCCGCTTGACTTGGGATGTGCAAAATATTTGCTCAAATTGTGCAGACATGATCTCCTAGATTGTTGTGGCAGTGATTAGGATATCTGAGTGGATTAATGCTGATCTGTTTTATAGGCGTGCTGCCTAAGATTTAGTCCTGTTTGGACATTCTTTGTTGGCCTAGCAAGGCCTATAGGTTCGCTTGGCCCTATATGACTAATCTGGGTGCATGAGCGGGCTCAAGTGGAGCCCACACCCCTTATCATTTATGGTTGAGAAAACTACCTATACTGGTTAGAAATCTATGACGTCATTTTTCCCACATTAATGAAGATGGGACATGTTGTTGATTTTTGCCCTTCACTTTAACTCAACGTGTACTCTCATCACCATTCTCAACCCTTGGCATGTGTTCATGGGCATAACCATGGTTCTATAAATACAAAATAAATAGTTAACTATAGTTATGCCAATGGACATATATCAAGTGTTGATAAGGGTGATGAAGATACACCTTGAGTTAAGGTGGTGGGTAAAAATATTTCCTTTTTTTTTTTAAGGGTATTAGGTCCTAACAACAAACTATGTACACGTGGCTTACACTCATTGTCACATAATTATTTTCTCCAACAATAAAAGAGAGTGGGGGAGAGAGAAAGCAGCCTTATTGGTATTTCATGAACTTTCCTTCCTACGTCCCAAAGTTTTATATTTACAAAAAAGTTATTTACATTAACACCACCTGAATTTTTTTTTGTATTTTCACAAAATCCCTCATGTCTCAAAACTACATGAACACCCTTTGAAGTTTCAGTTTGTTTTCACAAAACCTTTTTTGTTTAATATTCGTTAAAAAATTAATGATTTCATGGAAAATAAACTTATGCAAATGACAAAATTAACCTTAATGAATATATACAACAATCTCAATCTCAAAGGTCAACTTTGTCATTTGTTTTTTTTTTATTTTGACGAAAAATCAATGAAAAAGGGTTTTGCGGAAACAATTTAAGTATTGATGTAATTTCTGAAACCTCAGGGGTTTTGTGAAATATTCAAAAACCTCAGGAGTGTTAGTAATTTCTGAAACCTCAAGGGTTTTGTGAAATATCCAAAATCCTCAGGAGTGTTAGTGTAAATATCTCTTTACAAAATTGTTTCTGACAATCACAATACACGCATAGCCTAACAACTCTCGACCACACACGGGCGCGCGCTCTCTCTTTCTCTCTCTCTCTCTCCCCCCCTCCCTCCTCCCATGGCTGCCTCTGGTTCCAAGCCCCATCCTCCCTCTAGTTCCAAACCTCCCAAAAACCCCATAACCCTCAAACCCACAAATGAAACCCAAACTCCAAACCCTAACCCTTCCACCTCCAAAATCCCTCCTATCCCACCCTCCCAAGAGGAAATCGCTCTCTCAGACGCCTCCCACCTCACGCGCCCGGAGGTCCTCCGCCGCCGCTCCTACTTCTTAAGGCAGCTCAGAAAATTCTACAAATCCAAATACTGGGCCTTCATGGAGGAGGTCAAGAAGAAGCACAGGGAGTTTTACTGGAACTTCGGTGTGAGCCCTTTCAAAGATGAGCACAAGAGCGATAGAGACGCTGCTGGGAATGCTGAAGGCACTGATGAGAACAATAACAACATCAACAGCAATTTCAACAACAATAATGGTGGTGCTGCGATTGCTCGGACCGACGTCGATGCGAAAAAGAAACTGCAATGCTCTTATCATCAGTGTAAGACGAAGGCCATGCCGTTGACGAGCTTTTGTCACCTCCATATTCTATCGGATTCGAAGCAGAAGCTCTATAAGCCTTGTGGGTTTGTTATCAAGAGGTAATTTGCTATTTCTTGTATTGAAGTTTGGTTCTTTTGGGTTAATTCTTTGATGGGTATATCTTAGTTTGTGAGAGCGCTTCTGGGTTTGTCATCAATTGATTGAATAGCCTGATATTCGTGCATTAGAATCTTTAATACATGTAAATTGTAGTTTATGCTAGCTATTGATTTTTAACTGTTATGAGGGTTTTGTTTTTTATTTATTTTGTCATTGTGGGCATCAACTTCTTCAGTATTTAAGGAGATTAACTTTAGTTTCATTCATTTGGATTGGAAAGCTGTAATTTTGTAATGTGTTAGGCTATCTAGGTGTTGTTCTTTGTTTTGGGGCTTGTGTGGCCCTCTTGGCCACCCACGTTTTGTTCTCTTTTCAAAAACTAGGCTAGCCGTTTATCAAATTTACTTTGAGTTTCGTAGCTTAATTCTATGATGGCTATTTGATATTCAATGAGAGTGGGCTTCTGTGCTTGTTTGGATTGGTGGAATAATTTTTAGCTGTGTAAGAATTGTTTATGATGCTGCTTTCAGGATTTGATTGTTTTTATTCCTCCATTTTCTAATAGGTTTCTAATTTTCTGAAAAATAGCTTCTCCAGAAGAATGTAATTAATTGGGAGAGAAAGATACAGCTGTCAGTTATATTGTACTTCAGTGTTGCCATTTATAAGATCAGCTTTACCTTAAATAAAATTAATTCTTGTTTCTATGGATGGTTGTTTGTATTCACTTATTTGGCTGTTATTAAAAGAAAATAAAAATGGAAATCTAGCTTTTCTGGCCTGGCATTGATATTGTAAAGTTTTTACTGTTGTTATTGTGCTCGTACAATAACGCTCAAGCACTTAGCAGTTAGTAAGTTACTACAGTGTTTGGCCTACCCCACAATATAATTTCATAATCCGAACCATTTACCTTTTAGGTCCTCATTCAAAAATCCTCCCAGCAAAATTTCATCCTAATAGGAACTGGTTCAGTCACTTGATTATTGTGATGAACATATCCTTGTTCATTGAAAATGTTGTGTTCATATATTTATTTGCTTACAGTTTAATAACTAAATGTTCTTTGATTTGAGTAAATATTTGCAAGGATGATCTTTCAAAAGATCTAAAACGTGAACGGTTCAAATTGTGAGATAGATTGTGGAGTGGGCCAGAACAAGTGGTTAGCATCATATTAAGTTACTAACTGGTTAGCACTTGAGCGTTGTACCTTTGTTTTCTGATAACTGTTGGAACTTGGGGCTAAAAATCTTGTGGTTGAGCTTTTTTAAGTGTAAAAAAATTAAAAGGATGTTCTAGCCTTTTAGGAAAGTCACTTCGCTTAATTGTAAATAAGACATAATGCAAACATTAATAATTAATGTTGGAAGTTTCTGATGCAGGACAAAGATTGGTCTAATAGCAATTGGTGTAGGACAAGGTGATAAAACGAGAGGACAAAGATTGTTCTAATAGCAATTGATGTAGGTCGAACAAGTAGAAATTTAGGGTAAACTCAAACCAATATTCTTATCAGGGTCTTATGACAAGAAGAGTGATGATAATGATTTTATCTGAGACACAGACCTGGCTCTACAGAATGGAATTTTTAAACTGTTAGTATGCAACACAAGGCAACTTGTGGCAGATTGGAGAGATTTGATTTGAGTTTTAATTTTTCTTCTAGCAGAGTGGGAGGAGGGTTTTGCTCATGTCAGGCAAAAGTCCTTTGCTCAGGTGGCCTCAGATCATTTTATATATGTTCTGGATAAAAATAATGTGAATTGGGACTGTGGGCCCTTTAGGTTTGAGAGCCTGCGGTTAGAACATCATTGGTGTTTCAAGGAGTTGCAGGAGAAAGGGGTGATCAAGAGTGGCAAGGCGTTAAGTTCATTAGGAAATTGGGAGAGGATCGGGGAATGGAATAAGGAGGTAAATGGGGATCAGGGAAGGAGAAGGAGGTGGAGATGAAAATCAAGGAGCTCAATGTGCTGGAGGAAAGGAATTGCTTAAGTTTTGAAAAGGGGAAGGGAAAAGGCCAAGATTCAATTGGCAAAAGGGGGAAACCAAATACTAGTATCATAAATACAACATCTTTGCAACATAGTTTTAGCAGAAACAACAATCCAGTATGGCTCATATTGTACAAGAGTTTGAATGGCACTGACATAAGGAGTTCGAGGATCTTCTCCTCACATCCAGGAGTTGGAAATAATTGATGTAACACTTAATCTGTAAAACAACATGTAATGTGATCAATAGTAACTAAGAAAACAACTTAGCCCATGATCCAGTGCTGTTAGTTCTTGATGTGATGAGAACAAATCGCAATATTGCTGCACAGGCAAGTCTCACGACTGTCTGCTTTAGCCTTTAGCAAGCAACAGGTAGGTTGACTCTTTTTTATTTTAGTTTTGTTTGTTTGAAACAATGTGCCCTCCAGCCCCTGCGTGTAGAATGCATGCACGACCATTAAAAAATGGTCAGTTAGCTGCTGCTCAAGACGTACAACTTATGACCAGGAGCGTGACAAGCTTATGAAGGATTTGATCAATTGTAGAGCAGGGTTTCCAAGTTGGATTTAATACCAATGGTTGCGTGGCAAAAACTGTTCTGATATTAGTTGTTGTTGGAGTGGGGAAGAAATTCAGATAAAGTAGGGAGAATAGGGAGAAAAATTAAAACAAAGCTAAACTTCAAATCAATATTCTTAATCAATTTTAATTAACAATGTTAAAACCCCATGTCTCTTTTGGTGTACTTAATCTGGATTCGGTGGGACCTTTATGCTGATTATTTTAAAGTGCTTATTGAGCTTTTGTTCTAGGTCTCTCCCTCCTCCCACCTCCCATGTCTATATTCTCTTGTGTCTTCTCTGTTTTAATAAATTTTTCGTTTCCCATAAAAGAAGGTTCTAACTCCGAAGATATGTTTGAAAAATGCTTATAGTCATGGACCTTATTATAGTAGACTAGTATTCATATATCATTGATTGGACACAAACGAAATATGGAAGCTAGTAGCATGACCGTTGGTGATTTCAAATGCATAAGCGTGCATAGATTTTGAAATGCTATAAATGTGACAACTGGTGCACGCAAAGAGGATGGCGGTTTACTTTGAGATAGAATTAGATATTTGGTTTTCCTATAGGTGTCGCGGTTATTTATGGATATCTGTCTTCACTTGTAGTTTTTCTTTATTTTTTATTAGAGTTTTTTTTCTTGTCCAAAAAAAAAAGTTGACGAGTTAGGTTAAATAGAAAAAGATAATTTGTCACTGAGGGCAATCACTTACTTTCACCCCTATTTCTTTAGTTGGGATGGGCTGATTAATTGTGCTATTAAATGTGAAATAGTTCATGTCCTGTGGAATTGTAGCATTATCATAATATTTTCAAGTAAGTTGACAGATGTTGAAAAAGGCTATTTAAATATAGAACTAGTAGGTGCTATTTCTTTGCTGCTCTACCTCCTCCAGATAGATCATTTGAATAAGCTTATTGTCAGTAAATACACCAAGCATTAGTTGTCCAACTTTTTTATTTCTTTGTTTATTTTTTGTATATTGTACCATCATATGACTGGCAGAGATTGATTTTTCAACTAACATTTTTGTTAATTAATTGGTTTTTATCATCTAGTGCTCATACAGGACCTCTAACCTGTGGGAAGCCAATACTGAGATCCACTGTTCCTTCTCTTTGTACTCATCACTTCCAAGTGGCTCAGAAGGCTATCAAAAAGGCCTTGAAGAAGGCAGGCCTTAATGGGCCATCAACAAATAAGCTTGCTCCAAAGTTTCATGTCATAGTAGCAGAATATGTACGCCAAATTCAGGCCAAACGAAGAGCTGCACAAAGGGCAAAGGGAAAGAAAGTCGCAATTAAGGAAGAAACCTCTGACTGAACCTCTCCACTGGCAGCTGCACAGATGATTCATCGAGTATTGTTGATTGTGTGAAATGATGGAAAACCAGAGGTGTGTTGGTCTCTCTCTTTCTTCTAAATAGTATAAGCAAATATGAAAAAGAATTGAGGGGAGAGTGGATTTGAATTTTAAAAGCATCAGGTTAAGGTGAAAAGAGGTATATTATAGTTTTGGGCTGTCCCATGGAGCATATGAGTCAGTTCTTTTGTATAGAATTTTAGTCAATTTCTTAGGGTTTGTTTCTTTTTCCTCTTTTTTTAACTTTGACCGTGGACATGCTTTAGATAAATTATTTTACAGCATTTCCAGTATGGTTGTTTCCAGTTTAGAAATTTGTTTGTTTCTGTGAAACTTAAATTTTTGGATTAATTAATTTCGTGGAGCAAAGCTAATATGAGATCCTCTTTTTTTAACTTTGACCGAGGACATGCTATAGATCAATTATTTTACAGCATTTCCAGTATGGTTGTTTCCAGTTTAGAAATTTGTTTGTTTATGTGAAACTTAAATTTTTTGGGTTAATTAATTTCGTGGAGCAAAGCTAATACTACTTATCTCACATTTACAGTTGTAAATAAAGTACCTTTATCTGACTACTTTTTAGCTTTATAAGAAAACAACTATGGCTTTAAGCGATGTAACCAGCCCATGTAATGTTGATTGCTATCATATGTAATATTTGGAGGCAGTGGATTTTCATGAGGATGGTGAAAATTATTTACCAAATGAAAACAGAGAAAAATAACAAGAGGATGGTAGGTGGTCATAAACAAATTAGAAGGGATGTGGGATGTATGTGTATGTAGAGGATTTGGGTCAGCAGATGTTTTACCTCCGTAATAATACCAAATTGTGTTACAGTCCCAAAAATATTTATATCAGTCATAAAGCTCAACAGTTTGGTCCAAAATTTATTTACTAACTGTGAAAAAAAAACTGATATTAGGATGGACTTGTACTTTTCTTCTCGTACAACTCTTAAACCTCAGATTTCCTCTTTTTCATGTACAATCCTTTTTGTGATTCACATGATCCTTCGTTGTTGCATTCAGGACAAGTCTTAATTATTCCCACACCTCCCACAATTGACTTTCTATTTTCTCCTTTTGATTTACTTTTTTTAACTGTCTTTTAATTTCTTTCTATTGGTAACAAACTCCTTTTATACTTCAGACTAAGATCTATTGCTGACCAAGCTCTATATGCATACTTTTGTTTATTTGGTTGAATGTAATGTAATTTTCATTGCATTGATAATTAGCACTGTATTTTTTTTCTTATGTATTTTCATAATTTGTGTGTCATCCATCCATAAAGCACGGTGCATGTCTATAACTCCTTATGAATTATTTCTCTGTCAACCACCATTAAAACCAAGATCATTACTGTAGTATGCTTTTTCAGGTGTCAAATCTGCATTTTGCAGTAGGAACAAGACTCAGAATCGGAACGTGCTCAGAATGAAATGATGCATTTTGCAGTAGGATACTTAAATGTGAATTTCTTGCTTTCTTTTTTCTTTTCATTTTTGGGTTATATGTGCATGACCAAGAGCTTCAAGACATTAACAGCGTGATTTGGATTACATATTGCCCCGGCAATCAAAGTTTTGCACTTGATACTTGCCTAGAATAGCTGGGAATCCCCTAGTTCTGTACAGTTAATTCATAATGTGAAAAAGGCGTTGTAGAAACCGTGCGTGTGCAGTTGCGCCTTGCTCGTACATGTATGTATGGGTTTGTTTGGCGTGATTTTTTATTTGAGCTGGTGTAACGCAGTTAGCAGGCACAAACTTCGCCCGTGTTCCTTTAAAATTATGGTCATGTTCTTTCTTCTGTTCGGGCTTGAAGGATAAAGAAATGAGATATTAGTCTGCTTTGGAATTTGTTGTGCATTTCCGGCGTGTTTTGCCCCCTTTTACTTGGAAGTTGAGACAGATGACAGAGTCTTGATCCATAGGTCCATCTGCATACAACTGATATCATACGAACAACCAACCTTCAATTTGCACAATTCTTTATATCTTTTTCTTCGTTTAGTTTCCTGTGCTTTTCAGTTTCATTCCTTAGCCCCTTATTTAGCTGTGTTGGAGAGAACCTTAAACATTGGAACTCGAATTCAAGAATACTTTGGTGGCATGTTCACTTGGAATTGGGGGAGTTATCTGGGAATCGGGCGGTTATGGGATCAACTACGCCTGCATAATTAATCTAAATCTTGGTTTTTCAGGTATAGATTACGGATTTTAATGCGGAACAGGTATAATTCATTATGTATCACTAAGCATGGGCGAAGTCAGGAGTTATAATTATTTTAATAGGTGGGATTTGGTTGTTGGAATGGAGCCTATTTGGGTTTGGAAACAGAAGAGGATCCGGGTAGCTGCCGGATTGAACTTGTAGGTCGAACTGGCCAATTAAAGGACCCGGGCTGACCCGACTCATTTAAATTGGGCAAATTCATGCTTCGTTTCACAATGCAAGCCTATTTGTTCTCATAAACGGACCGGGGCTACAAGGCTATGTATTTTGGCTTTTGTAGAGTTTGAAAATTATTTTATATAAATTTTTTTTTAAAAAATCTAAGAATTAGATTTTTTTTTTCTCTACTTGAAAATTTGAATTTGCTTGTTGAGCATATATTACAGTTTGGGTATGTGGTCATGGTCAATTGAGGCTCATATTATCTAGTCCAATCATATCAGAGGTTAAGATCCAATCCAATTGACATATTGATTGGTTGTTCTTAGTAAGGGAAAAAAAATTTGAAATACGAGATCTAATCCAATCGCACATTGGAATGTTGTTCTTAGGAGTAATTGTTTTTAACTACTTGGCTATAGTCCTCTTGCCTTTAAAAGTGGGAGAAACGTTGACATTTTATTTTCATTTCAAGTTTTAAGTTTAACAAGTCAGTTTACTATTTTATTCTTGGTTAATAAATTATTCCTCTTTTAGCATTTTAATTAAGTGAGGGAATTTGTTGAGCTTTTAAAAATTTAATAATAAAACCTTGTATTATATATAGATAGATGTAAACATGACTTATCTGTAATTTTTAGTTTCCAATGCCTATATTAGCAGCAACAACAACAACAACAACAAAAAAACAAAAAAAAATCCAACTAGATCTGATAAATGTACTTTATAATTCAACGATATTAAATGGAAATCTTATCATAATTTTAAAATTTTCAATTTGATTTGTTTGAAGAAATAAAAAAGATAAAACTTACACGAAATAATTAAACATTGAAAATTAACATAAAAAGCAAATTAATACATGAGAGTTTAAATTTACATCTCCCCGTTAAAGAAGAAACAAACATGTACTTCTTCTAAAGATATTCCTGGGAAATTACCATTCATGGTAACATCAATTTTTCTTCAAACCTAAAACCCTGAACTCAAACTATATTGGTCATGATTGGATCATGGATTGTTAGATTTGGCCTCAAGCCATGAAAGAAGTGGCTGATGATGAGAAAGAAAAAGATGATATGGGGGAAGAAGGGGAGGAGGAGGAGGAGTAGAAGAAAGAGAGGAAGAGGTAAATGTCACATACACACCTAGCTAACACCTAACTTGGTAGGTGATGTGTGTTGTTTGTCTTGTGTGGACCAAAAACAAAACAAAACAAAACAATCACACCTAATTTATTGGGTTGTTAAATAAATACACCTAATTTTAGAGTTTCAATATTTTAACTTGATTTTATTTAATATATTGTTCACTTTCTTCCTCTCTTTCTCCGCCCAGGCCAGCAGCCACTCTCTCTCTCTCTCTCTCTCACACGCACATACACACTCTCACTCTCTTTATTTTCCCGGAAAATCTCGGTTTTCCTGAGAAAAAAAGAAAAGAAAAGAAAACAGTGGGGAGATGTTTTCGACTAGGTCCGTTTTGCGTGGGCAGCTAAGACCGTCGGTGGCTGTGTTGCACTCTTCATTTTACTCTTCTTTATCATCCGCAGCTGCAATTCAAGCTGAGAGAACCATCAGACAAGGCCCCAGAAATGACTGGAACCGCGACGAGATCAAGGCCGTCTATGGCTCTCCTGTTCTCGATCTACTTTTCCACGGGGTCAGTACCTCTTCTTTCTCTTCCTTTTCCTTCTTCTTTTAGTTTTTGGTATGCTCTGTTTGGTTGCCTGGAAAATTGGGGAGAAAACAAAGGAAAATGACTATGATATTCTACTTACATTTTCATAATGCATAATTAGTTTGTGGGTATATAATTATTTTCTTTGGTGAAACTTTTTGTTATAATCCTACTTGGTAATGCCTTTGGCCGTTGTTTTGGTATAAGATATCTAGCATTTGATAGACAAGAGCAGGCTTAGTGGACTTACTATAGTGTTGTTACATCACATCAAAACTGACAGCTGTAATTAGTTTTAAGGTTGTTTAGGTTCTAAGAATAGTTAGCTGTACTCATTGATTAAGTCAGTACAAATATTCATTTCTCTCAAATACCTAACAGTTTTCAGTCACCACAAGTTATAACCGTTGCTCTAGTTGACTTCCTAAACTCTTTTCCTTGATATTTACACTGCCCAATGTGTGTTGTGGGTTGATAAGTTATTTTTGATATCGAAAGCAATTTTCTTTTCTCTTTTTCTTCAGATTTTGTTTTGAATGTACTTGTTTTTTTCTTTCTTTCTATGTTAGAAGTAAATATCTTGCTTTTTCGGCCCAAGTTCACAGACACACGCATAATTTTAGGGAAGTGCAGCAGTGTACTCTCCTCTCTATCAAGACTGGTGGATGTAGTGAGGATTGTTCGTATTGTCCTCAGTCGTCCCGGTATAACACAGGACTAAAGGCCCAAAAGCTTATGACAAAGGACGCTGTCATGGAGGCAGCACAAAAGGTCCCTTTCTTAATCTTATGTCTTTACCTTGCATTGGTGATAATAGAAAACTCATCTTTGATGTTATAATTGTGTAAAGCATATAATGATTGTATGAGTTGAAAGAAGCATGTCAGAAAAGCAATTAATGAAATTTATCAAGTTCCTTTTTACATTATAGTATCTTAGTCTACAGGAGTGATTGAAACATGCATCAACAGAATACCATGTTCACAATTTGGTGGTCTGATGTGTATTGTGATGAATAATGAGTTATTGTAAGGGGATCACTGGAAGCCTCCATCTCATGTACAAAAACTGGGAACATGCAGTTTTGTGTTAATCCTCTAATAGGCGATTTCTGCCAACAATGAGGTGTCCTGGCTAACAATAGCAGCAAATAGCTAAGGGTCCTAGATTTTGGTTATATATATTGGTCCTTTAATTCTAACAGTGCTTGTTATGCTAACATGAATTTTTGTTCTTATGGCCGAGTCATGAATATATTTTTCCTTTGTTTTACATATAAAATTTTCAGTATAGGTGATTGATTGCAAATGATCATTTGATCTTTGAATCATAGATATGCCCCTAGGACCATAGTGTTGTTATATGAGGCAGGTCAGCTCGAAACTTATATGCCTCTTTGGAATCATGAACTATGCTGCCTCATGACCTATTTACATACCGCTTTTTAAGTTATGGATCTAAATTAAATTATGATGATACTTCTCATTTAAGCTTCAATTCCTTCCAGAACTTCTGCTTTTGAGTTTTATTAGGTAGTGGCATATATTTTATAGAGAAACAATATTGGACCTTACTAATTGTATGTTGGTCTCAAGTTGCCCACTCCTTTAATTTTCTTCACCAGAGATGTGAATTGGGAGTACTATTTATGATTAATTCAATTTATACTTTGAAGTCAATCATGTCTTAATATTTCACCATATTTCATTATTTGACAGGCAAAAGAGGCTGGAAGCACACGCTTTTGCATGGGTGCTGCATGGAGGGATACAGTTGGAAGAAAGACAAACTTTAACCAGATCCTGAATATGTAAAAGACATAAGGTAATAAAACATCGTATATTGCATATATTAAGCAGATAGGAAGGAGAGGCATTGTATTGTTTGCTCAACAGTTTAGCTTATGTTAATATCTCTCACATTCTAGGGGTATGGGAATGGAGGTGTGCTGCACCTTAGGCATGCTAGAAAAGCAACAAGCTTTGAAACTCAAAGAAGCAGGCCTGACAGCTTACAATCACAATCTTGACACCTCTAGAGAATTTTACCCAAATGTCATTACCACAAGGACCTATGATGAGCGCTTGGAAACCATTAAGTTTGTCCGGGATGCAGGAATTAGTGTGTGTTCAGGTAATCTGATCTTACTATTGTATATAATCACATGCATCTATTTCGTAAGTCAATCATCATCTAGCCTAATGCATGTAATAGATTCTTTCTTCTTCTCCTAATAGTGTAAAAACACATTTGTTAACAGGGGTAGACATTCAGACTGGTCTATTCTTTTCAAGTCCTTAATAAAAGTGGAAAGAATTAGTGTATTGTCATCTTTGGTTACATACTTTGCATACTAAGCTCACAGCAGTGTTATTTATCTTGAATATCTTAAATGATATGTTAATTAGTGGCGAAAGGTTAATCCAATTGGGCTTTCTTCCCATTTATTTATGGCTTTTGTTGTGCTTGCAAGTTATTCACATTTTTCAACCCATGTTAGTTTTCAAAGTATGTATGAAATGGAATTTTAAAGGCTATGATTTTTTTTATATTCTTGTTACTAATTTAGCTAAAGAGCTTTCTAGTTCAACTTCTATTATTCTTTGATAAAATCATTTAACGTCCAGAACAGCCGTTTTCTAAGGAGGATATGTTTACTTTTTGACTTTTTGAAAGTGTAAATTATGTTGTTTTAAGATATGTAACCTCTTAATGATAGAATGGACATTTTTTGATATATATAATCTCAAAGATGCAAGGGGTTGTCCAGATGTATTTCCATTTCCTTCCTCCTCCCCTAAACATTGTGTCTCCCATTTATAGAACAATTTGAATTATGAGAATTTTAACTTTAAAGTTCTTAGAATATTATTTCCTTTGAGTTGTAACCTTATGGTAATTACCATAATTTCTCAAGTCAATAAGCATCTAAGTGATTGACCAAAAAAATTCTAAGCATCTAAGTGTCCATCATCAACATTTACAGCTATGGTGTATTAATGAGCACAAAAATATAGGTATTTACTTCGATGGTAAAGTTAACTTTTTTATTTATTTAAATTTTTTAACAGGAGGAATAATAGGGCTCGGAGAAGCAGAGGAGGATAGAGTTGGTTTGCTGCATACATTAGCAACACTCCCATCTCACCCAGAAAGTGTTCCCATCAATGCATTGGTTTCAGTGAAAGGCACACCTCTTCAAGATCAGAAGGTCAGTCTACATTTGTATAATTCTAAACTTGACAGTTGAGGTTGTAGCAATAATTGTGCATGCTACAATAGAGAGTGGCATATTTTGTGATTCAAGTTGGTCAGTAGTTGACACGAAATTATGGATAAGATGTGTTTAGGGTGACTTAGATCATCACTTTAACAATTGTACTTGTGCCCCCCGGTGGTTTAAATCTCACTTTAATCATAGCGTCTAGAGCCATCAATCATCATGCCAGTTGCATTCTCTAAATTCTATTGATGTTCCAAGACTTGATTAGTTTAACAGAATTCATTTTGCTACATCTATGTGCAGCCAGTTGAAATTTGGGAGATGATACGAATGATTGCCACTGCCCGTATAGTCATGCCAAAAGCAATGGTCAGATTGTCAGCTGGCAGAGTAAAGTTTTCAATGCCAGAGCAGGCATTGTGCTTTCTTGCCGGTGCAAATTCGATATTCACTGGTGAGAAGCTATTGACTACTCAAAACAACGATTTTGATGCTGATCAACTCATGTTCAAGGTGCTTGGTCTGATTCCCAAAGCTCCCAGTTTCTCTGAGGAACCAGCAAAGGCATATGAGGCAGAGGCTTGTGAGGAAGCTGTTTCCAGTTCAGGCTGAAATTGTTATACAAGGAGAGTGTTGGTCTGTAGTTTCTTACATTTTTTAAGCTGTAATTTTAGTGTTAGTTTGTAGCTGAAAGAATTGCACTCAAAGTAAAATTCAGTTAGAAAATAAATCGAAATTTAGTAAGTGGATGATTGGATGATAACTCTATAAGCCCTATTAGAGAACTCACCATATTCACTGGTATGAGAGCCAACATAACACGCATACACACACACACACACACACAAAGACAAACTCTGACCAAAGTATGCGGTGTTCTCTTATGTTGATCGAGTCCTAGGCATTTGTAATTTCTTAGATTACAAATGAACCTGTAGAGAAGCAGCACGGCAGGAGGCTTCTGCCTAGACCAATGCTGAAGCCCCACATGGCGAAAACCCAAAGAGTGGATTGGTTTTTGCTATGGTTTTGATAAAAATAAAATTTTATCCATTCTGAAAATACCCACGGCTCCCATGGGGTTATTTTTTGGGTCAAACGGCTTCCATGAGATGTTTATGTACAAAAGAGTCGGAAGAGGTTTTTGACTTCCTCTGTATGTACTAACACTAACACGTGAGTATTGGAATTATTTATTCGATTCATAATTTCCCATCTTTACTAATACATCACAATTTGTAATCCAATATTTTGGAATTATTTATTTCGATTCATAATTTCCCATCTTTACTAATACATCACAATCTGTAATCCAATATTTGAAAATCATAAATTAAATTGATTAGGGGAGAGTTGATCCAATTCATTCTCTCTCCTATTCATCACTTCACCCATTCTACTCTTCTCTTTTTTTTGGCACGATTAAATCAGATTGAATATTCTAGCTCACGTTAGTGTTTCCACCTTTTTTTAGCTATCTTATCAATAAACAAATTTGCTTTTTATAGCAAAGCAAGGCAATTGAAACAAAATTAGGGCAAGCTTTTACACAAGTCAGTACGTCTTTACATCTACAGCAAATAAGAATGTAACTATTCTGATTTGACCATTTACTTACTCTCTGTAAAACCTAAAGTTTAAAAGAAAGGTGTAAAAACCCATTTGTGTGTGAAGGAAGTCGAGAGAAAGAGGAATGGGTTTTCTTCTTCTTATCTTCGCTTGCTTTTTCGTTTTGCTGCGGATGAAGATCATGGAAGAGACGAGTCGAACTCAGAGGAATGAAACAGAATTCATTTGCAAATTAATTACAGGTATTTTTCTTTTTCCTTTTCTTTTTGGCTTAATTATGTACATGCCCCCTGTGCTTTTAAGTTTATCTTAGATTACCACATGTGGTGGAAAACGTCTCAAAGTACCCCCCAACATATAAATAACCGTCTCAATTTACCCCTCCGTCAAATTTTTTGACGGTCCGTTACGAACAGTGGGCCCCACTTCGTTTTAACCTTTAAGCTGTTCGAATAAGGGTTTCTCAGTTTGTAACAAAGGGGAAATTGGGTTTAGGGTTCATTGGAGAAGAGGGTTGTTGTCAAAATCTGAGGGTTCCTTCGATTTTGGGAGAATTTGGAGAAGAAATCATTGTTTGGCGTTAGACTTTAAGGCTAGAAGGTGCGAAGATGGTGGTGCTTAGAGAATCTGGAGGTTGTCAACCCATATGTAAGTGGACCCATTGTTACTCGATTTTCTTGATTTTGGCATGTGCATTGAACTGTTGTTAGGATTTTGTTTTTGTTTTTGTATACTTTTTGACTCTGCTGGTTCTGGTGTGATCATTGTGTGGTCCTTGCATGTTCCTAGTGTGGTGTGTTGCTGGAAATTTTTTGTTCTTTCATATATTTTTTATTCTGTGCTGGGCCCCAATATACCTTATGTGGTCCTTGGGTGTTCCTTGTATTATCCTTTGTGTGGTCCTTCTTTTCTCTTTGTGTGTTTTTTTCCATTTGTTAAGTGAATGTTCCTGTTACGCAGATAAAGATGCTGATGAGGTTGTCACATTTAAGTTTTTCCATGGAGGTAAACTAGTGAAAAATAGAAAGGACAGTCAGTGGTCTTATTTAGGTGGTGAAGTCAGTTGGTTTGATTACTGTGAGGTTGACTATATGTCCATGTTAGAGCTATTTGGAATGGCTAAAGATTTGGGATATGACGATGGGTATGATGTGAGTTTTTATGGTGAAGAGTTTGGAACTAGTAGACTCATTCAAATAATATATGATAGTACACTTTTAGCTTGTATGAGCATGGTACCTAAAAGCAATAGCAGGGTGGTAGTTTGTACTTGAAGGTAGTGAGCTTAACTTCAAGCCAAGTGGGGGAATGATAGCAGTGATAAAGAATATTCTTGTTCTGAGAATGATGATAGCAGTGATCCAGACTTTGAAGACAGTGACTATGCACAGAGTGATGAAGAGATTGACTTATTGAAGAATGATGATAAGTGGTTTGAAGGTTATGTGGATCATAGTATTTTTGACAATGATCCTAATGCAGAGCAAAATGATGAGTCAGACAATGGAGAAGAGTCACCTACACTTACCTGCCCAAATAGTTCACAAAGTGAAGATGATGCAGTGGGTGAAGTAAGAAGGAAGAAGAATAGGATGCCAAAAGGTGAAGATTTCAGACCTGAAATTGATATGGGAAGCCCAAGTTTCAAAATAGGTTTAAGGTTTGCAACTGCCGAGTTGTTTAGAAAAGCTGTGAGGATATACTCCATTAATTGTGGAAGGGAGTTGATTTTTATGAATAATGACCGTAACAAAATAAGAGTAGTATGTAAAGAGGGCTGTCCTTTTGTTATCCATGCTTCAAGTGTTAGTGGTAGCACTTACCTGCAGGTGAAAACCTTTAATCCTACACATGTTTGTAGCAAGGGGACTAAAAATATACATGCTACTGCTGGCTGGTTGGCTGAAAGATATTCTGGGCAGTTAAGGCTCAATCCAAATTGGACTGCTTCTTCTTTTGTAGAGCAAGTTCACCAAGACTATGGTTACAGACCATCTAGAGCAACTGTGTACAGAGCAAGAGCCATGGCAGTTGACATTGTAGAAGGGTCTTACAGTAAACAATATGAAGTATTGTGGGAATATTGTCATGAGTTAAGAACCAGGAATGTGGGAAGTACAGTTATCATTAAATCTGAAATGGAAGGTGATAGGCCACGGTTTCAAAGAATTTACATCTGTCTTGCAGCCTGCAAGAAGGGGTTTTTAGATGGTTGTAGGCCTGTGGTTTGCTTGGATGGGTGTCATGTCAAAGGGCCTCACCCTGGGCAAGTGCTTTCTGCAATGGGGAGTTGATGCAAACAACGGAATGTTTCCACTTGCCTATGCATATGTAGAGATTGAGAGCAATTCAACATGGCTGTGGTTTTTAGAATTATTGAGTGGTGATCTCAATATTACGAATAGCCATGGTTATGTATTTATGACTGACAAACAAAAAGGGTTAATAGATGCTGTGGATGCTCTATTCCCTCATGCAGAGCATAGACATTGTTTGAAACATCTATATGGGAACTTCTATTTGGAAACATAGAGGTCTTGCCTTGAAACATCAAATGGAAGCAATTGCTAGAGCCACAACAGTGCCATGGTTTCATGCAGAGATGACAAAGATGTTGCAGTTGTCTAAACCTGCACATGATTGGCTCATAGAGAAAGATCCTAGGCATTGGAGTAGGGCATATTTCAAGAGTGATTCCAAGTGTGACATGCTTATGAACAATCTATGTGAGGCATTCAACCGTAGCATAATGGATGCCCGAGACAAGCCTATTCTGACTATGCTAGAAAGAATTCGGTTGTATATAATGTTGTTGATGGCGGGAAGAAAGGTTCTCTGTGAGAAATGGCATGGACAAGTTGGGCCAAGAATTAGAAAGATATTAGAGAAAAACAAAGGAAAAGCTCAGTGGTGCATTCCTAAGGCTGCTGGACAGAATCAGTTTGAAGTAATGCACCATAATGGGCCGCACCTTTGCTGTTGATTTGAATGCCCACTCTTGTTCATGCCATGCTTGGGATTTGAATGGAATACCATGTTTGCATGCATGTGCTGCAATAAGTTGGTTTCATGGGAATCCAGAGGACTTTTGTGATGCAGTGTACAAGAAAGAGGCTTATTTGAGAGCCTATGAACCAATGATTATGCCTATGACTAGCCAAGATCAGTGGATGAAGGTTAATTTACCTCCATTACTCCCTCCGAAATACCACAAGCAGCCTGGTAGGCCTAAGAAGACAGAAAACAAGCTGTTGAAGAACCTAAAACAACCTGCTAATCCATATAAGCTTCCTAGGTATGGCATCCCTTTAAAGTGTGGCAATTGCGGTGGAGAAGGGCATAATCGAAGTAGTTGTAAGGTATGTGGTTTTTAGAATTATTGCTTTACATTTAAATGTATTTGATTTGGTTTCTGACTTGATGACTTTGGTTATTAGGAACCTAGAAATCCCAACATAAAGCCTACTAGGAAGAGGAACATTGCCAAGGACAAACTTGCAGTAAGTGCCACAGTTTCAACTATGTTTTCACTCATCAAAATTTTATATCATGGAAACTTCTAATTATTATTTGTTTTAGGTAAGAAGGAGAGATGGTGGAGACCAAAGTAGCGGACAACAGAGTATGCAATTAAGGCAAAGGAAAACACTCAAGCACTTCCCAAGGGCCTTCTCAATCCCAGGCATCTCAAGTAGCTGCGCTTCTCTATCCCAACCATCTGAAGCAGCTGATGCTTTTCAATCTCAGCCATTTGAAGTAGCTTAGCTTTTCAATCTCAGCCATCTGAAGCAGCTGATGCTTTTCAATCCCAGCCATCTCAAGCACCTGAACCTGCCAAATTATCTCGAGTACAACAACGTAGGAGGAGGATGAAAGATCAACAGAGGAGCCATTTTGTCAAAGATCCTTTTTTTATCCTTGAATGTTGTGGAAGACTTTAATGGTCCAGACATGGTTGTTGGTTTGTGGGATTATTGATGTCTGTTATGGTTGGAACTTGTTTTGGTTGGAACCTGTATATTTGATGTCTGTTATGTTTGGAACCTATTATGGTTGGACCTGTTTTGGAACCTAAATATTTGATGTATGTTATGGTTTGAATATTTGATGTATGTTATGGTTGGAACCTATTATGGTTGGACCTGTTTTGGAACCTGAATATTTAATGTATGTTTTGGTTGGAACCTATTTTGGAACCTATTTGGTTTGTGCATATTCCTAGGTTGTTATGGTTGGAATCTGTTTTGGAACCTGTTTTGGTTTGTGCATATATTCATATGGTTGGAACCATGTTTTGGTTGTGTTCGTGTTTTGGTGTTCTGTTTGGTTTGTGCTTGGAACCTGGTCTGTTTGGTGTGTGCTTATAATGACAGGTGCTTTTGCTAGTTTTGGGCTTTGCCTCTTGCTTTCCAATTCCAGTAAACTTTGGCATGTTACCAAAGGCTACATATCCACCATAAACTTTGGCAAAGAAGGCAGGTCCTACTTTTTTAGGGAAAACTGAATTTTAGTTATCTTCTTCGAGATTCATCAAGAAATTACCATTCAATTTACCATGTCATCACATATCAAACTTAACTAGCATGACATCACTTAACTAACTAGCATTACATTCATGTCACCATTTGTAACCTCTAACACTTACCAGTCATGTCACCATTGGAACCCCTAAATACAAAGTACAATAACGAACTAATTACATTACATACACCAAATGACATTACATTACACTGCCAAAGTGTCTTACATTAGATAGCATTTGGTCTCAACTAATTGGCCCATTAACTACTGCCAAAGTGCTAACTACTGCCCAAAATGCTTACATACATTAAACATCAGGTATCAAATTACAATGCCCATTGAACTATGCCAAAGTGCCTAATTCATCTTCATGGCAAACACCACCAACCAGGAAAGCACATAGCAGCCCACAATATTTTGACTTTGCTCGAATCTTTGCATTTTCCTTTTCCACCTATCAATCTTCCTCAGCAAAACAGGTATCAAGATTTTGACCGCTCACATTTCTGCATCAAACCACTGAGAAAAACCTACATCCTTTTTTCCCCTTCCCTGTATCAACCAAGACAATGACTGAAAATTTGGGTGGTAAAATACTGAAAATTCATCAATCACGACAATTTCATCACTAACAACTCTATCATTTGTGATGCCCAAAAATAATGACTGAAAAATTTTATCTTAAACATGCTTACCTTTGACTTTGGGGCAGACTAGAAATCTTCGCCTGGGTTTGAATGGTCAAGAAGTCGGCATCGTGCTAACTTCCCACAATGACACCATTGGCCATGCCTCCTTCTCCTTGCTTCTCTCCTGTTTCCATCATCCAAATCTTCTACTCCACATATTCCAATTTCAAATCCACCTCAGAGTGTTACAAACAATGATTTCTTCTCCCAATTTCTCCCAAAATCGAAGGAACCCTCAGAGTATAAAAAAAAAAAAAAAAAAAAAAAAAAAAAAAAAAAAAAAAAAAAAAAAAAAAAAAAAAAAAAAAAAAAAAAAAAAAAAAAAAAAAAAAAAAAAAAAAAAAAAAAAAAAAAAAAAAAAAAAAAAAAAAAAAAAAAAAAAAAAAAAAAAAAAAAAAAAAAAAAAAAAAAAAAAAAAAAAAAAAAAAAAAAAAAAAAAAAAAAAAAAAAAAAAAAAAAAAAAAAAAAAAAAAAAAAAAAAAAAAAAAAAAAAAAAAAAAAAAAAAAAAAAAAAAAAAAAAAAAAAAAAAAAAAAAAAAAAAAAAAAAAAAAAAAAAAAAAAAAAAAAAAAAAAAAAAAAAAAAAAAAAAAAAAAAAAAAAAAAAAAAAAAAAAAAAAAAAAAAAAAAAAAAAAAGAGTTGGGGAAACCCCAGCTCCAACACCTCTGACCCTCCCACCATGCTCAGGGTTTGATGTTGAACCGACGTGGTTTTCGAAAACCTCGTTGACTTAATGTTAATAACCGATGTTGTTGTATGTTTAATACGTCCTACTTTTTTCCAGAACCGACGTTGATCCTTTATTACATGGCGTTATTTTAAATGTAACCGACGTGGATATGAATTTTTTTTTATAAATTGAGTTTTTTTCCACGATTTCTTTCAGTTTCAGTTTTCGATTAGGGTTCCAATTTCTTCTTGCCCTCTGCCTCACCTCTTAGGAGGCAATTGTTTTGGATGTTGATGTGTGTGTATTTGTGTCTCATTTGAGACACAAATACACATACATCATCAATCTCTAAAATATTGTCTCTCTGAATGCAAATCTGTGGCTGATGTCGTCAAATTTTAGAGGCAATTGCTTGGATGTTGATGTGTGTGTGCGTTTGTGTAGATACACAAACGCACGCACATCATAAACTTCCAAAAAAATTGCATTTCTAAATGCAAATCTGTGGCTGCCGTCATCAAATTTTAGAGGCAAATTTTTGGATGTTGATGTGTATGTGCCTTTGTGTGTCTCAAAGACACGAAGACACATACATCATCAACCTCTAAAATATTGCCTTTCTGTGGTCTGATTATGATGAGGAACAGAGTTCCATCTGGTAAGATTTCGTAACTCTTAGGATCTCAGATCTAATTATGTCGGCTGTTTTCTATATAAACCGTCGTGGTTATTCTCAATTCTTGGCATTAAGTTGATCTACAGACGTTGGATGACAAAATTCAAGGAAATTTTTTTTAAAAAAAAAATTACAATTAACACGACGGTTTTGATATAATGTCGGACGTATAAAGTGAATAAATACGACGGTAATTTTAACTTCACGACGTATATCTTGGATCTCAGAAAAATCTATTCTGTCGGCGGTTTTCTATATAAACCGTCGTGGTTATTCTCAATTCTTGTCATTAAGTTGGTCTACTGTCATAGGATACCAAAATCCAAGAAATAAATAGTAAAAAATAATGTAATTAAGACGACCGTTTAGTTATAAGGGTAGATGTATAAAGTGAATAAATACGACGGTAATTTTAACTTCACGCTGTAGTAAATTTTATTACACGTTGTTAATTGAACAAACCAACGTGGTTAGAGTTAAAGATACCGTCGTAGTATGGAACATGAAATAAGTCGATAAAATTATATTTTACGTCGTTGTACATGTATTTAAGACGGCGGTATTTTGTAATATACCACCGTGGATTCTTTTGATATTATGCGACGCCGGATACGAAAACTTGGTTGTGGTTATTGCGGAGAAAAGAACGACGGCTGTTTCTTTAAACCGTCGTCTTTACTTTCTACGTCAGTTGATTCATACCTTCTGCCGTTGTTTGTGGGCTCCGAGTTTACTCTGAAGAAAACCTTTTTCAGTAAGACATCGCTTTTTAATATAGCTGTGTCGTGTTTTAAAAACAACCATTGGATTCTCCATTTTTTAGGTGTTTAAGTTATTCTTACACGGTGGTTTTATAAAACCGTCATCTTTTCAAACACAACGACGGTTTTTCGTTAAACCGTCGTTTTTTTTCTGGTCATCTTTTTCACTTTTTATAATAGTGCTTGACCGATATGAGAAACTTTATTTCAGGTAAATCATGACATAATCATGCATTCAATATAGGATTCCTAGTTGGAGTTATTTTCACTCAAGTATTTTTATGTTAATCATATTTTTAATACAATTAGATTTTATCTCTTGATATTATTTCCTACTCGTTTGCTCTAATTAATTTGTTTAGGTAGATATTGTTTTAAAAGATTGGTTGTAGTGGAAAGTCATTAGGTTTCTTCACATGTTGCATTAGTTGGCGTCATCACATAACATGTGAAAGGAATTAGAATTTATATTGATAATTGGATAATTGTTTGGCTGCTGTGTTGTCTCCTTAATGAAGAGACCTTTTTGCATGATGTTTAGAAGTCTTAGTTGATTGGTTTTGTGAATCCTTGTTGCATAGGAAAGTGTACTCATGTAGGTTTCTCTCAATTGAGAGAAACCCGCGTGGAATAAAACCATTGTTGTTTCTTTTGATTAGCAGCTTTCAATGTATTGGTTTTTCTTTGAAAATATTGAATATGTTTTAAGAAAGCTGCTTTGCTTATTTTCTTAGATAAGTCATCAAGTGTTCCTTGTTTATTTGGTGATTTATTAAATCCTTTCTTCATTCATATTGTATTTATATGCACGTCGGTGACTCATACGGTTGAGGGCACCAAGACCGTGGTGGCGGTTTTCCTCCGGCGAACTTGAAGCAATCGTGACCAGTATTGCGTTCAACATAAGGAGTGTCGAAGATCATCCTATGACAGAAGTTGAGTTACGAAGAAGTCGGTAAACATTATCTAGAATGTGTCTAGGATAAGTGTGTGACTACTTCTTGTAATCATTGTTGTATAGTGGATTTGTGTTGGACTGAGGAGTCCCGTGGATTTTCCCTAGAGGTGGTGTTCTACCAAGAAAAATAATTCTCTGCGTGTTCTTTATTTTATGCCCAGCACGTTTCAGGATTGATAAGCCATATCAATCCTGCTACTGAAGTTTAATTTCTGTTTATTGATTATAATATTAAATTGGCCTATTCACCCCCCTCTAGGCATTTTTAGTCATCCTATAGGTATTTTCATTGTCAACATCAAACCCTAAAACGAACTAATTTTCTGTTTCAAAGAATTTTGGATTTTCAACATCCATTCTGATTCGAAAAAACTCTAAATTTTCGTAATATTTGGAAAATCACGAAACTTATATATTTCGGAATTTTTTTGACAAATTTTGGAAAATAATTCAAATTTTAAACATGCTTTAAGCATTTGAAACGTTAAGTTCATCTCAAAATTGAAACCCCAATATATTTCTGAATTCTGAATTTTCAGAGTCTTGAGCTGTGTTCCAATTCCAATCCAATTTTTTCAGAATTTTTGGATTTCAAAACTTTTTTTAATGTCATATTTGATTTAGAAGTGCAACAATTAGAACTTTTCAACTTGAAATCGGCTGGAATTGAAATTTACAATCGAACTTGCACCTCTAGTAGAAATGAAAACAATAAACGATTTTATGGGGATTGTTCATCTCCTACTACTGGCATGGATTTTCCACAATCTCTTTTGTGTCATCACTAACAATAATTCTTGGTCGTGTTCGTCAAAAAAATGTATTCATAGTTTCGAATTTTTTAGGTTTATCATGGCCTATTTTAAATTTATTAAATAAGTAGTAGAGAAAAAAAAACCAAAATTTAGGTAAATAGATTGAGCAGATAGAACTTTCTCAATTTCAACAAACTTATCAATATAGGGTTATTCGAAGAGCGTAAAATTGAATACAGAAGTTATCAATACAGGGTAAATAGATGAATGCCTAGAGATGTGGCTCAATAAGTTAAAAAGTTGAAAACTCACGCAAGGATAAAATCTTGGGTAGGGCTGCCTGATTGCATGGGTTGTGCGCAATTGTAGTCACTAAAGAGTAGGACCCCTTGCACTTTGGTCACATTCAACCCTACCTAGTCCCAACCCTTTAACTATAAGAGAGTTGTCGTATGCGTACCCAAAAATTCCTCTAACGCGAACAGGCCCTACTTTGCACTTATTTTCCACCATAAGAAATGTGAAGTCTCAAAGTCCAAAATATTCAATAAAAGAAAATAAAAGGAATTTGAGAAATTATGTTCACACTCATAAATTTGTTTGTAATAAAATGACAAGTAAATTTTTTCTCTTCACAAATGACAACTAAAATTACGACAACGAGGTGAATGGCTTATATATAAAAAGTAAAAATAAAAGTATATCAATTTTTTGGACACTTGAAAAGTATCATTAAACACAACCTCACACTTTCAGTTCACCCATACCTTTAACTCTGTGACCTCTAAATGACATAAAACTACCTTGGTTGACAGGACTCGCCCCGAATTTCCCGGAACCCGAGACGAACCCTGCGGAGACCCCGGCATCACACCCACGCCGGGTTCACTCCTTAAAACTATGCCCTCTTTTATCAGAGAGGATTTAGGGCACTAGACTTTCTGCCAAAATTTCGGCAGAATCTCCCCTGTAAATTGAACATTCCCCAAAATTTCCACCTGCATAAAACACATTTTATAACCCAACCAGCAGCACGCACAATATAATCTCATGCAATTTACATAAATGGCCTCCGGCCTTCAAATGATTCTAACAGAACTGCCCACACTGTTTTTAAAATAACTTCATGCATCAAACATGCATATAACAGATCTAAAATCTATCTATGTGCACCTTCGCTCACACAGTCCACAGGACAAGCCTCACTTCAACCAAGTTTCGGGACCAACCACGAGGTCCGCATCATACTTGGGCCTGAGCATAATCACAATATGAGGGGTACGTGGGGTAGTGCGTATAGCACTGTAAACTAATATTCAATCTCTTTATATATCATTATACATCCACACAATTAAATATATACTATATAATTTCTAATCCTACAATAACATCAACCAATAAGACATCCCATGAACTCCCCCATTTAAATTCACCAATTTATATCCTAAACCCACAATATCCATTTAACTCAACAACGCTCAAGACCTGTCACTAAGGTCATCCTAACCCTCAAGGAAAGGTAAGACTATCTCGGGAGTCTCACGGTCAACCTAGGGTCAAACGGGCCTGCGGGGCCCACAACCTCCAAACTCCAATCCGAAAGTTCCTATAGGTTCTACAGGCTCTAGGACACATGTCCTGCAAGTTTGGTCCCGATCGGACGGTCGGATCGCTCACGATCGCAGGATCGGACAGTTACTAAAACCCTAACCCCAGGGTTGGCATTTCCGGAGTATCCGGGACTCCGTTTTACGATCCGTCGAATCCTATACGATCCTGGTAATACCTAGATCAACACATTATAACTTCAGGACCATCCAACGGTCCAAACCTAGCGAACCCGGAAAATACGCGATATGCGATATCCGTTCGGGACTCTAACGATATCCAAATTGAGATCCGAGCACACCTACGCGCTCATGACAACCTGAGGATCCCATTGGGACAAAAATGCCCCTCGGCTACAGTGCCCACGCGCCACCACACGCGCCGACAGCGCGTGGGTGTCCAAAGCGATAACCCATCGCCGGAAAAACCACGAATCACGGCTCAAGACTCCTACCCTAGGTAAAACACCTAATTTGGAGTCACTTTTGTTCTTGGACGTACCCCAAAATATGACCGGAAGTGGCCGGAATCTCCCCTCGAAATCCGGCCGAAATCCAATTCGAAGATCAGACCTCCTACGCTCAAAATCGATGCAATCCTACCCAACCATCAGCTAGATCACGGAAAATAGGTGAGAAAGCATACCTTGATCGCAAGATTTGGTGGCCGGAATCGCCGGAACGAGCTCCGGAAAATCTGGGTAAAAACCGGCCGTTTTTCTGCAATTTCCGGCGGTATCGCTGCCGGCAGACATCGGAGAATGGGTGGGGTAGGACGGCGGAGTCAGGCCGGTCATTTTGGGACCGGTCCCGACCCGAGTGGTGGCCGGATGAATGAACGGCCGGCCAAAACGTGGCCGGTCACGGTGGCTGTCGCGAAAACCAGAGGAGAGAGGGAGAGACGCGCGGGAGAGAGAGAGTCCGTCAGAGACGGGGGCAGTTCCGTCTTTTTAACCAAAAACCTCTTTCAAAATATTTACAATTTTGCCACTGGTGATGTTTTGCCCGTAACTTCTTCGTTACAGCTCCGATTCGAGCCCACTACGTGTCTACGAACTCATCTCACCATGCTCTACGTAACGGTACCTCCGGAATTCCCAAATTCCTTCCGGGTAAGAAATTGACTAAAATACCCTATCCCACGGGTAAATTCTTAATTTCACTCAAATTAATTAAAATAGGGGATAAATTTGGAGTCGGGGTGTTACATTGGTTGTGTGAAAGGAGCACCATGCAGGAACAAATCGTCCAAATATTCACACCACCCTACAACACAACTACTCTCTCAACACCAGTTTACACCCCATTAGTAAGTTGAATAAAGAAGAGAAGTAAGTAAAAGCCTTTTGCTCATGTGGGTGTGAACCTGTTTAACAATTGCGGTTCATGATAACAATAGAAATTTGATGGGGTTGTTGTTTTTAGTTGTTTATGATTAATAAAGTTCACATATTAATTAGCATTTGTCACCATGCCAGTACCTTTTTCTACGTCCCATCATGTGAAAGAAACACGAACACCAATAGGAAAAACGAAATTTTTCCACCCACATAAAATACCTTTTGAGTCTTGTATCAGGACTTTTTTATTTATTATTTCCATTTTCATACAAGATGGGTCTCCAAATGAAGCTGAATACCTGCACAAGGAGATGGCAACAAGTACTACACTCAAGGAAACACGAAGCAAGAAGCTTGAGCGAAGAAGAAGGAACGAGCACAAAGCCATGGTATAAGCTTTGGTAAGAGTAGGGATGTGGGTCTTGATCAAAATCATAGAAGGATCAACCTCTAACATATACCCATCAGTAATCTGTGTGTATTTGGATTTATTATTAATTTGCGCAAACGAGAAGAGGAAACTTTCCCGCATTTGAATGCCATGAACATCTGAAAGCTTTATTTTGAGCATGAGAAAGAACTAATAACGAAGAAATCTAACTTATTGATTTCCACAAAACATGTTTGTTGACGTAGAAAACTGGTTCGGCACTTTCCCGTGCAACTTAGTAATGTTGGGCCTTCGGTATGCTCTGGGCCTCGGAAAGGCGCTCGATTTGCAAGATAACAAACGCTTGGTAAGACCTAGGGCACCGGTGTGGTACTGGCCGAAGGCTCTCCGATACTTGAGTAAGTACGGATTTAGTAAGTTTGAACTGCAGATCAATAGGCAGTATGCCGTAAGTTCTGATGGATTACCTCCAAGCTGGGATAGTTGTCCTCTTTTACAGGCCTTGGGAGGTGTGCAATTTGTTTAGAGTTTCGATGTGGGACTGTGGACTTCAATTATGGGACTGCCACGTGTCCCTAGGGGTGAAGTTGCCCTAATCAGGCGATCGGTAGGAATGGTACTAAAGCTAGGTGCCGAAGGCTTCCATAGCTCTAGTTTGGTCCACGTGTCCGATGCTCATTGGCTATTCATTTTGGTATAAACAGGAGTCCCCCAAGTTCTCATGCGAGAGTTCTCGAAAGGGGACTTGAAATTGTCTTCGGAAGGAAATGTTGTCCTACCGTTCTGTAATCCAGCTGGTGGAGGGGCTCAACTTTGGCCCTTCCGTTCTTGTTCATTCAGAGGTTGACGTAGGGGATGTCAGAAGGTCGTGTCGAGTTGACGTGTGAAGAGACGTCTAGGCGCTTCGTCTTCCGTGCTGTCAGTCCCTCATAGGATGAGCGACACGTGGCGAGAGTAATCATGAGGCGCGGCGCATTAATGCGCCGTTTGGTTTTTCGAGGTGTACCGTTGCGAACCCTCGCCCTATAAATAGGGATGACCCCGGAGAGGAATTCACTTTGCATTTGTGAGGAGAGAGAGCTTTTTTTGAGGTGATTTCTGAAGAGAGCTAACGGTAAACCATGCGATTTCGGCTTTGCGAACGGCAAGAAAGGCGATTTTCGTCAAGGCGATCGGTAACATAGCTTGTGGTCTCCATCCAGAGATTGACATAAGGTACCGTTCGGCACCCTCAACTTACTCTCTTATTTAACTAGAGTTACGTCCTTCCTTGGTTTGAACTAGACTGACCATAGGGTTCCATTCGGTAGTCAAGTCGCCATAGGTAGCGATGTAGGGATCGGTAGGTTAGTATCCGGCATGGGCCTTAGTTTCCATTTTCCTTGTTTTTGTAGATGTCTGATAGCGAGTCATTTTCCGAGCGTGAGCCCAATGCGTCCGGTGAGGAGTCATCGGACGGTTTCTTTGACTTCGACAGTGAAGCGGTAGGCCCCGATGCCGGGGACAGAAGTGATACCGATGTTGAGATACTCGGTGAAGGCCCCAGCTTCGTTCCTTCGCATGGCATCGGGAAGGGGCTAATGACTGCACCAGTACCGTTGTCAATTGTCTATAGCGACGGTCGCCTCGTTGGTCAAGCCTTGCCTGGGAAGACAAGCGATGGTCGCTAGTTAGAGGCCTCCACTTCAAGCCGTGGAGACTCAGCCGCCGAACCATCTTCTCGGCCGAGGGTATCGGTAGTCTTTCCCAGCAATCCTAAGGTGCCGATGGGAGTTCCAAAGGAGCACCTATTCGGCGTAGATTACCTGGAGCCCAACAGGATTACCGAGAGAGAGATCACGAAATATCGCGCCGAATATTTCATACCAGATTCAGTAGGGATGAGGATCCCAACGGCAACCGAATCTCTAAGTAAGCCGAAGGAGGGTGAAGTCGTCTTCTTCACGGACGTACTTCTGCAAGGGGTGAGGCTTCCGCTGCAGCCTGTTGTTCAAAGGATCTTGGCATAGATCGGCTATGCTCCCGTCCAATTCAACCCCAACTTCTGGGTGGCGTTGATGGGAGTGGTCACGGCCTTCGACATGGTTGGCGAGGGAGCATCTTCGTACGAATAGTTCTCCCATCTCTATCATGTCACCAAGTCGAAGTATGTCGACCACGGGGGTTGGGTTCAGGCTAATTGCCTGAAGGCTACCGAGCGCGGCCATTTTATCAGTGCCGTGCCAACCTCCCAGAAGATGTGGAGGAAACGGCGGGTGCTTTTGTCCGGTGATGGGGAATCGGCATCGGGAAATCCCGTCCGTTTCCACATACCTACCACCTTCCAAATAGCCGGTAGGCCATCGTACCATTCGGTAGGTCTTCGAGTGTGTAGGCGTCTCTCAGGAGTTTTGATTCCATTTCTTTTTTTGTGCAAGCAAATTGAAGCAGCCGAGCACCACCCAATCGGAGATCCGGCAGATCGACAGGGTAAGGCTGAAGGTCCCTGCTGTGGAGAGAGTGTACCCGAAGTTCCTCTTCACCGTCAATCTCATCAAGGCTCAACTTGTCAACCATGCCGAGAGTAAGTGTACTTGTTCATTATGACTCAGCTTATTGTCATAATGAGAATTCTCACCGATCTTGGTTTTGTAGTGACGGAAGAGAGGAGGGCTGCCGAGACGAAGAGGATGAACGAGTCCTCCAAGCGACGCCTTATGCTCGGCCTCTAAGAGAAGAATAAGAAGAGCCGGTAGCCGGAAGCGGTACCAGCTTCATCGGGAGGAGTCGACCCTGAAGACCTAACCCTCAACGAGCGTCGTCGTCAACTCAACGCTGAATCAGCGCCTGGAGCGACGGCGGCCGGTCTGTCTCCTAGCCGAGGTGTGCCTACCGAGGGCACCTCCTCCAAAGCAGCTGGCAAGCGCCCATTCACCGTCAATCTGGATGCCGATTACGCCCCGAAGCTCGGGCGCAGACTGAGCCTGCTCAGGCCATCTTCGCTGCTGAAGACGACGAGGCGCCTGCCGAACCCGTCACTCTGGCCTGTCTGTCGAAGACGATACAATTTGTGAACCACATGATCCTCAGTTCACAAATGGAGCTGTCCGAGATCGAGGACCTGCCGTAAGGCAATATTTTCTGAACACCTTGATGCCGAGGGCATCTTTTTATTCAAGCAGTTTTAATTTTCAACGTTGATTGTCAAGTAGTTTCACTTTCGGCATGTTTCTGCTTTAACTTGCCCTAGGAACTTTTTAAATGCTGAGGGCTAGATAAAAGTTTACCAGCCGTGGGCCAATAACAAGCTAACTTCCGAAGTTCAAAATTAATCATTGTAATTGCCGAAGGCAGAATGATTGAATTAACTACCGTAGGCTAGTATAAGTTCAAATTTCGAGTGAACCTTGAATCGGTAAGCAACTTAGGACTTAACGCTTTACTGCCGGGGGCTAGTAACAGAATAACTCTGAAGTGAACCTTTAAAGTGCCGAGGGCTAAATAAGGTGATCTTAATTGCCGAAGGCTAATAAAAGGGTTTTTAAAATGTAGTATACTGCGACCGATGGTCTCTACCACATCTTTTTTTTAAAAAATGAACACACCGAAGGTTGTGAATATAAGTGCCGAAGGCCTTTTCATTAATAATTTCCGAAGGTAAAGAGACATTTGGAGTTCGTTTTATAATTGAAAACCTGCCGTAGGCTAGGGAACTCGACATTGCCGAAGGCTTGGTGACTTCATTTACCAATGAGCCGAAAGCTTTCTCAACAATGTTTTCAACTTGCCGTAGGCTGGGTGACTTCATTTAAAATAATATTTCAAATGCTCTACATTCCACGGATGACCGAGGGTCTTTCCGTTGGAGTCCCTAAGCCGATAAGTTCCCGATCGCTGGATGCCGATGATCTCGTAAGGTCATTCCCAGGAAGGTCCGAGGGTTCCTTCCCTGGGATTCTTAGTTGCCAGAGAGACTTTTCGCATGACCCAATCTTCGACTCGGAAAGAGCGGGATCTGACCCTGGAGTCGTAGTACCGAGAGACGCGCTGTTTGTAAGCTTCGTTCTGAAGGTTGGCTTGCGCTCGGCGTTCTTCGATCAAGTCGAGGCTCAAGGTGAGTGCCTCCTCATTCACCTTTGGGGCGAAAGTTTCCGTTCGGTAGAAGGGTTCTTCGATTTCCACTGGGACTACCGCTTCCGAGCCAAAGGCCATGGAGAACGGTGTTTCCCTGGTTGCCGTTCAGTAGGATGTCCGGATGGCCCATAATGCCTCTGGAAGCTTCTCCGGCCAGGCTCCTTTGGCCTTGTCAAGCTGTCGTTTCAATAGCTTCTTGACTATTTTGTTCATCGCTTCGACCTGACCGTTCGATTGGGGGTGAGCTGGCGAAGCAAAGAACAAATTGATCTTGAGGTGAGTGCAGAATTGCCTAAAGGCGTCCGAATCGAATTTCCTGCCTTTATCGGTGATGATGGCGTAAGGGATTCCGAATCGGCAACAAATGTTCGTCCAGATGAAATCTTCCATTCTGGCTGCCGTTATCGTTGCCAAGGCTTCGGCCTCTACCCACTTGGTGAAGTAGTCTACGGCAACAACAGCATATTTGACCTGGTCCTTGCCTTGCGGCATAGGGCCGATCAAGTCTAGTCCCCACTGAGCGAAAGGCCATGGGCTTACGATCGGTGAGAAAGGCTAAGCAGGGATGTGAGGGACATTACCGAACCGTTGGAATTTGTCGCACTTCTTGACTAGGACGTTTGCATCATGGTGTAAGGTCGGCCAGAAATACCCCTGCCGGAAGACTTTGTGTGCTAGCGACCGGGACCCTGAATGGTCACCACAGACCCCACTGTGAACTTCCCGAAGGACGTAGTCCCCCTGCTCTTTGGTGAGGCATTTCAGATACGGCGTGGTGTAGCCTCGCTTGTACAGAACATCGTCTAAGACTGTGTATCGGTGGGCAGGGTTCCGTTCGTAGGAAGGCATATATGGAGACATCCATGTGTCCTCGTACCGTACGGTACACACTTCAGCCGTTGTCGTGCTGGCTGGGATAGTATCTCCTCCGGCACCTTCCTTCCGATCTTATAGTTTATTGCCGAAGCTAACCGCGAGAGTGCATCAGCGTGACTGTTCTCTGACCTGGGGATAAAAAAAAAAAAAAAAAAAAAAAAAAAAAAAAAAAAAAAAAAAAAAAAAAAAAAAAAAAAAAAAAAAAAAAAAAAAAAAAAAAAAAAAAAAAAAAAAAAAAAAAAAAAAAAAAAAAAAAAAAAAAAAAAAAAAAAAAAAAAAAAAAAAAAAAAAAAAAAAAAAAAAAAAAAAAAAAAAAAAAAAAAAAAAAAAAAAAAAAAAAAAAAAAAAAAAAAAAAAAAAAAAAAAAAAAAAAAAAAAAAAAAAAAAAAAAAAAAAAAAAAAAAAAAAAAAAAAAAAAAAAAAAAAAAAAAAAAAAAAAAAAAAAAAAAAAAAAAAAAAAAAAAAAAAAAAAAAAAAAAAAAAAAAAAAAAAAAAAAAAAAAAAAAAAAAAAAAAAAAAAAAAAAAAATTTTTCTTCATAGAATTCAATTCAATTTTTAGTACCCTATATTATATAAGAAGGAGAAAAAATTTCATGTCACGAAGATGTACAAGGCAACGTTACCACATAAATATCCTACACTTTTGTATTGGGGATGTGAAGGTGCTCCAATCCCATCCACAGTTGTACCAAAATGCACAAACAGTTCTATGTGACAGACTGCCACATGAGGTGCTCAATCTTCTTATTTGAGTGATTTTTATAAATGGTCTTGAAGTTTATGAAGTTATCATCTTTTGTTCTTAAGACTTATTTATGATATGACTGATATTCACAATGACTTTCCGTACATCACATTGGTCCATGTCGTGAAATCACACCCAGCGAGGGAACTGACGGGTCGGTAGTGGACTACAACCGACCTTTCTGCATTTCTATTCTGAAAACCCCCAACAGAGTGTTGATTACTCAAAATTCATGGCCTGAAATAAGTGATGGTGGTATGATTACGAATACACTTTGTAAAAAAAAAGTGATGACTACTTGACTATCGAAAATTAATTCACTGGCTTCTCCACCAACTCATATAATCTCATGTTTATATAATATAATTGAGGCCCAAATTTCCCCTGTGTTGTATGTATTATGTAATATCTTCCCAATTTCGATTTTGTTTTCATCGAGGGTGCCCAAAGCAGAGAGTTTTTTTTTCTCTTCAATACTCTGAGATTGTTCAAACCTTTTCACACTTGAGTGTCGGCCCTCATTCTTGTTTACCAAGTCCAAGTATTGGTCTCTTTACGAGGGGAACTTGCATGTCACAAGAATGTCGTTGTTTTGCTATTCTCATCCAATTACAACTCTTGTCATGTGGAATTTTTATTAAGTGGGACCGAACGTGATTGATTGGGGATAAAAAAAACCAATGATCTCTATAATATACAAGTTTTTTTCCTCTCCATATGTTACGTATACCTTTCATACGTGAATTCACAACAGTAAAAACCACCACACGCCGAAACAAAAAAAAAAAAAAAAAAAAAAAAAAAAAAAAAAAAAAAAAAAGAAATATCTCTACTACAAAAGCTTATCTTTTTATCTTAGACACTAGCTAGTCAACTAGCACTTGTAAAAAAATTAAGACAGCCACTTGACCTGGTCTTTACCCACAAAACACTCTATTCATGTTTACAGCTAGAGCCATTGTATATCCTATTCACCCTAAGAGGGGAGAGTGGGACCAGGCACACTAGAAATATTGTTCTAGCCTCTCCTCTATCGGATCAAGTTAGCAAAAGTCTGTTTGAAGCTCAAGCTGTAGGCCTCGAATTGATCCAGTTTATGTCTTTGTGATAGGCGTGCCACTGTTGAAACTTTAGCCAAGCCAACATAAAAAGATGGATTAATTAATGATGGATTGTGCTTATAATCTGAGGTCTAATCAAGTTATTGTGTTCTAAATGGGAACCGGCTTAAATTAGTTCTTTAAGGAGATCGGACACTTGCTTTTTTTTTTTCTTTTTTTTTTGGTGTTTGTATGATTGTGTTGATGTCACTCACATATGAAAGCAATCAAGGGTCGATTTACCAGCAACCCATTTGGTATTGCAAATGGACATAAAGAACCAGAAGGGATCACAAGTGAGTCCATCCTCATTTCATTGTTTTATCGGAAACATTGTGCTCGGTTTATTTGTTGTGTTGTAATTAATATATTATTTTTTGATTTTTGATTTTTTTTTTTTTTTTTTTTTTTTTTTTTTTTTTTTTATGTTTTTAGATGTGGTCCTAAAAGATGTGCAATCCCCTTTGATGAAGGTGAATACTATTTGGGGAACCAATTTCTATTGAGACAACAACAAGAAGTTTTATTTTTATTTTTTAATGATGACAGTCCTACAATTTTTTTAGTAAAAGCGTTTAGGGAGGGGGATTTACACTAATATTCATTGGGTGGGTGCTTGGGATTTTTGAACCTCTGCCTATATGGTTGGAGGTGGATGAGTCCAACCAACTGAACTATAACCCCATTGGCATGACACTTCCTAATTGCATATAAGAGATATTAAGAAATCATAAAAACTTAAAATAAAATAGAAAACCCTTTGGGCCGACCACTTTCCCTAATGTTTCTCTTCTCTTTCTCTTTTGCCCTACCTCTCTTGTATTCTCTATGCAAAAGTCTCAGTTCATACCAATCGAAGCCCTTTCGGTCCTCAACTCTGGAAGAGTCTAATAAATCGGGGCGATTGGATTGGAGCCTAGCAACAGTGGAGAGCCTCCGATATGAAGTTCAACAGGGGGACCAGTCTCTGATTGTTATGGTTGACACTTTTAGAGAGAGAGAGAGAGAGAGAGAGAGAGAGTGTATGTTAGCCAATGAGGGAGGAGGAGCAGGGGCGGAAGCGCAGAGGGACAAATGGGGTCAAGCGCTTGTATTTATTTATTTAAATCTGGCGTCATTTTGAACCAGGTAAAAAAAAGAAAAAAAAAAGAACCCAACATCAGCCTTACCCCGACTCTTCCAGCAAATTCCAAAGCCAAACACAATTTTCCCTCTCCTCTCTCATACCCTACCTAATCCTCAGCTTTACCCCGGTGATGAATTTGAATTTATTGATATGATATTGATATTAATTGTTAGGACAAACTACACTTTAGTGGCTGGAGGTTTAGTGTCAGTCTCGAAATGGGCCCCAAGGTTTTAATTTCATCAATTTGATACCCAACATTTCGAAATATTACCAATTGACACCAGCCGTTACATTGACCGTCAAAGTCAGCTGTTAAATGCTGACGTGGCAGTCGTGGGACCCACCTCATAACCAAACAGCAGTTAGAAAGGGATGAGACGATGGGCAATTTCGGAAAAAAAAAACACGTGTTCCAAGGCTTGCGTGCTTCCATTACCAGGATTGGAAAAATCGAACAAAATCAGATTGATTGGATTCGTGTTTTCGGGAGTAAAGGAGCGAGAAACAAATTGGAGGGAAACTGACGAAGAGGATTCGATTGGCTGGGCGAAATGAATGAAGAGGCGCCGATGTGTTGGTGCGGAAAGGTTGCTACAATTCGAACCTCTTGGACAGATTCGAATCCTGGGAGGCGATTTTCCATGTGTGCAGCAAAGGTACGTGAGACTAAGAAGGGTTTTAAGGGCTGTCAATTCTGGGCATGGTTTGATCCGGCCATGTGTGAACGGTCGAAGGCAGTGATTCCTGGGCTTCTAAAATCACGGAATAAGCTGGAGAAGTCAGTGGCAAAGGTACGATGGGCTTCATTTAGCCCTTCTTTATTCAACCTTTCTTCATTCAGCCCTTCTTCATTCAACTCTTTGCCTTCTCCACCTGCTTCTTCATTCAACTCTTCTATTACAACACTTGTTTTTTTCACCTTTTGCACATTACCAACTCCCCCACCCACTGGAACAATGGCACCATAATTGTCATCAAGCTCTTGTAAAACTACCCCAGTATTGGTCCCAAAATCTTCATCCAGATTTATAAATATGTTTGAACCCACTTGACTGTAAAACTGCTCTTGACTGCATGCCAACACATGTTCTAGGAATATATTTATCACCCTAGTGTCTGGCACAAATACTAGCATGTCTAAGACATCTGTATCCTCACTCAGCTTAACTAGGCCACCATCAAAACTATCACATGGAATACTGTACCAGTAGTTAATCAAACCTTCGTGCCCTAACTCCTTCACCATGGCATCTATCTCAGTCATTGACATTCTATCCTTATCACAATAATCAAACCAATCCACAGACCCATTCACATAATAGTTACCTCTTATTTCACCATTGTGGTACATTTGAATAGAAAATCCTACCTCATCCCCTGCAGGTCCAAAGCCACATATGAATTTTACCAATTTTACCCAAAAATAATACATGTACTCCTGTTTACAAATCCACACATACAAATACAAATACATATACATATACATAAACATATACATATACATATATTCAAATGCAGATATACTAACAGACAAATACAAACACACATATACAAATGTAGGTTTCTATGTCACTCCACACATAAACAAAAGGTAAGATTCACAGTGGTTGTAGGACCACATACAAAAGGCAAAGTTTACTTCCGCATACCACCTACCATTCACACCATTCCATCCACCAATTAAATAGACAAAGTGATACCGACACCTAACTAGAAACTCACAATCCATTATAAAAGCCAAACTTTCAGTCGACACCAAACTCGAAACTGACTCTATTTGAACAGTAAGCCATACATACCGTAGAAAGGTTCTCCATATCCTTCTGGACGAAGTCCCCAACTCATATTCTTCAGATCTTTCGGAAACCTCCGATTTAGTATGTTTTTTTGCAGTCTATTTCAAATTTCTGCACTCCAAAACACGAACAAACCATCAAACCCTCAAACCCTCTCCTCTATGTATGTCTGTCTCCGTACACGAACAAATCTCAGAAACTGAGTTTGTTCGATTTTTCCAATCCTGGTAATGGAAGCACGCACGCACACCTTGGAACACGTGTTTTTTTTTTTTCCAAAATTGCCCATCGTCTCATCCCTTTCTAACAGCTGTTTGGTTATGAGGTGGGTCCCACGACTGCCACGTCAGCATTTAACGGCTGACTTTGACGGTCAATGTAACAGCTGGTGTCAATTGGTAATATTTCGAAATGTTGGGTACCAAATTGATGAAATTAAAATCTTGGGGCCCATTTCGAGACTGACACTAAACCTCCAGCCACTAAAGTGTAGTTTGTCCTAATTGTTATTTGGATTTAAGTAAGCAAGTAAGCGCAGAAACAACAGAGCTTTACCCATTGCAGATTCGCAAGCACAAGTTGTTATTTGCTTCAATTGAATAAAAAATTGCTCAAAATACGGGTTTTATTGTTCCTTGATCCTTGTTCAGTAGTTAAATTATTGCTCTAATTTTTAGTTGATTTATTATTATTGTTTCTAGCCTTATTATGCGTTGAAGTGATTGTTGAGATTTTTATCTGGAAATAAAAAATGTTTCCTAGGTAGTGAACAAATATCAAAACATATCATTTTAGTGATGAATTAATCTATAAGGGGTTCTCAAAAACAAAAATTCTTCAAAAAAAATGTGTCTATAAACTAGGGGTGGTTGCTGTTCGGTAACCGCGAATTTTTACTCAAACCGCAAACCGACCGACTATTTGCGGTTTGGTAGTGGTCGGTTACCGCGCATTAGCGGTTTAAAACTGCAAGTTCTCAAGCATTCACAAAAATATAAATTCACAACCTCAATTTTTCAAACATATATAAATTCACAATCTCCTCAATTTCTCAAGTATTCACAACCTAAGAAAATTAAAGTTATAATTCCAAGCATTCTAATTAAAGTTAAACTTCTCAATGATTCCAATTCCAATTCCAATTCCTTTAAAGTTATAAACCAAAAGGAAAATGCAAAGCAAAATGAATTAAAGTTACAACAAAAAGAAAAATCCAATTCAAAGTTAATTAAAGTTACAAAATAAAAGGAAAATGTAATGCACCAATGTTACAAACTCAAGTGTTGGTGGTGAGTGGATTTGAAGAACCCCGTTGTATTGTTTGAGCACCAATGTTATCTACAAATAAAACAACATAGTTTAGTACATTTTATTATAAGAAGAAGCATAAATAACATTAGCATAAATAAACTAATTACTTACAAGTTGTCATATATTTCATTTCCTTGTAGAATTCAACCTCATCATTCGTACGGCTATACTTTGCGGTTTGCGGTAACCGCAAGTTTTGAAAATCAAATACTGCAACCGCAACCACAAATGCGGTTCGGTTCTTAATACCTCAAATGCGGTTCGATTTACCGCGATTGCAGTTTCATTGCGGTAAATTGTCGGTTGGTTTTTGTGGTTTTTTCGGTTTAAAATGCCACTCCTACTATAAACCCTTCTTCTTCTGGGTATTAGACAAAGAGTTTCTAGGATAGGTTGGGGTTGATGGTAGAGTATTAGAGTGTGTGTGTGTGTGTGTGTGTGTCTTTTTTTTAATTTGTTTTTAATTTTTAATTTATTATTATTATTATTTAAATAATTAGACAGAAAATGACTCATTTGTCCTGAAAAATGCCTCAATAGTTTAGCCTAAAAAATCGACATCTTTACACGGTGACCCTATGATCCGAGTATCCTAGATTCACCACTGAGGAGGAGTGGAGCCTGATAAAAAGTGCCGTCAACTCCAGCTGCATGTTGTTTTATCTTTTTCCTTTTTAATTTTTAGAGTTCTTCCAATACAAACCCTTACAACTACTGTATCCTAGTCATATACCTGCCTATTTTTAAATCTTTATTGAAAACCCAAATTTAAAATAGGTTACCATGTGAGAAAGATTTGTCCTAGTATTATTAACTGAATTACATTATATGCCATCTACTTTCATATTTTATTTATAATTTATTTTCAAACATGTCATTAACTATGTTAATTATAATTAGGGAGTTTCACTAAAACACCCAAAATGGGGGTTGAAATTATAAAAAAACCCAACACCCAAAACACTCTATAAACACACCCAAAACCCATCATTACACACACTCAAACCCATTTATAAACACACCCAAAAAATATACAATTGTTGATTTTGGGGTTAATTTTGGGTGTGTTTCTATGTTTAAATAGTGCTTGGGTTTTTTTATAAATACATGTCTAGGATTGAGTTTATTTATAAATTTGTATTATAATTAATACTCCCTATTAATAGCATATCAATCACCCCATTTATTTTGGTTGGCATTCCCTCTACACATTGCCAATCCCTAAAATTTCAAACAAACAAAAAATCCCTAAATTACAAATCCAATAAATAATGTTCCTATAAAAAAATATAAATATTTATATAATATAGGTCCTTATTTATAAAAAAAAAAAACTTTGTAATTGAAATTGCTGTAAATATTTTTATAAATTAAAAATAGGTACATTATTTGCAACAAAAAATAAGGTGGTTTTTTTGGGGTCAGAAAATAGGTACGTTGTGTAATTGAAATTTATGTAAATATTTTTATAAATTAAAATAGGTACATTATTTACAACAAAAAATATTTTTTTTTTTTTTTTTTTTTTTTTTTTAGGTATGTTGTGTAATTGAAATTTTCCATGAATTAAAAATAGGTACATTATTTATTTAAAAAAATAGGTATGTTATTTATTGGTACACAATATAATTATATATTTACAAAAGATATGTAAAAAATAGGTATGTTATTCATTAAAAAAAGGGTGGAAAATAGGTACAAATAATAAGTACATTATTTTATGATAAAACATGATATGTATATTAAATGTTTCATCATAAATTCAATAGGCCCTAAACATGACTTTTTTAGATATTAAATGTTATTTTTCCTAAAAGAGAAAAAACTTACCCTAAAAATTCCTAAATTTAAGCCAATTTAAAACACCATTTTCCTTCTTTTTTTTTAAACACCATTTGAATAGTAATGACATTGAATTGCAGCAAATATGTTCAGCACAATCAATGGAGAAAACAACAATTGCAAATACCTAGGGGTATTTTTGGAATCTAAAAACTATAATAAATTAGATCTTGAGCTTGATAAGGTAACTTGATGAGGTGGATCCTAGTCATGGATTTTAGTAATTTGAACAAAAAGTGATAGATTGCAGTTAAGGAAAATTCAATTTGGAGGGGGTAAGCCAAATTTACTATAATTTTTATAATATTATTCTAGCTTGGGCGCCACTATGATTTCACTTCAACAATCCAAATATGTTTTAAAGTCTCATTCAAAGATCATCCTTCGAAAAAATTTGAAAAATTGAAAACCATTAAGACATCTAGTTTGTGATCAACAAAATTGACGAACACATTGTTTAAAGAGTACATTAAAGTGGTAACAATTTAATTGGTTTTTAGATTTGAGTGTGTTTTTTTTTTTGGGCAAAGAGATTTTTGAAGGAATACCTAAAAAATCGATAGTTTGAATGATTAAAATACAATGTGGAGTGGTCCCAACAAAGATGTGGGAGATGTTGGCATGACTTGTGGACCATTGACTTTCTTTCCTTACACACCAGGAATTCTCATTATAATTGTATTTGATTTACTTTAATTTATGATTTCCTACTGTAAATAGAAATAGGAATTTGGGAAATGCTAGCAACCTTCTCTCTAACCTTTTTCTTTGGACCTTCTCCCATCGCTTGATGACATGTGTCATTTATTTCTTAGGGGGGGTGTATTCAATTAGGATTCTAAAGAGTTTAAAAAGATTTTAAAAATCCAGGTGTATTCAATTTGGATTTATACAAACTTTTAAAATGTCTATAACAGTTTGGGTGTATTCAATCTAGACTTGTTTGAACTTTTAAAATGTCCATTTAAATGTAGGTGTATTCAATTAGGACTTGGAAAAAGTCCAAATAAATTTACCTGTATTCAAAAGGAGATAGATTTGGAAGGATTTAATTAAGTGTTTGAGTTAGGAGATTTTGTAGGGGTTTAGGTATAAATAATAAGGGCCAGCATAAGTCCAACCTCCACCCCAAAGATTTCAAACGACGTTTTTTTTTTTTTTTTTTTCTCTACAGAAGACGAACCACGCTCCAAAGGTATGCTCTCTCAATATTCTTGTTGGTTTTCCTTCTTCTTCAATGGTTTTTCTTGTTTGTTACTGTTCGTTGATGATTATTGGTTGATGTTTTTCTTGTTTTTATAGAGGTTTTGGTTGTTATAGAGTGTAGCTTGTTTTTAGGGTTTATCTTGGGGTTAGGGTTTATTAGAAACAAGATTTTTTTTTAATTGTCTGAGAAATTGGAGAGGATCCAGAGTTGGCTCTAGGTGAGTTCTTCTGGTCATTTGACAATACTCCACTCATCTGTGGGTGGGTTGGTTGAATAATAACGTTAGTTGGTGGAATTTTTCATTGGGAATAGGAAATAAATTTAAGGTGCTATTGCTAAAAATGCAAGCTTTGACCATTGTTAAGCACGTGGTGCCTCAATTTGAGTCCATAAGTTGTAAGTTTTTTTCCCCCACCCTGTGTGTGTTTAATCATCTTTTTATTATATATTTATGTACTTGAATCCATAAATCCAATGCCTTTTCAATTACCCAGATCCTGAAAGAGAGGGAAAAATGAGTTTGTTATATTATCTTCTTTGGGTGCTGTTGATAGCTGTTTTGGATTTTGCTATGTTTTTCTGCACTTTTTATGTGATATTGCTTGATGGGTCTCGTGATTTGTTGTTTGGTTATATGGATGCATACGTAAATAGCTGCATATAAAATTTTCTTTTTTTGTTGGCTTGGTTTTTATGTGTTGGTATATCATAATTAGTCTATTGTTATCCTTGTCTGTATGGCTAACAATAATTTGCATGTTTATATATATATATATATATATATATATATATAAGAAATGGGAGATTGCGAACAAGTAACTGGAAAAGGGAAAGCCAAGAAAGATTATAGTGCTTGGAGTGTGGAAGAGAGCAAAATGTTGTTGCAGCTCATGGTTGATGCTGCATCTCGTGAATGGCGTGATGCCAATGGCGTGCTAAGCAAGGCAACTGTAGAAACTAAAATACTTCTCATCCTTAATGAAAAACTTAGGTGTCAGAAAACCTATTGTCATTACCAAAGTCAGTTGAAATATATTAAGAGAGAATATCAAAAATATTCACAGCTTATGTGTCATAACTCTGGATTTAGGTGGGACTCAACCACAAAGGACTTTGTTTATGATAATGACACTCAGGCCTTTGTACCAAATCATAATGAAGCATCATAAGAAGATCCACCACTCGAACATTCTTCTTCATCCTTACCTTTTCAGGCCAATATTTGGACAGGTCCCTCAGAAAGCTCAAGCCAGAGGAAATGAACTAGACCAGAGCATGAAGGGAATGGTAGCCAATATGAGACATGTATGGACATAATTATTTTTAGCATTGCTGAAATTGCTACCGACTTCAAGGGAGTCCATATCCTATTGGAAAAAAGGGAAAAAGACAGGGAGAGGCAGAGTTATATATGGGATGCCATTAAGGAGACCCCAAATGTGGATGAACGTGCTTGTTAGAAAGCCCTTTCTTTGTTGAATACTACTACAAAGAAGGAAGCATTTTTGTTGATGTCCCCTGAAGAGTGCTCAAGTTGGATATCCTACAATTTGGAATGAGTGCTTTTTGGGAATGAGTGGGTTTTGGGGATGAGTGGTTTTTTTGCTTGATAATGCATTAGGATTTATCAAACAGTATTTTTAAATACTCTATGTTTTATTTATTTTGCATATGACGTATTGACTTAAATTTTTATTAAATTGATGATGAACTGGTTTTATTATATTGATGATGAAATAGCTTTGCTTGGTTGTAATATGTGCTTGGTTATTGTTTTTATTCCAGGTTCTAAATTAGGCTACTTGTTATTGGGTGTTGATGATAAGTTTCCTATTGTTATTTGGAAGAGGATGACGGTTGCATAATAGCTTTTCCTATTCTGTCATTGCTCTTGGTCTTTTGAGTCCTTGTCTTGAGTTGGGCATGAACCCAAAAGAAATTAATAATTATAATATCATATTTCTTATATATATTTTATTTCAGGTGGTCGAATATCAATTTATATAATGGAGGAAGAACAAATTGAAAGGCAAGAAATTGAGAGGGAAGAAGAACTTTATGAAATCATTAGGTATTTATTAATGGCAATCCAAGCATAGCTCATGCGTTGAATGAGTTTATGATTATCATGCATAGTGAAAATGTTGAACGTCCATTAACTCAGCGAACAGTTACAAGGAACAGATATAACTACATACATAATGCTTTGAGTGATGATCTTGAGCATTTACGACAAATGTATAGAATGTATCCAGATGTGTTTCACAAGTTGTGCAGTATTATTAGAGAAAAAAAATTGTTACAAGATACATGGTTCATTTGTGTAGAAGAAATGCTTGCGACATTTTTGCGTATTGTGGGTCAAAATAACATATTTTCTGTAATACGTGATACATTTGGTCGATCCCACTTCACTGCTAGTAGAAGTTTTAACAAAGTTTTAAAGGCTTTGAACACATTAGCACCGGAGATGTTAGTCAAACCTGGATCTGCAGTGCCAGCCAAAATAAGGAAAGTACAAGGTTTTACCCTTACTTTAAGGTAAGTGATGTCTTGTGCATCTTGTTTATTTTTATGTAATATTTTTAAAATCAAAATATAAACTTTGAATTTATTTTAGGACTGCATCGGAGCGATCGATGGCACACATATTCCAGCAATGGTTGACAGGACCCGCCCCGAATTTCCCGGAACCCGAGACAAACCCTGCGGAGACCCCGGCGTCACACCCACGCCGGGTTCACTCCTTAAAACTATGTCCTCTTTTACCAGAGAGGATTTATGGCACTAGACTTTCTGCCAAAATTTCGGCAGAGTCTCCCCTGCAAATTGAACATTCCCCAAAATTTCCACCTGCATAAAACACATCTTATAACCCAACCAGCAGCACGCACAATATAATCTCATGCAATTTACATAAATGGCCTCCGGCCTTCAAATGATTTTAGCAGAACTACTCACACTGTTTTCAAAATAACTTAATGCATCACACATGCACAAATCCAATTCGAAATCCATCCCTACACACCTTCACTCACTCAGTCACCGGACAAGCCTCAATTCAACCAAGTTTAGGGACCAACCACGAGGTCCGCATCATACTCGATAAAACCACCTAAGTGGTGTCTAGGTCGTGGCTGCACCTAGGCGCTATCCCAGGCTGCCTACGTACCCTACTAAGGGATCAAGCCACACGTAGCTCTTTCCTATCAATCCTGGCTCCTGATATCAATTAAACCATTACCTCCATATAAATTCATACATTCTCGGGTTTATCCATCACAACACACCAAACACAATCACATAGCTCCCCTCATACGTCGGGACGCACCCGGCCACGTACGGGGTCTGTCAACACGCCGGCTAATCCAAAGACGCGTGCGACCTCACACTGGGCCTGGTTACATTCTCACCAGCCATCATACCATCATATCTCCCACTCATACGTCGGAACGCACCCGGCCACGTACGGGGTCTGTCAACACGCCGGCTAATCCAAAGACGCGTGCGACCTCACACTGGGCCTGGCTACATTCTCACCAGCCATCATACCATCATATCTCCCACTCATACGTCGGGACGCACCCGGCCACGTACGGGGTCTGTCAACACGCCGGCTAATCCAAAGACCTCACACTGGGCCTGGCTACATTCTCACCAGCCATCTTACTGTCACTTGGGCCTGAGCATAATCACAATATGAGGGGTACGTGGGGTAGTGCGTATAGCACTGTAAACTAATATTCAATCTCCTTATATATCATTATACATCCACACAATTAATTAAATATATCAAACAATAACATCAACCAATAAAACATTCCATAAACTCCCACCATTTAAATTCACCAATTTATATCCTAAACCCATAATATCCATTTTACTCAACAACGCTCAAGACCTGTCACTAAGGTCATTCTAACCCTCAAATAAAGGTAAGACTATCTCGGAAGTCTCACGGTCAACCTAGGGTCAAACGGGCCTGCGGGGCCCACAACCTCCAAATTCCGATCTGACAGTTCCTATAGGTTCTACAAGGTCTAGGACACACGTCCTGCAAGTTTGGTCCAGATCGGACGGTCGGATCGTTCACGATCGCACGATCGGACGGTTACTAAAACCCTAACCCCAGGGTTGGCATTTCCGGAGTATCCGGGACTCCGTTTTACGATCCGTCAAATCCTACACGATCCTGGTAATACTTAGATCAACATATTATAATTTCAGAACCATCCAACGGTCCAAACCTAGCGAACCCGGAAAATACGCGATATGCGATATCCGTTCGGGACTCTAACGGTAACCAAATTGAAATCCGAGCACACCTACGCGCTCGTGACATCGAGAGGATCACATTGGGACAAAAATGCCCCTCAGCTACAGTGCCCACGCGCCGGCAGCGCGTGGGTGTCCAAAGCGATAACCCATCGCCGGAAAAACCACAAATCACGGCTCAAGACTCCTACCCTAGGTAAAACACCTAATTTGGAGTCACTTTTGTTCTTGGACGTACCCCAAAAACTGACCGGAAGTGGCCGGAATCTCCCCTCGAAATCCGGCCGAAATCCAATTCGAAGATCAGACCTCCTACGCTCAAAATCGATGCAATCCTACCCCACCATCAGCTAGATCATGCAGAAGGGATGAATTTCCATACCTTGATCGCCAAAAATGGCGGCCGGACGACGGAGAACGAAGCCGGCGAAGTTTCTGTCAAAACCGGAGCTTTTCTCCTCGTTTTCCGGCGAAATCATGGCGGCTGGCGACGGGACCTGGCCGGGGTAGGAAGAGGACGGCGGCCCGGTCATTTTGGTACCGGCCCCGTCGACTTTGGTGGCCGGATGAGCGAACGGCCGGCCAAAACGTGGTCGGCCACGGTGGCTGTCGCGAAAACCAGAGGAGAGAGGGAGAGACGCGCGGGAGAGAGAGAGAGTGTGTGAGAGACGGGGGCAATTCCGTCTTTTAACCAAAATCCCACTTCAAAATATTTACGATTATGCCACTGAGCTTCATTTGACCATATCTCTCCCGTTACAACTCCGATTCAAGCCCACTACATGTCTACGAACTCATCTCGTCGTGCTCTACGCATCGGTACATCCGGAATTCCCAAATTCCTTCCGGGTAAGAAAATGACTAAAATACCCCTATCCCACGGGTAATTTCTCAATTCCACTTAAATAAATTAAAACATGAGATAAATTTGGGGTCGGGGTGTTACAATGGTAACAGGAGGTGACGTAAGAAGCCATCGTAATTGTCACAGAACAATATCACAAAATGTATTAGCAGCTTGTAACTTTGATTTAGAATTCATATATATGTGGTGGGAGGGCTCAGCTCATGATTCAAGAGTACTAAATGATGCTTTAACAAGAAGGAATGGACTTAAAGTGCCACAAGGTATTTTTTTTCTTTTTCTTTTTTCATTTACTGTTTACATTAGATCATACATTGGATACTAAAATATGTGTATTCAATTATCAGGTAAATATTTCTTAGTGGATTGTGGATTTCCAAATCAACGACAATTTTTGGCTCCATTTCATGGTGTTCGATATCGTCTCCAAGAGTTTGCAGGTCAAGGTCGTGACCTTCCAAATGAAGTTAAGTTGTTCAATCTTCGTCACGCGTCCTTGAGGAATGTCATTGAGAGGATCTTTGGTATATTTAAATCACGATTTACAATTTTCAAGTATGCACCTCCATTCCCATATAGGACACAAACAGAGCTAGTTTTAGCTTGTGCTGGACTACACAACTTTCTTCGAAAGGAATGTCGATCAGACGAGTTTCCTGTTGAATTGGAGAATGAATCTTCTTCATCTTCATCATTACCGGTTAATGAAGGGGATCCTGAACTAGTTTTCCAAACACAAGAACAACAACGAGCACATGCTAATGAATGGAGAGTTGGTATAGCTTTGAATATGTGGAGAGATATTGGCCACAATGACAACAATGATAACAAATGAATGTTGCATATTTTTCTTTTAGCATTGCTTTCAAACTTGTTATAAATTTTTCACTATACTTTCGTGAACGCCAATTACTTTGAATTTCTTGTAATATTTGATTTTCGTTAATTTATGGTGGGTTCGTGAAGACAAATTGATATGAATCTATAACAAAAAGTACAACGTCTGGCACAAATACTCAGAAAGGTACACCATCCCATTTACATGTGGAGGGCAGTGTGGGAGATGATTGTCTTGTGGCATAATAGCTGTTGTAGCATGATTTTGCATATCATGCAGATTCTTTTGATAAACATGGGCTGATGATGACATCATAACTTGATTGACAGCCCCAGACATATAATATTGATAGGCAGCTTGGGCAGGTGTGCCAGAAAAATCATGTTGACGTTCATTTCTTGGATGCATAGGCATCGGAGAGTATCTATTTTCCTCAGCACTCTTTTGATTTTGAAGTTCCATTGATCCAAATGGGGGACTAATGCCACCTCAAGGGAGTCCATAGCTAATAAAAACACATCTAATACATGGAGGAGTAATGCCACCTCTGCAGGTTTCAACGCACCTGAATCATATAACCAAAATAGCTTTCAGTAATCGACTAGTGGCTAGGTAAAGAAAATAGCGTTGGGAAGAAAGAGTAATAAAAGTCTATGCAAATTGATCTGAATCTATAATAAAAGTCTATACAAAAGTATGGAAGTCTATAATAAAAGTTTATACAAGTTTATTAAACATCCGGGTAAAACCTATAGGAGTTATACAATTCCAGGAAATCTGTCACTTAAAAAAAACTTTCAAAATCTTATACAATCCTAATTGAATACACCCCCCCTTGGTTAACAATGTCATTAAGTACAAAAAAATATATTAATTATATGTCCATTTATGCCCTTAATAAAAACTAAACATTTGTACGGGTTTTGACTCTCTCTCTCTCTCTCTCTCTCTCTCTCTCTCTCTCTCTCTCTCTCTCTCTCTTTCTCTCCTCCCGCCTCTTCCTCTCTATTTTTTCTGCTCGCCCCTTCTTCTCTAGAAATTTGGCCCCAACCCTACCACTCTCCACCCCTCCACTCTCACCCAACAGTCACCCATCCTTACCCACCTCTACCAGCCCAATCACAACCCATTCTTGCTAAAAGGTTGAAACTTTGAAATTTGGATTTACCCAAATTATATCTGGAATTTACCCAAACTTTGAAATTTAATGATATCGTTTGATAATTTGAGGTTGGGGTGTACAAGCCATCCTATAATCATGATTCACTCTCAAATCTGATTTAATGCTTTGAGATGCAAGGATCTTATGGGTTTTCAGTGGGTCTTCCAATAGGGAAAAGAGGGAGATGAGTGCAGGGACTTGTGGGGAGGATTGGGTGTGTTGAGAATTTTTTTTGGGGTGTGTGGGTTGGGGGTTACGGTGGGTGGGGATTGGGAAGAAGGTGGGTGAGGGGGGCGGGGATGAAGATCAAGGAGAGAGATAAGATTTGTTTTTTGTTTTTTTTTAAAAAAAAATTGGACTTAACCATGTCAAGTGTCAATATATTTCAGGCATAAGAGTAAACTTGGAAACAAAAGCTAGGTTGTCTTATGTATTAACAACATTGGTTTAAGTGTAACAAGAATGACACATGTCATGAGGGAAAGAGAGAAGGTCTAAAAGAGAATGTTAAAGAAAAGGTTGCTAGCATTCCCCTAGGAATTTATTATTTACTTGGTCACTAAGGCTCTATATGAAATGGATTTTAGAAACACACTCAAATCTCATCTACAACATAACAAAAAGGCTTTTAACTTCTTTTAAATTACAAAAATGCCATTGATTTCTTAAAACAAACCCAACCTCAAAACCTCATAAGAAAGCCCAAAACACTCAATGGGCCATCAAAGTAATTTAATAATTAAAATTAAATTCAATATGGCAAGCTATCATTTTTTGGGTGTTTTTTTTGGGTTTGTTTATAGAAATTAAATGGTGTATGGTATATTTATAGTTTTTGTGCTAAAAATGGGTATATGACTAAATATCTCTTATAAATATGACCTCCTATAAGGAGAGGAATATACAGAAAATTCCTACAAAACAAATATTCTCATATTAGGTTTCATATTTTAGCATGGTATCAGAGCGTCGATCTTGGAATTGCTAACTCTAGTTTCAAACCCCGCAACCGCTATGGGGTTTGATGACTTTTTCAACCCTTATGGAGGTAGCACCACTAACTCTTTCTCTCTTTCTCATCCAACCATAGCCGAGTTGAGTGTCTAGGTGGCTTAGCTCCTACATATGTCGACTTCGGCCATGAACCCAATCTTGAATCAAGATCTTATTTTGACGACCCCGACCCCGACTACGATGACGACCTTGACCCCGACTCCGATGACGACCCTGACCCCGAATCTGTCTCTGATTCACACCCAGATCCCGACTTCGACTCTGAATTCGACTCCGACTCTGACCCCGACTCAAGCTTAGATCCCAATCCTTAGTCCTACTAAACCTGTATCTTATGCATCTTCCGCTGCACAGATTATGACTTCCCGATTTATGACCTCGACACATGGACAAGATTGCACATACTGTGGTGATCCGAGACACACTTGTGAGACTTGTTTTAAATTGCATGGCTATCCCAAATGGTGGGATACTTTCAAAGATCGAACACAACGAGATACGACCAATAATGATATTGGTTATGGATTCTGTACTTTGATAAGAGTGATTCCACGAGCTGGATAATGATTCTGGTGCAACTAATCATATGACATTTGATCCTGATGATTTTCTAAATACTACCCAACCCCGGTGAACTTGTACTGCTAACGCCAATGAAGTTACTTATCCTGTGATAGAGGGTGGCACTGTTGCACTCTCATCCTTTCTCGCACTGTCTAATACTTTACTTGTTCTATCTTTATCCAATAAATTGATATCCATCAGTCAGCTTACTGGACGATTGAATTGTTATGTACTCATTTACTCGAGTTTTTGTTTGCTTCAGGATATTCACATTAAGGAGATTCTTGGTCTTTGTACTAAGATAGGAGGGCTCTATTATGTAGATGTCTTCTGTCTCGACATGACTAATAATGTGATGCATCCCTCTGATAGCAAACAAAAGCAAATTTGGTTATGGCACCGTCGATTGGGATATCTGTCTTTTAGTTAACTGAAGTATCTTATACTATATTTATTCTTGTGCTTAAGGACTCCGACTTCAAATGTGATATCTGTATTTTGGCCAAGAATCACCTTGTGCCCTATCCATTGAGTACAAACAAGTGCACTACTCTGTTTACGTTAATTCTCTCTGATGTTTAGGGACCTTCACCTATCACTCCTCCTTCTAGTGTTTAGTGGTTTGTCACATTCATAGATTATTGTACACAGATGACATAGCTTTATTTGCTCAAAAATAAAAATGAAGTGTTTTTCCATTTTTTGTTTTTCCATAAACAGATGACAACTCAGTTCAATGCTCTAATACAGATTCTTCGCTCAGACTAATGGTGGAGAATTTGTGAATCATGACTTTCAGGCTTACTTCCAACAACATGGAATCATCCATGAAATGACTTGTCCTTAGACCTCACAAAAAAATGGCGTTGTTGAACAAAAGAATCGACATCTTCTTAAAATAGCCTGAGCACTTATGATTGACATCTTCTTAAACATGACTTTCATGTTTCTCGCCATCACTAGGATGATGTTGTTGTCACTGCAATTCACATGATCAACTACATGCCTTCTGGTGTATTGAACTTGAAAACTCTCTTAGAAGTGCTTGCGCAACACAGGCCCCTGCCCTCTGTTTTTGTACTCACACCTTGAATCTTTGGATGTGTGGCCTTCGTACATCTCCAAAAACATCAACGTACCAAACTTGATCCATGTGCTCTTCGTTGTGTTTTTGTGGGTTATGCCGCTTATCAAAAAACCTACAGCTGTTATCACCCTAATACCCGATGTACCCATGTCACTTTGAATGTGACCTTTCTAGAATCTGAGATGTTCTTCCATGACCGAACATCTAATTCTACACTTCAGGGGAAGATAAGAAGTGAAGAGCAGAATTAAAGAAACTTGGAAAACTAAGAAATTCGCCTCTATACAGAAGTGATAGATCGTCATGCCTTTGACGATCGATCGCCCCACCTTTGCCAATCGATCGCCCTAAAGTCTGGGGCATGAAATTGCTTTCAGCCAAGAAACGATCAACCGGGCCGAGTCTGGAGCACGAGATTGCTCTCCTCGGAAAAGTGATCAATCGCCCATCCATAGCAATCGATCGCTTGATTTGCCTAACCCTTGCGAAGATGTTTCCCATGTAACTACTCCTAAGAATATCCTTGAGATAACTACTCCTACTACACTTGTGAATTTAAAAGATAAATCTATTGGATACCAATTACCTTTTCAAGTAGAATCATGGGAAGCCACCAAACCGTTATTCACCTGATACTAGCAAGACATCAAAGTATCTAATTGCGAATCATGGATCAACCGAGAAGCTATCTAAACTACTCAAGGCCTTTGTGTATCAGTTGTCTACTATTCATATCCCAACCAAGATTGTTGAAGCATTGAAAGATCCTAAGTAGGTTCAAGCTATAAAGGAAGAGATGGAAGCTCTTGAGAAGAATCAGACTTGGACATTGGAAACTTTACCATAAGGAAAAAGGACGTTTACCATAAAACACAACGCTGATAGATTTATTGAACGATACAAGACTTCTAGCAAAAGGGTACACACAGACTTATGGTGTAGATTATGATGAAACCTTTGCACCAGTTGCAAAATTGAACACAATTATAGTCTTATTGTCCCTCACAACTAATTTGGAATAGCCACTACACTAGTTTGATGTAAAGAATGCTTTCCTACATGGAAAACTCACAGAGGAGCTATATATGGACATTCCTCCTAGATATAACACTACTCATACTAGAATAGTATGCAAATTATGAAAGGCATTGTATGGACTGAAACAATCACCATGTACATGGTTTGGGCGGTCCACCAAGGCAATGAAGAACGATGGTTTAACTCAAATCATACTCTGTTCTTGAAACATCATAAAGGGAATGTAACAGCTTTAATAATCTATATTGACGATATGATTATTACTAGAAATGATAAACATGAAATATCTCATATACAAGACAATTTGGCTACTGAATTTGATATGAAGAATCTAGGTGGACTCAAATATTTCTTGGGAATTAAGGTGGCCCAATCACAACAAAGCCTAGTTCTCTGTCAAAGGAAATATGCATTGGACTTGTTGACAGACACAGGAATACTAGATTGTAAACCTGTAGACGCTCCTATTGTTCAGAATCATCATCTTTTCGAATACCTGGATCAAGTTCCAACTAACAAAGAAAGATACCAAAGGTTAGTTGGAGGATTGATCTACTTGTCTCATACTCGACCAGACATTGCTTATGTGGTGAAGGTTGTCAGTCAATTTATGCATTCTCCGAGTGAAGACCACATGAATACAGTTCTTCGGATAGTTAGATATTTGAAGTATGCACCTGTAAAATGACTTATGTTCTCAAAACATGGTTATCTAAATATTGATGGTTATTCAGATGCAGATTGGGCAAGCAGTGTAATAGATAAAAGGTCCACATCCGGTTACTTCACATTCGTGGGAGGAAATTTGGTGACATGGAAGAGCAAGAAACATAAGGTAGTAGCTTTATCTAGAGCAGAACCCGAGGTCAAAGGCATGACTAAAGGAATTTGTGAGCTCTTTTGATGAAGGAAGTTGCTTACTAAACTTGGGTATAAACCCACGTATACAATGAATCTCTTTTGTGACAATAAGGTTGCTATAGCTATTGCACAGATTCCAGTTTAACATGATCGCACTAAACATGTTGAGGTGGATCGACACTTCATCAAACAGAAGCTTGAAGATAAAGTGATTCAGTTTCCTTTTGTGAAGTCGGAGGATCAATTTGTGGATATTTTGACTAAAACGATTTGCGGTAGAGTTTTCCACAATTCACTAGATCAGTTGGGCATTAGCGACATCTATGCACCAACGTGGGGGAAATGTTGGCATGATTTATGCACCATTGACTTTCTTTCCTTACACACCAAGGATTCCTATTATAATTGTATTTGATTTACTTTAATTCATGATTTCCTATTGTAAATAGAAATAAGAATTTATTATTTATTTGGTCACTAAGGCTCCGTTGTATTATAAATATGACCTAAACATATACAATGAATTTAAGTCAAGATATCCCCCGAATCACACTCTATATTATTGTGAATTAGGTAAAATGTATCATTAGTGATATGTAAATGGGGCAGATAAAAGAAAACATGACATGTACATATGGAAATTGCATTAAATAAGGTAATAGTCTAAAGGATTCCAAGTCCAAAACCATAAAATATTACAAGAAATATTTTCTTCACTGTGACTAGAAAGACATAGGTGGTTGTACATCCAAAGAACAGCTCGTGCCACTATCCATACAAGACCCGGTTGATGATGGAGAAGCAATATACCATCGGTCGGTTATTTGGCTTTGATCATATTCTACCTCTGCAGAATTTTGTTGGACACCAGAAGCTTTAACTGACAATTGAATTCTCTCCAACTCTACTGCCACTTCTTTCATAGTAGGACGCTTTCTTCCATTCAAATTCAAGCATGCTTTTGCAAGATTAGCAACGGCCACAATCTGGTCATTTTCACCATCCTTCATAACTTGAACATCAAGAATATCAAACAAACTATTTTCCTCCATGGAAATAAGGAAATAAGTTGCTAGGCTTCTACTTTCTTGCGGCCTCATGAATGAAACTGGTTTTTGTCCGGTCAAAAGCTCAGCAAGGACGACTCCAAAGCTATAAACATCACTCTTCTCTGTTAATTGGCTAGATTGGAAGTATTCTGGATCCAGATAACCAAATGTTCCACGTACTAGTGTCGTAAGGTGCGTTTGGTCAATGGATACTGATCTTGAAGTCCCAAAGTCTGCTACTTTGGCTCTGTATTTTTCATCCAATAGTATGTTAGAAGACTTGACATCCCGGTGGAAAATTGGAAAGGCAGCTGCTGAATGTAAGTAGGAAAGTGCTCCGGCAACTTCGATTGAAATTCGTAATCTCATTTCCCATGTAAGAGGGAAATCCTCATTCTTGTGATGAATGTATTCAAAAAGTGTTCCATTGAGTATGAATTCATAAACCAAAAGGGGAACTTCGGTCTCCAAACAGCAACCCAAAAGCTTAACCACATTCCTATGAGAGATTTGTGAGAGAATGACAATTTCATTAATAAACTGTCCAACTTCACCTCCCTCAACTATTTTAGACTTCTTGACAGCAACAATTCTTCCATCCACCAACATTCCTTTATAAACTGTACCTTGGCCTCCCTGACCAATAACTCTGTCTGCATTAAAATGGTCCGTGGCTTTCTCTAGCTCCTTGCAATTGAACAACTTAACCTTCTCAACATTGAGTTCACCAGAAGATAATTGTTGCTCCAGCACTAAACCACCATTTTGTTTAAAGAACTTCTCTTTGCGTTTAATATTTTTCCTTTTCTTTATGCCTTTGTGCGACCACCATGAGCCAATCATTAGAAACAACAGTCCAAGAACACTGCTGGGAACTGTATAGCTCAATAAAACAAGAAAGCATGCATAACTTTGTCAAGAAGATGTTGTTTCATAATTTTTTTTTAAAACTTAAGTCATCAATAATCGAAGGATTAGTGCAGGGACATACCTATAATGGCTAGATTAACTCGTGATGATCGCCGATCAGGCAATTGACAGAAAAACTTCCCAGGATAATTTATACAAATGCCAGAACCACATCTATTGGGGTGTTCTGGATCCTCACATTCATTGATGTCTGATATTTATTTGACAAATGGAAAGTAAAGGTTTCAATAGATGGTATGAAACATATAATAATAATAATGAATTATAAGTTAATTTTATACAATTCAACTCAAAGGGTTGCCATGCAAATTGTGCTTGACATTAATATTCTTGTATATATACAAAAAGTGACGAAAGTATTAAGAAATTGGTATAATAAATAATAAAAAATAAAATTATATCAAAGGTATGATCAATGACATTCATGGATTTGCGTAAAGTTTGGATAATGGTAGCTAGAGGTTTACCTTTGCATCCATGAAGAAGATAAGGGTTGCCATGGTAGCCCTTTGAGCAGAAACATTGGCTGCTGCTGCAATCCGTGCTGTTATCATCTCTCCAATTATTTGTTCCATATATATCAAACTTCGTATAATTAACTACGTACCATTCCAGCACTACAGGAACGTAGTCCATTTCACCAATGGCGGAAATATTTGTTGAGTTTGATGTAAACCAATCATTGTCTACAAGGAATGCATACTTGCATGCCTTTTGACTGTCAGCATTTAATTCTGCTCCAAAACTAGTATTGAAGGAACTGAGACAGTAAGGAAGGGTGGTCTGGCAGCAATTCATCCCGCTGCAGCTTTTCGTTTGAAGAACGCTAGTACTATAATAATCACATATGGACAAGCAGCCACCAATTGTGGAACCATGCAATGTCATCAAGGCAATTCCTCCACAGCTCATTGAAGTAAATTTGTTTTTCCGGGAGAACAGAAAGGGGCTTCCTTCCAAGTTCGGCGTCTGGCGCCCTACTGGCTTGTTACTGCAATTGGAGAAGGTAATAGGGCTTGCCACCTTTAGTGTGCCTTCAACAGAAATTTCCAGCACCTCCAAACCAGTAACGTTCAAGAAAGCTTTCGATGGGCTGGCTGAGTTGTCACATATTATTTGGAACCAGTCATCAAGGTAGCAGCCAGCTTCAATTCCAAAAGGATATGGGATTTGAGTGACTGATCCGCATTGCGATGAACAATTAGGCTTTCCCAATGGTGCTTCCGATGCTACTGCAGTCATATACCACAAGAACAGAGTAATTTGGACAATGTCCATTGTTCTGCTGCTACTTCTTCCTCTCATTAGTTATCACTCTCGATTCTCGATTTTCTTGATGCTAAACACTACAAATTGAAAGCAAAAAAGAAATTAAAAGCAGGAAGATTCAGAGGTAGTTATTTTTTACCTTCTTCAGGGCGGTATTTAATGCCAGTATTGATGTGATGACTTTTACAAGTCAAGTCCACTCAAGATTACATTTTTGAAAACTTTCCTTTGATCATTTTACTATTGTATACATCCTTCAAGTTATTTTTTCTCTTTTTTCTATCGTCTACAAGGTAATTAAGTCTAGATTACTGCATTGCATCACGTGCTAGTCTCACAAGAATTTGAAAATGTGCAAACGTATATCCAAAAAAATATTTGTCCGCCTCCAAAGGTACAGTTAATGAGGAAAGCTCTTCCACAGTTCCACTGTCCAATCACTACAAAAAAAAATGGCAACAATCACCATTATTTGGTAACATTTTGTGACTGTTGTGGAGGTGACCAAAAAAAGTAAAAAATGTGACTAAAAGCCTTTTTAGTGACCAAAAAAGTCAAAAAAAAATGACTAATGCCTTTTGGCCCAGCCACAAATGTCACCAAATAATAGTAACTGTTGCCACTTTTTACTAGTGAATTTTCAAGTACACATGTTGATGTAGTGCAGGAAGGAAATAGTTTGGTTTTTTCGTGAGGACTTTTGTTATCATTTCACTTGTGTGGAATGTATAGCTCGGCAGCCAAACTGGACCAATTAATATATAACAAGATCCACTCCATACATTTTCCCACATGTATTTAGTGTATAAAGATGAGACAATCTGACAAGGGGCTTATTATTCTGCACCTAAGGTTCTAGGTTCGATTCCTCCTTCTTCCAATATCACTTGTACAGCAAAGAAAGGAAGAAGGAAGGAGAGGATGAGATGATACGGGTTGGTGGAGAAGCCAGAGATTTTCCATATAGTCAAGCCAGTGTGATTGCATTGTTATAACGGTGAGTGCTATAACACCAACCTTTGGTTAAATTATTTGAAGGGGGAAAAAGAAGCACCACATACTTTGTTCCGAAGTGTATTGGTAATCATACCCACCATCACTTTTTTCAGGCCATGAGGTAGTGCTTTGAACATTTTGAGTAAAATCAACATTCTCAATTTATATATTGGAGAAGCACTTTGAACATTTTGAGTAATGAACACTCTCAATTTATTTATTGGAGAAGGGCCTTATGTAGTACGAAACGAATAAGATATCTATTTAATGTGATTTGAAGGATAATAGTGGTTGTACACCTGATCCATAGCCAACCTTGTTGACGAAGAAATAAGGCCCCAAGTAGCATACCCGAAGCCCCTAAACCATACTCAACGTCATCAAAATTATTACTGTGGTTTATCATTTTTACTAAGGTTCTTATGTTTTCAATTTTGTCAATTTTGTCCCTGTAGTTTTTATTTGAAGTCATTCAAGGACAATCCACAATTTCTGTCAAAAAAATTTAAGTTATGTTACTTGTGGAGAGAATTTGGTCCATGGATTATTAAAAGAGTTTTTCTATTTAAATCCTGCACTTATCTTTGTTCACCCCAACTTCTAATTCAAATTTTCTCAATTTCTAAGAACACCCCATATCTTTTCAAACTACCCCTAAATACACACCCAACTGAAAAAAAATAAAAATAAATTAAAACTCATCAACCCCACAATCTTGCCCCTTACTACTCTAAGTTTACCTCAACTTCAGAATTCCAACAAGCCACTATTTGCATACCATATTTAGGGTTTGTGAAGAGAAGATGAGAGTGTAGTAGGTTTTTTAGATTGAAAGAGAAGAGTAATACGGTAATAGGGTGTCGAGGAGTTTGTGTTTTTCTAAAACCTAATATGAAGAGTGGTGAGGTGTGTGAGGTGTGTGTATAGATGTATTAGGGTTAAATATTAAGTTGGATGACCGTTTTCATCTTTTTACACAATAATAAAACTTAAAAGTTTAATGATTTAAGTATTGGGATGAACAAAGAAAAGTGTGGGGTTTAAATAGAAAAACTCTTATTAAAAAGTTCATTCATTTTAAAAATATAAATTTTCAAAGAATTCTTTTTAAATAAAAAAATAAAACCACTATGTATTGTTAAAATTAATTATTTTAATTTTAAAACTAATTTTTCGAAAATTTATATTTGTAATTTTTTTAAGGAATGAATTTTTTAATAATTTGTGGACCGAATTCCCCTCCACAAGTAACGGAAGTTTAAAATTTTGACAAAAATTTAGAATTGTCCTTGAATTGCTTCAAATTAAAACCACTATGACAAAAATAACCAAATTGAAACCAAAGGGACCTTAATTAGTGGTAAAAATGATAAATCACAGAGGTCAAAAGTGACTTTTTACTTTAAATTATAGTTCCCACTTTCTAGTTAAACATATATATTTATTTATATTTAATAAAATTTCTCATGCCAAAGATGTAGTATTTTCTTGTCATGATTTTAAAACTACTTTTTCAAAAATTTATATTTGTATTGTTTTTTTAAGGAACAATTTTTTAATAAATTGTGGACCAAATTCCCCTCCACAAGTAACGGAAGTTTAAAATTTTGATAGAAATTTAGAATTGTCCTTAAATTGCTTCAAATTGAAACCACTAAGACAAAAATAACCAAATTAAAACCAAAAGGGACCTTAATTAGTGGTAAAAATGATAAATCACAGAGGTCAAAAGTGACTTTTTACTTTAAATTATAGTTTCCACTTTCTAGTTATATATATATATATATATATATATAAAATAAAATTTCTCATGCTGAAGATGTAGTATTTTCTTGTCATGATTTCTATTATGTTTATAGAGAATAGATAAACAATAATGTTTGGGACACCAAATTTGTACATCAAATTTGAGCCCCAAATGATGTGGCTTGTGTCATATCATATATATTTTATTAACCAATTCCAACTTGGTTTGATTTTATTTATTTTAGAAAGAGAATGAGTTCCAAAAAAAATAAAAATTGCTAGCCCTAAACCATCAATTTGCTGTTGTATCTGTTAAGCTATATCAGCTGATAGGTATATTGAACCAAGAACAGAGAGAGAGAGTAGAGAGAGTAGCTAGAGAGAGAAGCTAGAGAGAGTATCAATCTGATATATTTTCTTAATGAATCGGTAATTACATGAGAAAGTCTTCTATATAGCTACAGATATCAAACTAACTAACTACTACAGCAAGATTGTGACAAGTGTCACAATCTAAAGCTCTATACTCTAACATCCCCCCTCAAGAGCATGCTGTGAGGAACCAAGCATGAGATTGCAGCAATGAGTTCTGAAAAGAGGACCACTCAACCCCTTTGTAAGAATATCAGCAAATTGCTCTTGGGAAGACACAAACTGCACAGAGAGTTGTTTCCGTGATACCCTTTCGCGAACAAAATGCACGTCGATCTCTATGTGTTTGGTCTTTTGATGCTGAACAGGATTAAAAGATAAGGCAATGGCTGAGAGATTGTCACAAAAGAGGACAGGCACATTAGGTAGTGGAATGTGCAGAAATGCTAATAATTGTTTGATCCAATCCAATTCAGCTGAGGTAAAGGATAAGGCTCGATATTCAGCTTCGGTTGATGATCTGGAAACAGTTTGTTGCTTCTTAGAGGACCACGAAATTGGATTGTTACCCAAAAATACCACCAAACCAGTAGTAGATCTTCTGTCATTAGGGTCCCCTGCCCAATCAGCATCACTAAAGGCCTTTAACTGCAAATCTCCTCTAGTATATGAGATACCAAACTGCATTGTGCCCTTTAGATATCGTAATATACGTTTAACTGCAGTAAAATGAGACACCATTGGATTTTGCATAAACTGACAGACTTGGTGCACAGAAAACGCAATATCTGGCCTAGTGAAAGTTAAGTATTGTAGAGCGCCGACAATACTTCTATACAACTTAGGATTGGAATAAGGTTCCCCATCCTCTTTGAGTAACCGGTTGTAAGGGAGGCATGGTGTATCACATGGTTTAGCTTCAAACATTTCAGATTTAACCAATAGATCAGCAACATATTTGGTTTGTGACAGAAACAAACCAGTGGCAGTTTTAGTGATTTGAATCCCTAAGAAATAGTGGAGCAACCCTAAATCCTTGATATCAAACTCAGTAGTAAGAGCACTAATAACCTGGGTAATTGCACCAGAAGCACTGCCAGTTATAATGATGTCATCCACATAGAGGAGCAGAACCACAATCTCATGACCAACATGCTTAACAAACAATGAGGAGTCAGAGTATGTGTTTTCAAAACCCAAAGAAGGAAGAAACTGAGTAAACCGATCATTCCATGCCCTAGGAGCTTGTTTTAGCCCATATAGAGATTTATGCAGTTTACACACAAGATGAGGATGAGTTGGATCTTCAAAACCTGGAGGTTGAGACATGTATACCTCTTCTTGTAGGATGCCATGCAAAAAAAGCATTTTTGACATCTAATTGTCGAAGAGGCCAATTGAAATGAGCAGCAAGAGCAAGAACTAACCTAACTGTGGTAGGCTTCACCACAGGGCTAAAAGTCTCCCCATAATCCAATCCAGGTTCTTGACTGAAACCTTTAGCAACTAACCGTGCTTTGTGTCTGGCAATAGACCCATCTAAGTGTCTCTTGATCTTGAAAATCCATTTACAACCAACGAGGTTCTTGTTTGTTGGCAATTGAACTAGACTCCAAGTGCCTTGAGTATGTAAAGCATTAACTTCTTCTTTCATGGCCTGTAACCACACAGGGACTTTGATGGCAGACCTGTAACTAACTGGTTCAACCAAGGACATATCAGTTCCCCCAGAGTCCTGAACACTTGCTAAGAGAGCTTTCTTTTTAATAATCCCACTCTTGCTTCTAGTTTGCATGGGATGCAGATTGAGTGGAGGAATGGACAACACTACTTGTAAAGTATCAGGAGTAAAATCATGTGTTTCTAATCCAGAGCTAGATCTGATGTCAAGTGCCACAGGGAGTGGAGAAGAGGCTGGAATTGAAGCAGCAATGGACTGAGAATTGGGAGAAACTTCAGAAAAATCGGAGGCAGAATGTGTTAAGGAAACTGAAACAGGTATATGTGATGGAGTAGGTGTAAGGAGACCAGAAATTGGAGGAGTAGAATCTGGAATGGATGGGACAACTATATTCTCGGTAGTAACAATAGGCATATGACAATTGGAACGTGGACATGATTGTGTAGATGTGAATGTGTTTGAATGTGTAGGCAATAAATCTGTGTAGGGAAAATGGCATTCATCAAAGATAACATGCCTAGAAACAAACACTCTCTTTGTAGGCACATGATAGCACAAATACCCTTTATATTTGGTGGCATACCCAATAAACACACACTTTGTAGTTTTCGCCTGCAATTTGGTGCTATTATATGGTTTGAGTAAAGGAAAACAGGCACATCCAAAAATTCTAAGGTGAGCAAGGGTTGGATATGCCCCAAATAACATCTCAAAAGGAGATTTGTTATGAAGAACAGCAGTAGGCATACGATTGATTAGATATGTGGCTGTTTGACAAGCATAGGACCAGAACTGAGATGGCAATTTGGCTGTTTGTAATAAGGTGATAGTGGTTTCAATGATATGCCTATGTTTCCTCTCAGCAACCCCATTTTGTTCAGGAGTATATGGACAAGAGAGGTGATGTGAAATGCCCTTTTCAAGAATAAATTTTTTCAATTTGTTGCTGGTATACTCTCCCCCCCCCTCAGTTTGAAGAATTTTAATTGGAGCAGAAAATTGAGTAACAACAAAGGAATAAAAGGCAACAAATGCAGAGAACAAATCAGACTTGTTGATTAATGGAAAGATCCAGCAATATCTGGTACATTCATCTACAAAGATGGTATAGTATCTATAACCATCAACTGATATACAAGGTGCAGGACCCCACAAATCAGTATGGATAGTTTCAAAGGGAGTGACAGACTTATTGAGATGTTGTGGAAAAGGTAGTTTGCTAAATTTCCCTTCTAGACATGTATGACACATCATAGGGGATGAGGTTTTGGGGACATGAACATTAGCTTTATTCAACATCAAAGAAACAACATTATTGGTAGGATGACCTAACCTATGGTGCCACAGATTAGACTGAACAAGTTGGCCAAGAAATGCCTTAGCTTGAGAAGGTGTCTGTGAGTTTGAAGTGGACAAGGAGTGGATAGGATATAGTCCATTACTGCACAAGCCTCTGTAAAGGATCCTCCCTGTGGCTTTGTCCTGAATCCAAAAACAAAAGGCATCAAATATAAGCCAGCAATTATTGTCAAGACAAAGTCGATGTACTGATAACAGGTTCTGAGTTAATTGAGGAACATAGAGCACAGAGGTCAATTTGATTGGGGAAACTGATGTATGAATGGTAGAATGACCAACATGAGACACTTTCAAACCTTCACCATTTGCAGTGTGAATTGATTCATTTGTGGGATACGGGGAGGCCAGTGACAGATTAGTCAAATCAGCTGTCATATGATTGGTGGCACCGGAATCAGTGAGCCATACCGGAGAAGAACCTGAAGAATTGGATGATTGAGATGCAGAATTGAGCACTGTGTGCATGGCTTGCATAGAAGGTTGCGGAGCCGGAAACTGTGAAGGTGTGAATGAGGAATGCTGAGGAGGAGCTTGATATGAAGTGTACTGCAAATTCTGTGGTTGCACAGGATAGGATGATCGTGAAGAATATGAAGCAGTGGTATGTATCCCAATATAGTTTGGACCCTTATCATTATAGAAGCAATACCAGGTGGTATGATTACTTCTACCACAGATGTGACATTTGGTTTTCTCATGAGAAGCCCCACAGAATGGAGCAGTGTGTCCCTCAGAGTTGCATAATTGACAGATTTGAATCATGGGTGCAGAAGGAATGCCAAACTGTTGACCAGGTGATTGACCAAGAACTCCAAGAGTAGAGTTGGGAAGCATATGTGCCATAGGGGAAAACACTGGTCTAGAATGATAAAATCTAGATCCCTGAGTGAATCTGCCTTTACCCTTGTTCTTGTTCCCATTATAAGGTGTAAAACCTCTAGTGGCCACCTGAGATGGACCATGAGTCGGGGAGAAACTCTGAGGCTGAAAAGGAGGCCCTTTTGTGTAAGTGGAACCTGTATTAGCAACCATAGCTGTCATAAGAGGAGTATTAACCGAATGTTCAACAATGGTTTCCTCTGCAAGTAACTGTGAGCGAAAATCTTTTAGAGAAATCACACTTTCACGCCCCCGTATAACACATCTGAAGGTGTTATACTCAGCAGGTAGTCCATTCAAGGCAAGAATGACAATGTCTTCATCCGCAAAGTACACCCCAGCAGCAGAAAGATAGTCCCTAGCTTCTTTAATGCGATGAAGATACTGAGATATCGAATCAGAACCCTTCTTAATTGTTTGCAAATTAGATTTCATCTGAAAAATGCTAGTCCGAGATACAGTGGAAAATTGTTCCTTTAGCCTAATCCACAGATCCTTGGAGCTAGTGCTACCAATCGCACAAGACATAGCAATAGGTGATAATGTTGTAGTGATCAATTGCATAATAGCTCTGTCATGCATTTTCCATACCATATATTCATCAGTTGGAGAAGAAGAAATGATACCAGATTCATCAGAGGTCGAACCGTGTTGAGATGGACAAGGAATCGAACCATCAACATACCCCATGATTCCATTGCTTTCAAGCAAAAGTTGCATCTGAAAGTTCCAATTGAGGTAGTTCGAATCATCCAGCTTGACATTAACAGATGTAGAAATGGAGGAAATAAGGGCCGTAATTGGAGATTGAAGCAACTGAAGCTGCGAAGCAGTCACCATCGTGATTGCAAGATCAACCTGTGAGTGAGACAATACCACAAACACCTGTTGTGCAAGATTCAGAAAGAACCGATCAAGAAAGGAAGAGAGACACGAAACCCTAGAAATTGCAGAAATCAGAAAGTGGAGAAGATGAAGTATCGAATCGGAGAAGACGAGCCGAATCAGAGAATGCGGAAGCAACAGAGGATCGAAAAACTTCAAGTGTAAGCAACAATGGCGATTGATACCATGTTAAGCTATATCAGCTGATAGGTATATTGAACCAAGAACAGAGAGAGAGAGTAGAGAGAGTAGCTAGAGAGAGAAGCTAGAGAGAGTATCAATCTGATATATTTTCTTAATGAATCGGTAATTACATGAGAAAGTCTTCTATATAGCTACAGATATCAAACAAACTAACTACTACAGCAAGATTGTGACAAGTGTCACAATCTAAAGCTCTATACTCTAACAGTATCCTTCCACAATGTTTGTTGCTCACCACCACCAAGTCACACGCTGACGAATCCAAATAGTTGCCCATTTTCTACTCCGAAGCCCAAATGACTCCTTTTGGTAAACAATCAGCAAATCACTGCAAAAATCTGAAGCATCCTAAGAAAATTGTAGGTGATACTTTTCTACAATTGTTCTATTTTCTAAGAAAAATAAAAATAGAAAACATGAGGAGAGAAGAAGAGAAGAAAGAGCAGCAAACTTGGTGGGAAGGATAGACGGAAAATTGATGGTTTAGGGCTACCAGTAGGGTTCTTATTTTTTTGGAAAAAAAGCTGCAAGATTTTTTATTAATTAAGTTTTAAATTTTAAAATTTTATTCCTAAAATAAATAAATAAAATCATAATTCAAGTTAGATTTGATTAATTAAATATGTATGACATGGTACATGCCACATCATTTGAGACTCAAATTTAGTGAGCGTATGCATTCGAATTTAGCAAGTGTACACATACTTGTCAATAAAAAAAACAACAAAAAACAATGTATACATATCCAATAAAATGTACAAATGATGTGTCGCGAAGATAAAACCTATAACTCTGCGTATGAGGGGTTTCACTAAAGCTTGGGCTAGTAATGAAACAAAAGTCCTTCCTTGTAAACTGTACGAGACGTCCAGCAAACATAAAATCTACAACTCTCTTACAAAACAATAAGGAGTTGTGTTTAAATAGGAATACTGACACTTGTTGGAGCATTTGGAGTAATTTCTTCGGCGATAAAGACCTTTGGCATTCTGGACATGCAGACATTTGATAATGAATGAGGAACTGCTTGTCCTTCCACCTTCTTTTTCTTGGTATGCTTTTCTTTACTTCATTTGTTGGCTACTTGAGAAAAACATTCATGTATATATTTTATGTGTGCTTGTATATTATTTTGACTATGTTATCATATCCGGGGCCTTATTGAGAAAAACATTTGTATCATTTTTGTAAAAGAGAAATTGATGGTCATTATTATTACGAATTTTGATGTGTTTATAGAAGTTATATGGATGCTTAATAACGTTTTCTTTTTGTTTAGTTTTTTTTTTTTTTTTTTTTTTTTCTTTTTTTAGAAGCAGTATTAAACACAAGATCTCGGTGCATGTATAACTTCTCTTAACCACATAAGCCACAAGCCCCTTGATTTTATTTTATTTTCACTTTTAGCTAAAGATAAAAGGGGGAACATACGGGGAATGTATGGGGAATGTAGTAAGAAGGAAAGAGGTAGGGAAGGATTGAGGAATGAGAGAAGTGAAGGAAGAATGCATGAAATAAAAACTTGAGGATGGAAGTTAGGGAATTGTTTTTTAGTATAAGCGATATTCTAAACTATAAGACGGAAGGGGGTTCAAAATAGGGCTTGACTTGTAGACCAAGTGTAGTAGTCAGTGTAGTCACAAGTGATTGTTTTGACCCGTAAGTGATGAAATAGTAAGTGTGTACTTCGTTGCAGCAAAAAGTTTATTACATGAACATGACTGATAAAATTGAAATTACATATAACTGATACAAAAAATAAACCAAAATGTAGACAAAATGTGTCATTTTTTAACAACAACAACAAAACTAAAGGAAAGCAAATGTGCTTCCCGCTCTGCATTCGAATCCTCCTTTCCTTAGTTTAGATTAGATTAAAATAGAATATCGCTTGTATAAATAAAAACCAAAGGAAAAGAAACGAACGGACCTGACACCTTCACCGTTGGATCTCATCCAACGGTGTATTAACACTTATATCTATGTTAGGGTTTTATTTTTTTACTTCCTCTCCTATTTCTTTCGCCGCATTTTTGAAGTTTTTCGCCTCTTTGTTAATGGAGATTTTGACTTCAGATCTCATGGACGACAGTATTGATTAATCAAAATAAAATATAAAAGTTCTTCCATCACTTCTCTCCGACAACACAGTCAAGCTTCTCAGGTACCTATTTATTTTTACAGATTTTAGGTTTCTTCTTTGGTTTTGCTTTTCAGTGAGCCACTCTCCAAGGGAACAATTTTGTTTCTTCCCTCTTTGCTCCAATTATAGTACAGATTACAAAATGCAGACAGGTATCCCACTCTAAGTTTGCCCTCATTTTGCTGCTTGTATAGGTGTTTGTTGCTTATATTTACTAACACTTATGACAAAATCATGTGCGTTTTGGAATGAGATCTTGAAACTGGATTTTTGAAATTTCAAGCATTTATAAGCTGATCTACATCTTATTAATATTTGAAAAACATGAATTCTCCTCTTGCTGGAAAATTCATTCATGTTTACGTTAAAAAAAAGGTGACTCATTTGATTTATTTTCTTTCTTTTTTTGTGTGAAATTAAAATATTTTAATGTTGATTTCAATGCACTTAACTATTTGAATTACGAGATTCTTGTGAAGTGCAACTAAAATTCTTATTTGAGTCCATCAAATGGCTTAAGTTTTGGTAGCAATGACATGGCTTTGTTTCCTTCTTGATGATTTTGTCTTCTAACTTATTTCTTTACACTCTTATTCAGGATGGTATCTAAGAGACGGAAGAATTCCATGTACATCCCTGACGAAGTCTTGATCGACATCCTAATAAGACTACCCGTAAAGTCCCTCATTCGGTTTATGACTGTATGCAAGTCATGGAGAAATATGATCGGACGCTTGAGCTTTATTGGTGAACATCTTAATAGGAATCTCAACAATCATGCTCATACTTTTCTAGTGGCCCTCCACAACAATGGAGGCACAGGAGACACTGGCTACTCTCTTCTCTCCAATGAAACATTTGAGGTGTGCATTACTGTTCAACATCGAAGCCGAAAACCTTTCGGGATCTACGGTTCCAGCAATGGCTTGCTTTGTCTGTCGTATGAAAAATTGAACCTGAACAATCCTATATGGATATATAACCCATCACTTAAGAAACGTGTGACCCTACCAAGGACCAGCTTGTTGGCAGCTCCTTCCAGGGAGCGGCATGTCGTGGCGGCCTTTATTCGGATATGGCATGACTCTTGCATTCGGGTTCCACCCTGGTGTGAATGATTACAAGGTTGTAAGGAAGGTATCAATTGATGTAGAGGAGCTTCTCTCTGCAGTGGAGATTTATAGTTTAAGCACAAAGTCTTGGAAGACGGTTGATGTAATTCCTCCTTTGATAAAGAGCATGAAGTGGGTTTGTGGATATGGAATGTGTAATGGAGTAGCATACTGGACCATGTCAAACCAAAAGGATTATCTTGTGTCTTTAGACGCCGGCAACGAGGTATTTCAAGAAATCCAGCTACCGGAGGGTATTGCCGGTGGGTTAAATCTGTTGAGGAGTACAAAGAATCAATTTGCTTGTTGCAACTCAACAAGGATGGACAAGAGGAGCATATTAACATATGGATTCTCCAAGAAAAGTATTTTAAAAAGTTGGTCACTGTTGGTTTTCCCGGAATGAGTCTTACCCCATTGGGATTTAGAATGAAAAATGAACTTCTTCTCGAGCTTCATGAACAAGATAGTAAAGGATCTGATCTGGCTATATATAATCTTGAGTCCAAGCAGCTCACTCAAACTGGAATTAGGTTGGTGAAAAATTACTATGATGCCTATTATGTGGCTACTTACGTTGAAAGTTTAGTCTTACTCATGGATTAAAAGGAAGAATTTCAAATTGTTATAGGTTTGGTATGTTGTTGTGTAAAGTAATTAGTCGTTGAAAAATGTATTTTACTTTGTTTTTGTTTTGGGAGTATTTTCATATTCATGTATTTTATGTTGCTGCAAACATTTTTGTGACAGTTCATGTATTTTATGTGTTGTTGATCATTTTAATATTACAAATTAAATTATATAGCATTTGCTTTGTGATATTGCTGAATAATGATAGAAATCTCTATCTGAGTTAGTTGTTAACCATCATTTAGGTTATGGTTAGTTGAGAGTTGGTTAAGTCAACTCTATTTTAACTGAGAAAGTCTGTATTGAGAAGTTTAGTTGAGAAATATTGTATTCTGTTCTTGTAAAATAAATAATAGCACTCTGTTGTTCTTGAGATATTGAGTCAAGATAGAAGGAATTTTCATATATTTGTAAATATTAGCATCATCAGTGCACTGAAGTTAGACATATTATCATGGAAAATACTTCTATTCTTATTGTGTAAGTAAGAGCTCTTACATTCCTGTCAATAATAGTGTGACATGTGTGGCGAAGTTTTTCTTTTTATGTTTTTGATGAATTATTTTTGTATATGTGTCAAATTGTGATTTGCAAGGAGGAATATCTCCCTAGAGGGAAGGAGGCAAGTAGATATGCACAAAAGGTAACTTGAAACTATATACACCCATTTAAAAAATTCGGCCAAATACGGACAAAATGTGACATTTTTCACTCCCCCAAAAAAAACCCCAAGGAAAAGAAACGGGCACACCTGACACCTTCCAAGTCTGGATCCCATCAAACAGTAGCGGGTTAATACTGATATCTGAAGGTTGGGTAATTTGAAACGACACCAAAATTGTGGTACTTTTATGTAGTTAACCTTATTTTTTTAGTACAAGCAATAAATTATCAGGGGAGGGGGAGGGGGATTTTAAGAGTGAGTTTCTATGTCTTGTTTTTGTGTTGATCAGAGAAAGCAAAAGATTTTTTTTCTATTGAAGAACCTAGGTAGGATTCGAACCTGGGTTATATATAATATAGGGATTTTTGTAGACATGTCACTTGAACTTATACTTCAGTTTCAATTTGTCATCTTAAAGAAAAATTTAAAAGAAATGTCACCTTAATTTTTCAAAATCCATTATTTGCCATATAATTTTAACACCATCCAATTTTCCATCCATTTTAAAGGTATTTTAGTCTTTTTCATTTTCAAGGGTATTTTAGAAATGGAAAAATGATTATAAAAAAATTTATACATGGTCAAAGAGAGAGATAGAGAAGAGAGGGGAGGGGGGTCCTGTACGATGTGTTTTGGGGGCAAGTGGGGTTGGGGTGGGGGGAGAAAGGGAGAGAGATGTCTATTTTTTCTCTTCTTTTTTTTTCGAAAATAGAAAAACTAAATACCTTTAAAATGGATGGAAAATTGGATGGTGTTAAAGTCATATGAAAATCATGGATTTTGAAAAATTAAGGTGACATTTCTCTTAATTTTTTCTTTAAGGTGACAAATTGAAACTGGGGTATAAGTTTAAGTGACATTTCAATAATTAATATATAATATACATGTAAACAAAATTTGGGGTCCCTAAAAGATCGGGCCCTTGTGTGGTGGCACTACTTGCAACATCCCAGAGCCGGCCATGCCTAGGAGCATATAGGGGTGTTGGGCTTGCCACATAAATAGCATCCTCTATACTATACATAGATAGACCTACAGCTAGCCCAAGTGAGTTTCTAATTTATTTCTTATAGTTAATATATAGATATATATATATAAAGGTTTAATCTGGTTCAAAATCTAACAGGCCACTCGTAAGGTAAATTTAGCCCATCTTATTTTGAAATCTTGAGTCCATCCCTAATATTATATTAATGGCATGTTTACTAATCCGCAATTGGTTTAGGAGGAATTGAATTGAGGATGAATTGAATTGAGGAAGAGTTGTATTGAGAAGAATTAGATTCCGGATTCTTATTGAAGTTGTTTACTAAACCATATGGATTGAGGAGAGTTAGATTTCGGATTTCTATTAAAGTTATTTGCTAAATCATATGGAATTGGGGTAGGAGTCATGCTAATTATTAAAATGTCCTTGTTGTTAGGTTAAAGTAGATGGCAAATCTGAACATTTTAAAATTGTGTGAGGATATAATGGGTAAAAAAGATGAATTCATAATGGGTTAGTTTTCCGAGAATTAGAATACCACATCCCACCCAAGAATTGAATTCCTGCAAATTCAGAAACTCAATTCCTAATTTTGTGTGAGCCTCACTTACTTTTTAATTCATTGATGTGAAGTAAACGCATGAATGCTCTATAGGTGGAATTCAATTCCTAATAAGAATTTCAATTCCTAATTAGTAAACACTCCATAAAATATGAGTATCCAATCAAGAACCAATTCACGATGTGGGATACTCCCTAGGAACAAAAATGTTTTGGGATCTAGAGTTGGAGTATTGTTTGACTGCCAGATGAAATGTTGCATTTTGAACCGCCCCATATGCATATGGGAAAGGCCAATATGTTAGAAATAAAATATAGATTTCCTAACTGAATGGAAATCAATAAAGAGCCCATTGGGTTGTTACTATTAGCCCAATATAATCTTTATATTGCATTGAATTTTTTTTCTTCTTAGAGCAACTCCACTCATTTGCCCTTAGTCATGGCAGGGGGGAGTTAGGGCAGCCACTATTCACGTGGCTGCCCTTGCAAATAGTATTGTGTGTTTCCACCCATTGTCATGGCAAAGGGCAATTACTATTCATTTTTTTGTTTTTTTCACAAATTTGTTTACCTAAACAATTCATTTGGATAATATTTTTGGGTTCGTACGTGTCAATATTTATTATAAAATTCATATCTCAATCGGATAAAATTTTGGTATTTATTAAAAAAAAATAGTAATTTTTTGGTATTTTTTTTTAAAATTTGATTTTTTTATTTTTTTATTGCACAAAAATTGGCTGCCATTGGATTGGAGAAAAAAATCTGATCGGAGAGCCCAGAGCGCGACATGTAGACTTTAGCGGCACTGTAGCACATGGCACTGTAGCACGTGGGGTCACTGTAGCGTCACTGTAGCACGCATGACGTCAGCGTCCGCGTTTTGGACCTCGGGCTGAACTTGCCTTCGGGCCAGCCCGAGTTCGTGGGACCCGCAGCCAGCCTGGGCTTCAGCTCACCGCTAGAAACGATTTTTTCGAAAAAGCAAGCCCAGCCCGAGGCTCAGGCATACCGCTGGAGTCGCTCTTATAAAACGTGTAAGTGGGGCAAAACGAACTTATGATCTATGATGCAAAATAAATACTCTTAATTACCTGAGCTACAAGCCTCTTAAAAAATTTTGGAAATATTTTGTGGGTTTAGATTGGCCTTTCCCATTTTCAACTTGGAAGTTAGAACTTTCCTTTTTGTTTTTTATTTTGTATGCTTTTTTATTCTTCTCTCCCTGCCCTCTATGTCTCTCCTCCCGCATATATTATTGCCTTATTATTTAATGTTGTCCTTCCCTTGTCTTCAAATCTCATAACGTGTTGGTTGATCAAATAGAAATAAAAATTTCTTCCATCACATCTGTCCCGCTGCACAGTCGTCAGGCTTCTCAGGTAATTAAGGTTGTATTTTCTGTAGATGTGGAGTTTCTTCTTCAGTTTTGCTTTTCACGGAGTTGCAGCTCCAAGTATGCCACTGCTTATATTTTTGTTTGCTCCATATGTTTACTAACTAGACACTTGGAGAATGTCTCAATCAAAGATTTTATGTTAAAAAATCATTATGACATAAACACGTCTGCTTTTTCCCTCTCTTGAAAGTGGAATTTTTGTATGAGAGTTTGAAAGTTGAAGAACTGTTTATAAGCTGGCCTACATTTTAATATTTGACAAACATGAATCTCGTCTTGATGCAAACGACATTCCTTTTTTTTCATGTTCTTCCCGTTACAAACTAAAAGTGAGAGTCGATTTTTCTTTTGGGTTAGTAAATTTTTTTCATGCAACAATATTAGGGTAGAAATTGATCAACAAAGGACCATGGGTATAGGGTTGGAGAAATTATTGTATGGTACTGGAGCATAGCTACGTGATATAACTTGTACACTTGTTATAATATGGATGTGGAGGATAGAGTTTTTGTTTCCACCTTTTAGTGAATGATATCAATAATATCCACTTATATTATAACACGTAGCCGTACTACCATACTACATTATAATTACTTGTAGGATTGAATGTAGCACTAGGTCTAGAATTATTTCCCAATTTTGTTTTCTAACTTATGTCTGTATTATACCTTCCTCAGGATGACGTCCACACACTGCAAGAATTCCATTTACATCCCTGAAGAAATCTTGATCGATATCCTACTAAGACTACCAGTAAAATCCCTAGTTCGGTTTATATGTGTTTGCAAGTCATGGAGCAATTTGATTGAAAGCTCGAGTTTTATAGGCAGACATCTTAATAGGAATGTTAAAAACCATGGCCTTACTTTTCTAGTTGGTCTCGAGTGCACTGAAGTCAAACCCAAAATTCGCCATTCCATTTTCTCTAATGAAACATTTAAGGCAACATTGTTAGCGAGATTCTCTCGCTTCCTCAAAACTCTCACACAATCCCTACAATCTCTCCATCTGTATCTTGATACATATAGGAAGTTTAGTAGGACTTGTCTTGGTGTGCAAGGCACTTGTAATTATCACAACCCATCATTGTATTATAAATACTATTCACGGAAGGAATGAAATATACAAGGAATTATTTTCTACATGGTATCAGACTAGGTCTACGACTCTCCTTCTTCAACCCTAGCAGTTTCTTTCTTCTTCCTGCCTTTCCTTGTCCTATGGCTTCCTCTTCTTCTCCCTTCACACCCTATGCCGGCCCTAACACAGCCAGTTTTCTCAAACTCGACGACCACAATTACCTTCAGTGGCTTCGTCAAATGAAGCCCTTCCTCATTGGCCAAGACCTCTTTAAATATGTCGACGGCTCTTCACCCCCGCCTTCTCCCACTCTCTCGGTCCTCTCTTCTGTCGACCCCAAATCCACTGATTCCGCCTCCTCCGATCCCAAACCCTCTGATCCTTCCACTGTCATCATCACCCCCAATCCCGCGTTTGCGGTGTGGCACCGCCATGATCAGTTGGTTGTGAGTTATATCACCACCACTCTCACTAAGCAAATCATCTCTCTTACCATTGGCTGTGAGACCTCTAAAGACATTTGGGATTGCCTTCAACGTCACTTTTCTCAAAAATCCTTGGCTAGCTCTGCCTTCCTTCAATTCCAGCTTATGGACATGACTAAAGGTTCCAAAACAGTTGACAAATATCTTCAACACGCCAAATCCCTCCTGACTCCCTTGCTGCCATCCAAAAACCCGTTGACCCTGAATATCTTGTCACCGCCACTCTTCGGGGTCTCGGCTCCGACTACCTCATGCTTTGCACTGCCATTCTTCAGTCACCACCTCTCCCCTCTTTCTCGGACCTCCGCTCACGCATCCTGGCTTTTGAAGCCCAGGATCCCAACTTCTCTACCTCCTCACAACCACTCCCTCATACTGCTCTCTACACTACCACATCCCACTCATCTCCCTCTTTTTCCCACTCCGGCAATGGTCGCGGCCGTGGCCGCGGTCGTGGACGTGGTTCTTCATCCTACCGCAACTCTTCCAACAACCGGCGCCACTCTCCATCCTCTCCACATCCCGGCTCCCATCATGGCCAGTCTCTTGCGCCCTCTTGGTCTCCTTCTTGGCCTCCCCGTGCCCCTGCACCAGCATCTTTTGGCTCCAGCCACTCCCCTGGTCTCTTAGGGCCGTCTCCTCACTGGTGTGCCACCTGCGGCACCACGCAGCATCCCCAGGCTCACTGCCCTCATCGCTTTTCTGGTCCTACCCAATACCAGCCCTTTGCTGGCGCCCACTTTGCTCATCCACCTGCTGATGCTGTTTGGGACACTGGCGCCACGCATCATATGACCAGATCTGCTACTCCTCTTCAGAACTCATATCCTTACACTGGTTCCCACAATGTCTACATGGGTAACGGTGATTCCATGAATATCACCCATACTGGTACTCTCCCCTTAACTCTTGGCTCCTCGCACTTCCGCTTACCACATGTCTATCGCCTTCCCTCTCTCCAGAAAAACCTTCTTTCTGTTGCTCAGTTCTCTAAGGATCATCGTGTCTGCTTCTTGTTTGCTCCTAATTACTATAAAATTTTTGACTTACTCACTGGTGCTTTACTCTTTCAGGGCCCCTGTGAAGATGGTCTCTATCCTGTCCCCCCCGCCTCTGTTCCCTCATCCAATCCTCCTGTTGCCCTTGCCGTCCTCCACTCTACCACCTGGCATCGTCGTCTTGGTCATTCTTCGGCCTCTGTTCTCTCTCGTCTCCAGTCTACCTTAGGCTCTAAATTTAGTTCTTCTCATTTTTTTTGTAAGGATTGCGTTTTATGCAAATCCACCCAACTTCCCTTCATTAATAAGAGTGCTTATGTTTCTTCTCCCTTTCAAATTATCCACTCTGATGTATGGATGTCCCCGGTTCCCTCTATCAGTGGGTTCTGCTACTATGTTCTGTTTACTGATGAATTCTCTCGTTATACATGGCTTTATCCCATGCGCCGCAAATCCGAAGTATTATCCCACTTCATCACTTTCGTCTCCCTTGTTCGCAATACTTTCTCTGCCTCCGTTCACACTCTTCAAAGTGACAACGGCACCGAATTTGTGAATCATGCCTTTTCCTCCTATTGTCTTTCCCATGGCATCCAACAACGTTTCTCTTGCCCTTACACCCCTCAACAAAATGGTCTCGCTGAGAGAAAACACCGCCACATCGCCGACATGATTCGCACTCTCCTTCACACCGCCCAGCTCCCTCCTGCATATTGGGCTGATGCCGCCCTCATTGCTATTCACATCATCAATCTTCTTCCCACCCCCACCCTGAACTGGCAGTCCCCCCTTCTCAGTTCTTTACCAACGACCTCCCTCCTACTCCCATCTCCGTGTTTTTGGTTGTTCATGTTTTCCTCACCTTGGTTCTTATGCGCCCCATAAACTTTCCCCTCGGTCTCTTGAGTGTGTCTTCCTCGGTTATAGCCCTCATCACAAGGGCTATCGTTGTCTTCATCCTCCCACCGGTCGTGTTTATGTGTCGCGTCATGTTATTTTTCAAGAGGATTCTTTTCCGTTTACTAACTTGCAGGTACAGCCCTCTAGCTCCTGGGTCCCCGTGGACATCCAGCCCGTGTCCACCATGTTGCAGCCCCTGCTGCCCAGTCCCAGCGCTTTGCCTTCATCTTCTGCACCGGCCTCTTCTGCTCTTCCGGATCCCGTGTCCCCTCCACCTTCCTCCACCTGGTCTGGTGTGCCCTCGGCTCCTGCCGAGCCTTCCTCTCCACTCGCTCGCTCATCACCTTCCCGTGACCTCTTCGACCCACCGTCCCCCCCCAGTTGCTCCTCCATCTCCGCCTCTGCAGCCGCCTGCACCATCCACACAGCCGCTGCCTCCTTCCCAGCTCGCACAGCCGCTGCCTCCTTCCCAGCTCGCACCGCCTGCAGCTTCTCGTCACTCCATGACCACACGTCTGCGTGATGGTATCACCAAGCCCAAGCATTACTCCGATGGCACCACTCGGTATCCTCTTCCCAAGGCTCTCCTGCACCAACTTGCTGACCTCGAACCCACCTGTTTCACTCAGGCCGTCAAAAGTCCTGAGTGGCGGTCTGCCATGTCTGAGGAGATCAATGCTCTCCTCAAGAACAACACCTGGTCCCTTGTTCCTGCTCCTCCTCATCGCATGCCCGTTGGTTGCAAGTGGGTCTTTCGCATCAAACGTCGCTCCGATGGTTCTCTTGAACGCTACAAGGCGCGTCTCGTCGCCAAAGGATTCCACCAACAACCCGGCGTCGACTACTCCGAAACCTTCAGCCCCGTCGTGAAGCCCGCCACCATCCGCACCGTTCTTAGCATTGCTGTCTCCCGAAGGTGGCCCATGTGCCAACTTGACGTGAAAAATGCCTTCTTGCATGGCTTTCTCCACGAAGACGTTTACATGTCCCAACCACCCGGCTTTTCTGATCCGGATCGCCCTCACCACGTTTGCAAGCTCCACAAGGCTCTTTACGGCCTCAAACAGGCACCTCGTGCGTGGTTCCACCGAATCAGCTCATTTCTTCTTGCCGCAGGCTTCAAACAAAGTCTCAGTGACTCTTCCCTCTTCATTTATATTGTTGGTGCTAATACTATCTATCTCCTTCTCTATGTTGACGATATTATCGTCACTGGCAGCTCTTCTACTCTTCTGCAAAACTTCATCGACGCCTTGGGTCGCGGGTTCGACATTAAAGACCTTGGTCAGCTGCACTACTTTCTTGGTCTTCAGGTTCTTCACAACAATGGCAGCCTCCACGTTCACCAGCTCAAGTATGCGGTTGATCTTCTGCGGAAACATAATCTCCATCACAGCAAACCAGTCTCCACGCCCCTAGCAGCCAAGGTCTCTCTTTCTCTCCTTGATGGCACCCCCCTTGCATCCCCCACTGAGTTTCGGGAAATTGTTGGCTCTCTCCAATACCTCACGCTTACGCGCCCCGACATTGCCTATGCTGTCAACACTGTCGCCCAGTTCATGAGTTCCCCCCGTGCTCCCCACCTTATCGCAGCCAAGCGTATACTTCGCTATGTGAAGGGCACTCTTGATCATGGTCTTGTCTTTCGTCCTCAGCCCCTCACCGCCCGCCTCTGTGCCTACTCCGATGCCGACTGGGCTGGATGCCCTGACACTCGACGCTCCACGAGTGGCTATCTTGTCTACTTTGGGTCAAACCTCCTCTCTTGGTGCTCCAAGAAACAGCCTACCATTGCTCGCTCCAGTGCCGAGTCCGAATATCGTTCTCTAGCTCACTCCTGTGCCGAAACAACCTGGCTTTTCTCTCTGCTTCAGGAACTCGGCGTCACTATCCCTCTCCCGGTTCTCCTCTATTGCGACAATCTCAGTGCCACCTACATGGCAGCTAATCCCGTCTTTCATGCTCGCACCCGCCACATTGAACTTGACTATCATTTTGTCCGTGAAAAGGTGGCTCTTGGAAGTCACCGTGTTCTCTTCATTCCTTCTATTGACCAGCCCGCCGACCTGCTCACCAAGGCTCTCCATAAGCCTCGTCACACGCTGCTTTGCTCCAAACTTGTTCAGCCAAGGCCGCCCAGTTTGCGGGGGGGTGTTAGCGAGATTCTCTCGCTTCCTCAAAACTCTCACACAATCCCTACAATCTCTCCATCTGTATCTTGATACATATAGGAAGTTTAGTAGGACTTGTCTTGGTGTGCAAGGCACTTGTAATTATCACAACCCATCATTGTATTATAAATACTATTCACGGAAGGAATGAAATATACAAGGAATTATTTTCTACAAACATGCTTGGACATGGGAGGTTTTGGGCTATATGGTTCAAGTAATGGTTTAGTTTGTCTGTCATGTAAAAGTCTGGATTTGGATTGTCCTGTAACCATATGTAACCCATCAATCATGAAATTTGTCCGCCTTCCAGTCACCAACGTTTCTTGCCCTCCCAAATACCAGTATCGTTGTGTTCTTACATTCGGGTTCAACTCCAGGCTCAACGACTACAAGGTAGTAAGGTTGGTAACGTTTACTCGGGGGAAGAAATGCAATGAAGTGGAGGTTTACAGTTTAAGTACAAACTCTTGGAAGAGCATTGGTGTAATTCCTCCTTGGATATATTCCTTGGGTTGGCATTCTGGACATGCAGTTTCTGATGGGATAGCATACTGGATTATGGGACAGTGAGGTATTTGAACAAGTGTTGCTGCCGGAGGCTATTGTGGAGGGACTTGAAGGCGTTGAGGGAGAAATTCAGGCGTACAAGGAGTCGGTTTGCTTATTGCAATGCGAAAGAAGTGAGCCAGAGCTCCACGTCGGCATATGGGTTCTCCAGGAGAAGTGTTTAAATAAGATGCACACTGTTGTTATTCCTGGAATGTGGCCTATGCCATTGGGCTTTAAAACGAATGATGAACTCCTCGTGAACTATGTTGGAAAGAAAGGTGAGATTTATCTGGCTATTTACAATCTTCAAACCAAGCAGATCAATGAAACCAGAGTTAGCTTGCCCAAGCATTGTTCTCTTGACTCTGATGCTGCGGATACTTATGTTGAAAGTTTACTCTTACTCAAGGGTTGGAGCATCCGAACTTAAAAGAATATCATGTGTATCTTATGTCCTTTATGCTGTGGAAAGTAATATGGAAAATGTACTATCACCTTGTTTTTTTTTTTCGGAGTTTCGTTTGAGAAATGTTTTAATTTTATTACAGATATGCACTCTTAATCATTTGCTCCTTATGTGCTTTGTTTTTCCTTTTTCTTTCTTGTCATTCCATCTCTTCTTCTTTTTTTTCTTTGTATGCTTGTCATACCCCTCTATCTTTCTTCACTTTGTTAAGAAAAATACATTGAAAAGTTCAGAAGCGCCCCCTATTCAGAGAAGGATTATTGTCGCCTCGAGAGTTTTAAGAAAAAATCCTTACTGCCCAACCTTTTTGTGTTCTAACAGCATAAGCAGCGTTTTTTGCTCGATCGCGAATACCTAGGCTTCTTACTGATATTTATGACTTCTTCCAAGTTCCAAGTTTTTACTTCTCCGCATGGAGAAACCATGGGAGGCAGTTTTGCATCTTTCTTAGGCAGGAGAAAAGTGGGTTTATGGCGGTTAGTTCTACCGTCATCACTGGCGGTCGCATCCCGGCTTATGACATAATTATGTTCGTTTTGGTATGAGATTTACAGACTGGTTTTCTAAAATTTTAAACGTTGTTTATAAGCCGATCCACCACATTTTAATATTTGACAAACACTCCTCTTGCTGGAAAGTTCATTCCTTTTTTCATGCCCTTCCCCTTATGACAAATACAATTTGAGTCATTGTATTTCCCTTTTTGTTGTGAAATAAAAAGTTCTCTTTTCAGTGATGGGTCAAATGCTCTTACCCATTTGTTTTTTGTTAGATTCTATGAATTGCCCATATGGCTGTGTTTCCTTCCTGAGTTTGCCTTCTAACTTATTTACATACGTGCACTTGTTCATGATGGTATCCACAAAATGGAAGAATCCCATCTACATCCCTGAAGAAATCTTGATGGACATCCCACTAAGACGACCCTTAAAGTCCCTTGTTTGGTTCATATGTGTGTATGCAAGTTATGGAGAAATCTGATCAAACGCTCTGAGTTTTATTGGCGAACATCTTAATAGGAATCTTAAAACTCATGTTCATACTTTTCTAGTTGCCCTCCACTGCCTTATAGGCACAAGAAACATTGGCCACACTCTTCTCTCCAACAAAACATTTGAGGTCCGCTAAACTATTATTCACCATCGGAGCCTAAAACCTTATGGAATATAAGGTTCAAGCAATGGCTTGCTTTGTCTGTCATATGTTGCATTTGAACAGCCCTATATGCATATACAACCCATCACTTGGGTAATATTATGTGACCCTTCCAATGACCAACATTTCGTGCCGGCCATTATCCGGACATGGCATTACTCTTGCATTTGGGTTCCACCCGGGGGTTGATAACTACAAGGTGGCAAGGATGGTGTCATTCGGTAAGGATAAGCTTGTCTCTGAGGTAGAGGTTTGTAGCACAAGATCTTGGAACAGGTTTGATGTCATTCCTCCTATAAAGAGCATGAAGTGGGATTGTGGATATGGAATTTGTAAAGGAGTAGCATATTGGACCATGGCAAACCAAAGGGATTATCTTGTGTTGTTTGACGCCAGCAACAAGATATTTCAAGCATTGCCGCCGCCAAAGTGAATTGCCGGTGGAATTGAAGCTGTTGAGGAGTACAAGGAATCAATTTGCTTGTTGCAACTTAATAAGGATGGGAAAGAGGAGCATATTAACATATATGGGTTGTCCAAGAGAAGTCTTTTAAAAAGATAGAGAAGGTTGTTGCTCCTGGAATGAGTCTTACTTTTACCCCATTGGGCTTTAGAATGAGAAATGAACTCCTAGAACTTCATGAAAAAAAAAGTGAAGGTGCCTATTATGTGGCTACTTGCTTGAAATTTTAGTCTTACTCATGGATTAGAAACGAAGAACTTAGAATTTAGAATTTAGCTTGTTTTTATTTTGGGAGTATTGTATTTGAGAAATGTTTTAATGTTTAAGTTTATTTTATGGCAAATGCACTCTAAATGATATGCTCCATCTGGGACTTCTTTTTCTTCTTTTTTTATCACCTTTCACTTCCCTTTGGTCTTCGCATAGCTTAGCTTGATAGCTAATTATATATGCATTGTATGTGTTGTTGCATACAATCTTGTCAAAGTTTATGTAATTCATGTGTTGTTTGTGCTCAGTTATACAAATAGCTTTTGCTAAAATCAAAATTGATGTTGAATTAAGTACGCATCAATATGGACTTGCTCATTGCAGTGAAGTAAAACATATTATACCAATGACTTTTATAGTAATTAGTAATTGAAAAAGAGAAATAAAAAGCCTTTTCTCAAGAAAGAATCAAAAGATTAAGGGCATTTACCACCCTTTTTAAAAAAAAATGACATTTTGATTCTACAACTCACCCATTTCCAATGTATTTTCAGTTCTAAGGTCCTTACTCAATCAATGATGACAATGGAAAGCTCCATGGCATAACTTCCGGTGCCTTACTCTGCGCACCATAATTGATGAACTGAGAAAATTGAGCTAAAATGATTTGTTCAGCAGCCATCTGTTAGTGTTACAGTTCCGACACTAACAGATGAATAAGATCAAGTGAATAAGATACTCTCAAACTTCTCCCAAGTCATCAGGGATGGTGACCACCTTCTTTTTATGCTCGTCTGCACTTTCATCTTGACCTTGGTCCGTGTACTTTCGTTTTCTAGGAATTTGTTCCGTATTTAAGAACTCAGAGTTCGACAGAGCTCAATATAGAAGTACAATCTTCGTGATCAAATATCATCAAATACAGATCTCACACACTCAGGAACCTCCTGCAGTTTTAACAATGCACACTGATGAAGCCTTTCCAAACCAGACACTGCCTCACCTTAAGAGAAAAGCAGAATTATATATTTCAGAAAACACAAAAGACAATTCCGAACTAGTTGCTGCTAATATACACACACAGTTTATACCTTGCAAGCACTCAAAAAATTGCCTCTTTGCATGCTCATTTTCAGGTAGGTGGTACCCATAAGCATAAGTCCATTTCAGCACTCTCCTACACTCAACAATCAATGAAAATGAAAGACAGAAGCAAAACAAAATTTGTCAGCATTCATGGCAAAACAAAATTTGTCAGCATTCCATGGCAAAGCAAATCTAATCTGATCTTATAGCTAAACTGTACACTATAATTCCTTTCATATATTTAAAAGAAAATATATCTTTATATATCTAACAAAAATTATGGTAGTTCACCACCTGCCAGGTATCAGTTATGAACTTGAGCTGAAACTCAGGTCCTCGTTGTATGTCTCTAAGTTTCTCCATCTGAGAAAAAAAAATAGCCAGGATATCAATAAAGTTAATACAGAGTACTTCATACAATTCCATGATAGCTAGGAAGTAACGCCTCTAAATTCAGGCTATCAGTTCACATGAAGGGTTTCCGTACAAACACAACAACACGTCTAAATTCTGAAATCTAAAGGTCCAAAGTGAAAACACAGAAAACCTCATGTTTGTGTTGTTAACCTTAAGCCAAACTTAATTTGTAGCATTGGATCTATGAATAAAATAAGTAGAACGTTCCATACACCATCACATTCCAAATCTGCAAAAAGTTTTAAATACGGTTCTAGTTCCACAATACAGTAGAAAGATGAGTACTAAGATTATTTATGTTTTGAACACATTTGTTACCATCTACTCCATTGAAGAATGAAGATAGCTAACACATGAACCCATGTCTGTATGTACGTGCGCACGTAGAAATTTTTTTCTGCGGTACAGATGCTTACATTAACAGTTCACATTTGATGCCAATCCGCAAGAACTTTTTGCCTCGACTGCCAAGGAAGACCAAAAAGATTTTAGTGAATAATTAAACGAGAATAGGACATTTGTATAGGTCCATCAAGAGCAACATTAAGGCTCAGACAATTAAATCCATAAAACAGAAGAACAATGCACAGACAAATACTACAAATTCAAGAGGCTTCCACACTTTTATGGAGTTTACCCAAAAAAAAATACATAGCCAGGGTACTATAACATTAAGAAAAGAAATTAATGAATTCAAAGCATAGCAGAAAAAACAGAGGAAAATTTGAAAAGAGAATTGTGAATGCCAACTGATTTCTTGCCCAAAATTCATAATAATGAGTGTATCTCTCCTGAGAATGCTTTGCCATTTCTCTTCTTCTCTCAGTTTCATCATACTACAAACCACAATACAAACTCTTATAAACAGAAGAAAAAGAAAACTATGATTCCAAAAGGCAAAGAAGAAGAACAAATTCTCAGAATGAACAAAAAGAAACTGTAAAATCCTTACAACTCCCTTTTTATTAGCTGCTTCATAGAGGTTACAAGCATAGAAACCACCTGTCCTCTCACCATGATCTGACCATGCACCAAGGCATAGCCTGCAAGGTACATATAATTCAGTTAGAACCAGATATAACTTAACATTATAAGAGCATAAGCAATAGAAAAGTTTCCTCAAACAATATTTCTATTCTCAATGTGAATGATACAATGCAATCATTAATCAGATATGTTTTCAAAAAACTATCAATTTCCATGAAGGGGAAAAAAAGCAAGCAGAAAGCATACCAGCAAAATTCGAATTTGCAAGGTGGTGTGCACGTCATGGCACCCTTGGTTTTTTCAATAGGTCGCTTACACTTTGGACATGGCTTGGAATTGGCTACTATCCTGAGTGTCATCAACAAAAGTTACCACAGAACAGAAGATGATATATGAAATACCATCGCTAATAGATGCTCTAATGTAGCCTACCACAAGAAGAACAAAAGAATTATATCCGGAAAATGATTGGTGTTACATTTTGCGGTCAAGGGAAATTTTCTACAGCTAAACAACTAAAGACAGCTTTAAACGTTAAAGAGACTTGCAATTCCAAGCTCACATTCTTCATATTCAAAACAAGAGATTAAGATGCAAGTTTCTTGTATCTGAGTCCGAAACTAGGTAAAATACAACCCATTTACTTTGGCAATAAAAAGAAACAAAGAAGGAAATTTCAGCAGAAATTAAAGAATTGTATTATAATCTTTTGGTGTAAAAAATGTTGTACATACAAAATGAATACTGATTAGCCAGTTAGTCACTAGACTGTTCCCCAACTCCAAAGAATCAGAATTTACAAAACTAACTACATGTGTACATAAGTGGGAAGAATAGGACTATGAATGAGACGAGCACCGTAGACACGAGGTGCTGCAACAGGAAAGCAAGGGCGACGGACGATCACAGGAGCAACAACCACAGGAGCGGGCTGCCAATATCGCACGATTGTTGGGCTAATTCCATACAAGCAGCCTTGAGACATCCCAGCCACAGACCTAAACGTTGCGTTCATCTTGGAGAACACAGCAGCAGTCAACAAACTGTCTGAACCAGCTTGATGAGCTTCACCAGAGCGCTCCACATCAAGAAGCTTGGCCACCCTTGCCAATCCAATTTCACCGCCAAAGAATCCTTTGCAGTAGCGAGCCATAAACTTGATGTCATAAATGATGCCAAAAACTACACCAAGAGCCTTAGCAAACATCACCACTGAATCGGGCAGAGGCTTTTGGGTCAAGAGCTTGAGCAAATAGGCCAGGTCATAAAGGCCATGAAAGCAAACCCATGTCAAATCATGCAACCCTCTGTGGATTCTAAGGACACGCAGAAACCCGAACACAAACTCCGCAACAGAAATCCCAAATTGCCCAAGTCTCGCAAAATCAAGACCGTTCCTTTTGAGTAGAGAAATGGAAGCGATAACATGAGGGTCAGATTTCTCATTAAACCCAGACAAGTGGAATTCCCAAGTTCCCCCAATGTTGCCATTGGCGTCGGACAGAGTGAATCCCAACTGGAGCAATTTGAGGGATTCAACATTGAATTTTACATCTTCGTAACGTTGATCTTCGAGTGCGTCTCGGGGAGTGTCTCGGAGAAAGCCTGGAAATTCGGTATCGAAAGAGATGACGGGGAAGCGGTGCAGGCAGTGATCGAATTGAGACAATTCTTGATGGAAGTTGTAGGCCCAAACTCCTCTGATCTTCATGACTAGCAGTGTGAGAACAAAGAGCAGAGAGCATAGAGAGCAGAAAGCGAGCAGGGAGTAGAGACCAGAAACCGAGCACAGAGTAGAGAGCAGAAAGCAGAGAACAACAGCGAGATAGAGCGAGAGAGAGAGAGAGATGGGTTTGAAATTGAAAGTGAAATTGAAGGGAAGAGAAGGTATTTATAGGATTTCATTCCTAGAGCTATTAGGATTTCATTCCTAGAGCTATTAGGATTTCATTCCCAAAGCTATTAGGAAACCCAACTCCGCTTTAACGCGGTTTAACTTACCGTTGCAAATGCTAACCCTAAGCTGGTTTCAAAAGAATATTTAATTTACTAAATTACCCCTAATGTGAATTTTTCCTAGAAAATACAAGTAAGAAAAAGAAGAACCCGTAATTAATTTGGTTGTCGCAGGGTTCTATCGCTAGGAACGAAGGCAGCCAGCGTGAGCTCGTCTCCTCCATCATCTTCATCTACTTCATCCCCCCTCCCACCACTCTCTCTCTCTCTCTCTCTCTGTTTTCTCTCTCTGTTTTCTTGGACAAAACGACTTCACTTTGACAAGCAAATTACTTTTCGTTTCCAATTCTATGGGCCTTCTTTTTTGTTGGGATCCAATTCTATGGGCTTGTTTTTGGGCATTATTTCCAACAAATTTTTTTCATAATTTTCGTTCATTATATTTAATTTATCGGAGAATTTAATTTTATAGCCATATTGAAACACGAGTTTAAAATCAAGTTCTCAATATTCTATAGTTCATTATTCTTTGTTAATTTATGGTGATAAAATAACCTAAATTTAACATTTAATTGATTCATTATTTATTGGTTTATTATTTTCTGAAGTTTCACTGATTTTTTATTTACTTATATTGTGTTTGTATCACAAATGGTACCTAAGCTTCCGTTAAATTGCTTAGGTAGTGTGACACCTGAATTAAATATATATATATATGTTTTCGAAGTTTTAAAATTGAAAAAATCATCTCTAAGGTGTGGAATTTGGGTGCATGAAAGTTCAACCTAAGAACAAGCCCAAAAAAGGTGCATAGAGCTCCATTTAAATCCCCAATTTAATATAATAATAAATAGGCTTAAATGCTAAAATGGTCCCTATGTTTTAGCCCGTTGGCCAATTTAGTCCATGTGTTTTCAATTTGGCTAATTTGGTCCTTGTGTTTCAAACCATTAGCTAATGTAATACAATCCGTTAAACTTCTGTTAAAATATTAATAAAAAGATAAATATTTGAATTCAATCTATAAAATAAATAATTATGAAATAAAAATAAGATTTAAAAGATAAAAGCAATTAAAAACCGAGGTACAACACCATTTCAGCAATACCTTTTCAACCCAGCAACAACTCACCCACACGCAAAAACCCCAACTCCCAAAGCCACAGCCACCCACCCCACCCCTCCCCTTCTCTCTCTCTCTCTCTCTCAAGAACAATCCCCAACTCCTGACCATCTCCTACTAGAATCTTCACCATGCAGTCATCGCCCCACTCCCCCCAACCACATTACTGAGCAGCCCCGCGCCTATCCTTTTTCTTTTTTTTTAATTATCTCTCCCTTTTTCTAATGCTATGTTTTAGTTCTAATGAAGTTTTAATATGTTTTTAAATTATTTCAATTTTTATAAATTAATTTCAACAAAATTTACAGGTTTTCAAAGGAAGAAGAAGAAAAAAGGAATTGTCATGTTTATTTAACGGCAATTTTAACGGAATGGGCCACATTGGCTAACAGTGCTAAACACAGGGACCAAATTGGCCAAATTAAAAACACATGGACTAAATTGGGCAACAAGATAAAACACAGGGACTATTTTAGCATTTAAGCCTAATAAATAATAATAAAAATGGTATCCCCAATGGTTGTAGACATGCACAATTATATATGTGATATGAAAAATAGTTTCACATATGTGAAAGCATTCTTATTTTTATGATCTTGTGCAATGCTAACGTGAAACAAAAGTTGGAGCGTCTTAGAACTTCTTGGCGTGAGTTTTTATTTTTTCTAAGGTTTGGGATGTTTTGGAATTATGGTAAAGTGATAAGGGTATTTTTGGAAGGTTTTAAGGGAAAAAAGAATGGGAATAGGATACCTCCTCCCCCTCCCTAGTTGATTTGATTCCTCTATTTTGAGGGGATGTGATTACAGATTTTGAGATGGGGTCCACATATTTTTTTTCATTCCTAATTGCAAGTAAACATCAGGGAAATCATAAACGAAAATCATTCCATTTCCTCTCATATTCAATACTGATATGTAAACATGCCCAAAGTGTTAGGAGCGATAGCATTCATTTCAGACAAGCAATTCTTCTTTATTTTTGTCCTCTGATTTTGGATTAACATTGGCATAAACCCTCAAACAATTAAGGACCACATGATGAACTTGTCATTCTGCATAATGCTAGTGGCCACTAAAAACCCATTAATTTTCGAAGCTAACAAAATCCTTAATGACACATGCACGCACACACTCTATCTCAAAAGAGCTAGACTAGATTGATTAAATTAGTAGTTAATTATGTGATAAAGCCTTTGACCAGTCAGTATATATGCTTAATCTATAAGGTTTCAACTTCCACTGTAATGATGTGATAAAGTCTTTTCATGATTACCAATAGCAGACTAGCAGTGACAGTGTGTAAGTGAAATTCGAGCGTACAGAGAAGAGAGCAAAGAGGGAGCACAAAGAAACAGAGAAGATAGTAGAAAGTCTAGAAACGAGAGGTGAGAGCGAGAGTAGAGAGGGAGAGTAAGCGAGAGCTGGAGAGAGAGAGATGTGTGATCTTGAATATTTGAAGCTATTAGAAGAGAAGAGAAGGATTTAAGTGTTTCCTAAAGCTATTAGGAAATAAGGCTTTGAAATCAAACCCTGAAGAAATATTACCGTTGCAAGAGCCTCGCCGCTACAACGCGATTTCACTCATCAAAACCAAATCGTGTTTTGATAATAAATAAATAAATAATTATTAATTATTATAAAATAAAAAATAAAAAAAACGAGTTTTGTATCCCTCACCTGAAGTTTAAGCATAAAAGAAAAAGAAAAATTATGAGCAAAAATAGAAACAGAAAAAGAAGTTGTAATAAATTTGCAAATGAATTCTATTTTCATCCCCTAATTTTCATGACTACCAGTAGCAGTAGCAATAGCAATGTGTAAGTGAAATTCGAAAGCATAGAGAAGAGAGCAAAGAGGGAGCATAGAGAAACAGTGAACGCTCGTCTTCCAACTCAAAAGAAAAATGGGCTCGTTGGGATAGTTGGGTTGCTCAAGAGAGTAGAAAGCAGAGAGATGAGAGGTGAGAGCGAGGGCGAGAGAGAGAGAGAGAGAGAGAGAGAGAGAGAGAGAGAGAGAGAGAAGTTGTGATATTGAATATTTGAAGTTATTATGAGAGAAGAGAAGCATTTAGGTGTTTCCTAAAGCTATTAGGAAATAGGGTTTTGAAATATGACCGTTGCAAGAGCCTCACGGCTTAAAGGCGGTCGCAGTTGCTTTTTCACGCATCAAAACCAAATTGTATGTAAATTGACTAAACTACCCCTCACCTATATTTTAAGAAAGAAAAAGAAAAATTCTAAACAAAAAAAGAAAGAGAAAAAGAACTTGTAATTAATTTGCAAATGAATTTTGCTTTCATCCTCTGATTTTCATGACTACCAATAGCATTAGTAGTGTGTAAGTGAAATTCGAACCACAGAGAAGAGAGCAAAGAAGGAGCACAGAGAAATAGTGAACGCTCATCTTCCAAATCAAAAGAAAAATGGGCCTGTTGGGATAGTTGGGTTGCTCAAGAAAGCAGAAAGCAAAGAGATGAGAGGTCAGAATGAGGGAGAGAGAGAGAGAGAGAGTTGTGATATTGAATATCTAAAGCTATTACGGGAGAGGATAAGCATTAAGCATTTCCTAAAGCTATTAGGCAATAGGGTTTTGAAATATGACCTTTGCAAGAGCCTCACGGCTTAAACACGGTCGCAATTGCTTTTTCAAGCATCGAAACCAAATTGTATGTAAGTTGACTAAATTAATCCTCACCTATATTTTAAGCTAGAAAAAGAAAAATTCTGAGCAAAAAAAGAAAGAGAAAAAGAACCTGTAATTATTTTGCAAATGAATTTTGCTTTCATCCTCTGAGTTTCATGAATACCAGTAGTAGTAGCAATAGCAGTGTGTAAGTGAAATTTGAGCGCATAGAGAAGAGATCAAAGAGGGAGCCCAAAGAAACAGTGAACGCTCGTCTTCCAAATCAAAAGAAAAATGGGCTCGTTGGGATAGTTGGGTTGCTCAAGAGAGCAGAAAGCAGAAAGCAGAAAGATGAGAGGTGAGAGCGAGGGCAAGAGAGAGAGAAAGTTGTGATATTGAATATTTGAAGCTATTAGGAGCCAAGAAGTACAGACATGGATACAGATACGGTGATACAATACGACACGACACGGGGATACGGTAAATTTCCAAAAACTAGGATACGATACATCATGGATTCGGTTATTAAAAACATATATTAATAAATATATATAACTTAAAACAAAATTTTAAATAAATTATAAATTATAAATTATAAATATAGTGTAGCATATTGGGCTTTCTTTTCTGATTCTTTATATTTTTAGGCATGTATAGCTTTTTTCACCCAAACATGTCATTACCCATAGCCCATTTTAATCCTATTGCTTAATACCCAAACCCATAAACAGATCTAGGAATATATATATATACAGTCCCCTTCTATTGAGGGACGCCCTTTAGGGTATCCTACAATTTTTTTTTCTAATGATCAAAACCATCTATTGTTTAGGTCTTCATTCATAGATCATCCTTATAAAAAATTAGACAAATCGGAAACTGTTTTGACATCCAATTTTGTCTTACAAAATCAATGAACACGGTGCTTCAAGAAAGTACTAAAATTTCAATAACTCAATTGAATGGTCAAATGATATCGGATTCAATTGATTTTTTGTAGAGATGATCTTTGAATGTGTATCTACAAAATAGACGGTTTGGATTAGTGAAATACAATCCGGAGTGGGCCCTACAAGGGGTGTCTCTCAAATAAGCTTATTTGAGGGATCCTTCAATGGAAGCTCTCTGTATATATATATATATATATATAGGGACGGATCTATGGTACCATATTTTTGACATAATTTTTGAGTCATTAGATTGCTCCACTTTTAATGAATGAGATTAAATCTGACATGACTTTTTGACATGAAAAATAAATTAAAATATTTTTCTCTCTCCTCTAAACTCTTTCTTTTATCAGACCAAAAAGACTTTTGATCTTTCTCTCATTCTTTCCCAAAAAATTTGAAATCCCTCGTGTAGAATGAACATTTTTCTCTTAATCAGTCTCTCATTCTCATTCTCCTTCTCCTTCTTTTTGTTATTAGAGTTACTGCTGATAATTTGTTAATTAAGTTATGTTAACCCGTTATTATTTCTCATAACACATTTCCATCACAACAACCACCATTACCTGATAAAGAGAGAAAACAGAGAGAATGAATGAATGTCTATTCTGAATGAAGTGAGAGAACCAAGGCATCAAGATAGATATTTATTTTTCTTTTTTGAATTAAAACTCTAATCTCAATTGATTTGAGAAAGATTGTCCAGAACAATTCGATGTTTAACAGAACAACTAAGAATAAGGACTTGTCTACCATATTTGCTTTAAAGCTCCAACAAGATAGAAAGCAACACAAACTACAAACCTAACCAGTGAAATTAGAAAAGAGAGGTCCCCTTCCTCTTCTTTTCTCCACCACCTCTTGATTGGGTGCTGGGCAGTAAGGCTATCATTTCCTTTCTTGTATTGGTGACCTTTTGTAAGGTGTGTTTGGGAGCATTCACCATGGCGACGGCTGCCTCGTCTAGCGATGATAATTAGCAGAGAATGGTTAGGGAAGAGAGAGTGGTAAGAGAAAAAAAAAAATTGATAGAAATTTACCTTTTTGAGAAAATAGAGATACGAGAGAGAAAAACATTTTAATTTATTTTTCATGTCAAAAAGTTATGTCATATTTAATCTCATCCATTAAAAGTGGAGTAATCTAATGGCTAAAAATTGTGTCAAAAATATAGTGCCACGGATCCGCCCTATATATATTACAAATCCTGTTTTAGCAAATGATAATAGAAATTAGGTCAGTCGACATCTTCTTCTTCCTCATGCACGCCGATCTCTCTCTCTCTCTCTCCCTCTTCACACGCAGGGCCAGGGGCTCCTCAACAGCCCCTCAACTGCAAACTTCAACAGAGGAAGGTATCCGAAAAGTTAGATACTTGTGTCTGGAATGTTGGATACTGTTAATGTATGGTTTTTTGTTATTTTCTTTTGGCTTCCCTTGACAACTTTGTAATAGGATGTGTATTGTTATTTATCAAGCTCAAGTTTAGATTAAGGAAACCTTTCTTGGTGCTCTTCTCTAACTTCTGCTCTATGGAGGTTCAAGCAAGTTGACAAAAGTATTGCGCATTGCATATCATTTCATAAAACAGTCTTCATAAAAATGATGACTAGTCATCCGTTTCTCAGATGACTAGTCATCCTTGCTCTGTAGGATTTCCAGCTGGATAATAAACTGTTTTGTCCTATTCCTCTTTCTCTCTCTCTGCTGCCATCTGTGTTTTCTGATCTAAGGAATTTTTTGGCTGTAAAGGCTAGGTTTTTGGTCATTTGGTGGCTGTCTCTTTTGGGTGGAAGTTTTGGAAAGTTTGGCTTGCCATCTTTTGCTTCTTCTTCCTTGGGAGAACCATCTTATTTTCATCTATGAGTTTTTCCAATTGATTTCTTTTTGAAAAACTGCATTTGAAACACAAATCTGCATCTAGCTACTTAAATCATTCTCTCATTTATATCTAGGTGAGATTCAAGACTGATTTCTTCAATAGTATGGTTTCTTGAAGAAATTGGTCATTCTCCTTTGAATCCAAATTTTGGTTTCGATTTGTGTTGGAGCTTGCAAGCTAGTGTCATAGGATGAACGAGCTGGAGAAGGAGCTGCCATTGCCATGAAGAACTGAGCTTCAAGCTTTGCTAAGTTGGAGAAGAAGATTGCACAAAGGAGGTATAGCTCATCTTCCTAAATAGATCTAGGTTTTTCTTGAGCTTGCTTGTGTTCCTTTGTAAGAATCTTTTTCTACTTAGTGGATTGCCTGGTCGGTTGATGACCCCCAGTTTTTCCCAATGGTGGGTTTCTTGGTGAACAGTTTCTGGTTTCCAACTCTGTAAATTTTCTGGTTTTGTGTTCTTGATAGTTGACTAGTCATCTGGGTTTGTGCGGTTGACTAGTCATCTTTTTATGTTGTTTGGTGTTTGCTTGATTATGCTGTCTTCACACACTTTCACCATAGTTGTTGCTAGCACAGGGGATGCCTAGATTGACGGGTCCTTCTGAGTGCCTAGGTTGTCACTAGTAATTCGCTAGGCTTGCAGGTACATCTTTGTATGCTCTGTGTATGTTATTGTTTGGTATAATTCATATATGACAGTTGACTAGTCATAAGAGTATTTGGTCAAGGTCTAGAGTGTGAAGTTTGCTGCGTTCTTGGTTGAATATCTTTTAAATTTACCCCTCGTCACTTAAGTACCATTTTCAGATACACGTATCCGTTGAGTGCGATACGTATCCAATGTGTATCGAATCATATCCAAATCATATCGTATCCAAAGGAGTATCCAATACGGGATACGCCACTAAATTGGCTTATCCATGCTTCTTAGATTAGGAGAGAAGAGAAGTATTTAGGCGTTTCCTAAAGCTATTAGGCAATAGGGTTTTAAAATATGACCTTTGCAAAAGCCTCACGGCCTAAACGCAGTCGCAGTTGCTTTTTCACGCATCAAAACCAAATTGTATGTAAATTGACTATACTACCCCTCACCTATATTTTTAGCAAGAAAAAGAAAAATTATGAGCAAAAAAAGAAAGAGAAAAAGAACCTGCAATTAATTTGCAAATGAATTTTGCTTTCATCCTCTGATTTTCATGAATATCAATAGCAGTAGCAGTAGCAGTGTGTAAGTGAAATTCAAACGCATAGAGAATAGAGCAAAGAGGGAGCACATAAAAACAGTGAATGCTCGTCTTCCAAATAAAAAGAAAAATGGGCTCGTTGGGATAGTTGGGTTGCTCAAGAGAGCATAAAGCAGAGAGATGAGAGGTGAGAGCGAGGGCGAGAGAGAGAGAGAAAGTTGTGATATTGAATATTTGAAGCCATTAGGAGGGAAGAGAAACATTTAGGCATTTCCTAAAGCTATTAGGCAATAGGGTTTTGAAATATGACCGTTGCAAGAGCATGACGGCTTAAATGCGGTCGAAGTTGTTTTTTCACGCATCGAAACCAAATTGTATGTAAATTGACTAAACTACCCCTCACCTATATTTTAAGCAAGAAAAAAGAAAAATTATGAGCAAAAAAAGAAAGAGAAAAAGAACCTGTAATTAATTTGCAAATGAATTTTGCTTTCATCCTCTGATTTTCATGAATATCAGTAGCAGTAGTAGTAGCAATGTGTAAGTGAAATTCGAACGCATAAAGAAGAGTGCAAAGAGGGAGCACAAAGAAATAGTGAACGCTCGTCTTCCAAATAATAAAAAATAATAAAAATGGGCTCATTGGGATCGTTGGGTTGCTCAAGAGAGTAGAAAGCAGAGATATGAGTGGTGAGAGAGAGGGCAATAGAGAGAGAGAGAGAGAGAGAGAGAGAGAGAGAGAGAGAGAGTTGTGATACTGAATATTTGAAGCTATTATGAGAGAAGAGAAGCATTTAGGCGTTTCCTAAATCTATTAGGCAATAGGGTTTTGAAATATCACCGCTGCAAGAGCCTCACGGCTTAAACGCGGTAGTAGTTGTGTTTTCACGCATCGAAACCAAATTGTTTGTAAATTGACTAAACTACTGCCCACCTATATTTTAAGCAAGAAAAAGAAAAATTCTGAGCAAAACAAGAAAAAGAAAAAGAACTTGTAATTAATTTGCAAATGAATATTGCTTTCATCCTCTGATTTTCATGAATACCAGTAGCAGTGTGTAGTGAAATTCGAATACATAGAGAAGAGAGCAAAGAGGGAGCACAGAGAAACAATGAACGCTCGTCTTCCAAATAAATAAATAAAAAGGCTCGTGGGGATAGTTGGGTTGCTCAAGAGAGCAGAAAGCAGAGAGATGATAGGTGAGAGCGAGGGCGAGAGAGAGAAGAAGTTATGATATTGGATATTTGAAGCTATTATGAGAGAAAAGAAGCATTTAGGCGTTTCCTAAAGCTATTAGGCAATAGGGTTTTGAAATATGACCGTTGCAAGAGCCTCACAGCTTAAACGCAGTCGCAGTTGCGTTTTCACGCATCGAAACCAAATTGTATGTAAATTGACTAAACTACCCCTCACCTATATTTTAAGCAGAAAAGAAAACCCAAAAAAGAGAAAGATAAAGAAAAATTCTGAGCAAAAGAGAAAAAGAAAAAGAACCCGTAATTAATTTGCAAATGAATTTTGTTTTTTTTCCTCCGAGCAGCTAAGTGAGGTCAACGTGCTTGTCTCTTCCATGAGTTTCATCTGTAGCAAATCGAAAAAGCTAGTGAAAACTCATTTCTCTTTCTCTTCACACAAATGGGTTTTGCACCTTTCTTTTAAACTTCGGGTTTTGTAGAGAGTAAGTAAATGGTCAACATAAACTTATGGGTTTGGAATTATTTTCCAATACATTCTTTTTCCTAATTGTTATTTATTGTTTTATTATAAATATATAAAAAATACATACGAACTGAGGAATTTAATTTGATGATCATATTGGGGACTAATCCTTCATTTTATAAAGCTCGATTATACATTTCATTAGTATTCCATACTCTAATAACAAAATATAAAAAGATAGGACATAATACTATTTCTAACTTGTCAAAATTTTAGTATTCCATAATTTATCATTCTTCTGTTAATTTTCAGTAATAAAATAGCCTAAATTTAACATTTAATTCTTTCATTATTTCTTGGTTTATAAGTTTTACTTAAAGACTTTTAAATTTTTTATAGGATTTTCATCATAAAGGTTCCCGAAATTGTTACCTTTCGTCATTAAGGTTTTATTTTGACGTGATTGGTCCTTAAGGTTGCTCTTTGTACATCAAGTTGGCCCATGTCGGAAACTTCTGTCAATTTTGTTTTTGTTACCCTAAAAAATTTCAAATCTCTAATATACAACAAAACTTGTCAATTCGTTGTGAGTTAGAACTTTAAAGATTAAATTATCTTGTGCTAATTTTAGTTGCCTATAGTTCATCCGACTAGAATAGGGAGCAAAACTATTGAATGCAGTGTGGTTCGATACGAAGTCAATGAAAATGGGCTTTCAAGACCTCTAATCACAAAGAGCGCGAGATTGGAGATCATGAGCATGTGGATAATGTCCGATTTCCTATTGCAATTAGTGATCCTATTATCAAATCGAATGTATTTGTTGTGGATGTATATTTCAAAAAATTTAAGTGGGATGCGGGATCAGCAGTTGGAAGGGTGAGTGTGACTTTTCAGACACACAGCAATGGTGACGACAAGAAGACAGGCGGCCTCTGCAACTCCGGACCCGAAAACGCCCCAAAATGCTCCGAATCCCAACCCAAATACCCGAAACCCTCGAACACCATTTTCCACCACGGCCATCATCTCCGCCTCCGTCAAATCTGTAAAGCCCCATCCCAACACACTCCTTTTGATGACATTTATACATATGTGTGCTTTGTGCTTAATTTTTTCGAAATTTTTTGGTAGGTCTTATTGCATGATTGGTGGCTGGTAAAGGCTAAAGGAAAGGGCTTGGCTGTTGGAGGTCTTTCTTCTAGAGAGTAATTTCTTTCTTTCATACTTCACTCTATTATTTTAGATTTTGCTTTGAGAATTCTCTGGTTCTTTCGGAATCTTAAGAGTTTAAGGAAACTGAACAAAACCCAGAAATTAATTGGAAGATTTTCTGGTTTTTAGTGTGAAGAGCTTAAAGAAAAAGCTCTTCAGTTTATGCATGGACGTTTATTCCATCTTCTGCTTTGGTGGGTGAGAGTAAATTTCTTTAGTAAAAGGGAAAGTGTCCTACTTTGCTCCCAAAACAGCTTGAATTGTTTTGAAAATTGGCCTTCTCCTGCAATTGATGGCTATATTTCTCTTTGTTTAATTAACATATTTTTGGGTTTATGTCCTCTATGGATTATTTGGAAGCATTGACAAGGATTTTATGAAATAAGTTTTGTGATGTGTGTCTCTGACCAGTTACCATTCCCCTTTCCTTTTTGTATTGTGAACAGGTGATAAGAAATATTAGTAATTGGAGACAGAAACTAGTATTTCCAATTTCAAAACCAGCTCTAATTAAAGAGATTCTATCTTGCTGTTTGTGACCCTTGTTTATCACACAGAGAACGAAAGCTTACTTCATTGATCAGCCTTTGCATTTTACTTGATTGACCTGTGACATCTCTAGCACTCTCTATAGAGTTTTGGCATTGGATTTGTGCATGAATATTGACTTAGTACATCTCTGTCACTCAAGTTACTGTGTACAATTTTCTGTTTTGAGATTAATGTCTGAAGATGTTAATAACATTTTCTTTTCGTTTTTTTCTTAGAACAGTGGACTAGGAGTAAGAGTTTTTAGCTCAGCAGAAATTTCCAAGAGACACACGGCCACTGTTCTTGAGACAGCAGATGGGATCATGGTTACAGTTACTGGCTTCTTAGATAGGTCTCGCACGCATCAAAATGGCCTTCCCCCAGAGGTATGTAATTCCCTTTTGTGTGCTTACCTCTTACAGCTTGACTTAAGAAAACTGAGCCTAAACCCTAAATGCAAGAGGATTGACAAAGATAGAAAATGGCCTATTATAACTAGATACTGTCGTTGATTAGAGGATTACTATGTTCTAATTAATCGTCACTCCTATTTGATAAAAATAAATAATGAAAAGTTCATTACTGCTGTATGAATGATTTGAAACTTCTGAATATTTATACTTTGTTGGAACTACTAATCTGTCAGCTATACAATCACTTTCTGCTTGGATTTCCATTTAACTGGGAGGAGTACGCTGCTGTTGATTTGGGTGAAGATTCTACTGACATAGGTGCTTCATTGAGGAAATCAGCTTCGCAAAAGTTCAACGTGCCTTCAAGAAACAACGAAGGTAATTCCTTACCATTTTCTTTAGATGATCTCTCAGCGACAAAGGGACGTGATATATTAATGTTAAGTTATGGAGACTCTGATTATCGTTCACTAGTGAAGAACATTTTCAGTGATATACTGGGAACATCCAAGGACAATGCTTTTGGGCATACCGGTTCATCAATCATTTAAATGTGGGAAATAGTTGTCCAGTTGAAAATGTAGATTCTGGAACAACTAAAACTCCAACAAAGCATAAGAGCTTATTGTTCAAGATGACAAAAACGTGATCACGGAAACCAGTAGGGTAGGGGTTTCCACAAGAAGCATGACTAGGAGTGTTTCCAGAAGCAGCATGACTACAAGGAAGATTTCCACAAGAAGCATCACCAGAAGAAAGTTGTAGCCCACCAGCTTTTCCGTCAGAGCCTACGGGAACCAAATCGGAGGGGCAAAAAACAGTAAGTGCTGAAAATTTGAGTCATGCTGCCACATCATCTGGTGAGGGTATAGGGGCTGAAGTCAGAATATGAAGTGCAAGGCTGAGGAATTTTGAAAATATCTGCAAGGCACATCTCTAAATTACAACTGCAACTTTTTGGAGTGGGTTCTTATTTTGATGGGTTTTGATCCTTGGAAGAATGCTACACTTACTGAAATCATATGTACAAATCAAATTCAAAAGCACTGTAGTATCCTTGGTTTCAGGGTATCAAGCAATATACATATTTTCCTGCAATATCAACACTTATATAAGTCTGTGTCTCTGACCAGGAAAAAAATAGTTCACAATTCAATCAAATAAACTCTTAAAACTCTCTTTTAATATTTTTTTCCACCAATTGATTATGCATACTCAAAGCATTCATCAAACTCGAATTATTCTGAAATTAATTAAATTATCATAATTTGAATATATGTGCCCCACACGCTCTGCACGTGATGTTTGAATTAACAATCATGAAATAGGTGAGGGGGGAAAACAATTGTTTCCTTAGTAAGAAATACTCAAAACCCTCGACCAGAATCAATGACAATCTTAATAGAGGAACATGCACCCAAGAGTGTCCAAGTCATCAAGACAAAAGAATTTTACATTCAGCAACGGGAACAAAAGAAGCAAAACCAACAAAGATAGAGCTCATATATCATTTTGTTCACTTCTTTTTTTTCTTTTTTCAGTAAAATATAAAATCCCATTAACTGAGAGATCATTTCCTACAGTCAATTTGGAAACTGAATTTAAAAAGAATTATGCTTCTCCCTCTAGAAAGTATTTTACAAGAAATTACAGGTTCGCCTGCCCCCAGATTTGTGGCACTCAATTTCCTGGCTTACACAGGCACCCGTCGGCCACGGTATCGGTCAAAGAACTGCAAATCAGAGAGAAATCAATCGATTTCTTGCACTAAGAATAAGCGTACAGATAAAGCTCATATTCAGGCAAGAATAAACATTATAGAGACTAGATCCTCCATTCTTTGAACTTGAGGTTGTGCAAGTAGGTGCCACCTGAACTTAGGACATACTATAAGGTGCTACCACCATGGCAGAGAGTAGACTGCACAGTACCAGGGAAAACTTAATTTGGACATGAAACTGTGGACTTCGCTTATCCTGACCAGACAGGAAGTTTAAGCATTTTGGACATAATGGGTCTTCAGCACACTTTCTAAGAACATGTCCACTATCATGAAAAACTTGCCTCTCTTGCAACATAATATAAACCAATGATGGAACTAACCAAGTAATTGTTGGAACCAAGTAATTGCTGAAAGTCAAATTACAAGACCAATGTCCCCACCAAGGTAATATAACCTACCCTGATGATCATTATCTAACTAAACAAAACACAATTCAGACACAACTCAAGTTCAAATACTTATAAGGAACTTGACAAATAATCCTATTTTTTTCTATTACAAAGACAAAAGGTTCACATTTCAAATTGTTTACAATTTTTTTTAATTAACTTGAAAAAAAACGTCTTAATTTCACCCTTATAATACTGTATGTATTTTTATTTCACCAACTCAAATACGAAAAACATAGAAGAAATAACAACAATTTACACAAACTTGGAAAACTGTTCTTTTCTCATTTTGAATAGATAAATAATAAACTGTGGATATCAAAGTTCTTATTTTTTATTTTTTTTTAAACAATGTGTACCAATTTTTTTCAAATATTTTCACTACATCTAATGCCCTAAACAGTTAGGATTACCCAAATCTTTGCACAAAAGTTTTAGAATTACTTAGAAAAAGATTACTATAAATTGGATTTATTTGTCTGTTGTGAGAAATAATTAGAACGTATTTGGATATCCAAAGAAAAAGGGGTCCCCATATTTCAATCAAAAATTAATTCCAGATACACATGAAACCCACTATATACAGCACAATCCCAAATTACCCACTCACATTCCTAGAAAGGGATTCTGGTTAACAAAAACAGAGTTAAAATCATGATTACCAAAAATATATCATATCATGTCCCACAGTCTACCCCAGTCTATCTATGTAGATACACACATCCATACGTATGGATGTGTGTGTGTGTTTATGTCCAAACAGAGCTCAAATTGCATTACCTATCAGTTAGTTTACATTATCTCGTATTGAACAATGGCTCCTGATTCCTATATGTTTTTAATCATGCTTAACAATAATCAACTAACTTTTATAGACATAAAAATGTTCCCATGCAAAATCCAAACATAAATCATGTTATGAAAATAAACAAGAAACCAGGACTTCCCAATTGTCTGAAATGGTATTTATGATTGTGCAAGTCAAAAGATATTGCATAAAAACTAATCCACTATTATGAACAATTAATACTGAAATAAACATACCGATCTAATATATGGTTGTTGAAATAGCCAACCAAGAACTGGAATCTTCTGAAGAAAAACTGCCAGTGTTGGCCAGAAGCCGCTGCACAACATACTCCATCAGCAATTTTATATAAGCAAAAAAAATTTATTACTATGAATCACAGTAAAAATCCTATAGACCTGAAGAGTACGATGAAACCATATCCTTCCAAAAGCATGCCCACAATAGGCCATCCTATGATCACACAGAAGAAGCCAAGACTAAAAGAGATTGTTCCCTGTAATTAGCAAACAAAACCAGGTGAAAAAGAAAAGTTAGAATACATGCATGGCCCTGAAAAGAAAATAAAACATGCATGGAAAAAGTCGTGCAGAAATGGAGAGAAACATTAATGATTACAAACCTTATAATTTTGACGTTTCATGAAGAATTGCATCGTGGGCTTAAATCCAATGGTTAAAGTCACTCCTGAGAAGAAGAGGATCTGATTAAGTACCACAAACAAATGAGGAGTGTTAAAACAGGTATCATGTACAACAATAAATAAAACACAAAAACAAAAATTGCAAACACAGCAAAAAACACGTAACTTGAAAAGAGATTACGTATAATTATTAAAGTTACTTACATTTCCCATTGCGAGTAGTCCCTTGTCGAAGAAGAAAACGATTCCCAGGCATGAGAAAAATATGCCAAATCCTGTCAATCCTAGTCCAATCTCTGTTTCATTTCAGAATTGCACAATTTAGAGGTCACACCAATTTACATTTAAAACAAGATATCAACTGGCATCTTCAGTATTACTATACCAAATTATTATTCCAGTTTTAAAGAATTAATTAGTATTAACAATAAGAAGTTGTTCACATAAACAAAATTATGTATACGTATATCAAACCAAGTACTCCAAAGCATCCAAAAATAACAAAAGATTATATATGAATGTATCAAACCAAGTAATAAAAAGCATCCAAACCTCTTGGAATATTATGACAAAGTAAAGATAGACAAAATTACTCACTTTTCCGATCATTCATCTCGAAGGAAACCATTTTCGCTGACGATTCACTGCAGACCACAACACCAAAAATTAGCATCGGAAAAACAAATTAACATATCAAGTAAATGAATCGGATCGAAGAAAAAGCGAAAGGTAACTGAAATTAGGGCTTCAATTGAGGAATTTAGGATTGTAGAAGAAAAATTATGCGGCAACACTACCTTGAATAAACCTGAGGCAAGCAAACACGAGTTGACGACGAAGATCTTACAAGAACCTGTAGAAGAGAGATTGCGATCAGTTTACCGAATTAGAATGAGCAGACAGCGAATCTAGAGCTCCAATTGGATTCCGAGAGAAAGACAAGAAGAGAAAATGAAAATCGAGCCCTAATTCTTCATTTTCTTTTCTTTTCCTTGGGTTTCTCGGCCACAAACGGATTTAATAGCGTCGAGGCTTACAGAGAGCGAGAGAGAGAAACTGTGAGACTGATGCAGAGAGACTGAGAAGGTTGGAGCGGAAATGGTTTGTTAAGAGAGAGAGAGAGGTGACGGGCGCGTGATGGGCGCGTATATGTTTGTTTTTCTGCAACTTCAAAACAAAGGAAAGGAAGAGGTTAAGAAATGTGAAGTCAGTGCGTGGCGTATTTTAGTTGAACAAGCAATTGTCCGCTAAAATGCGCAAACAGTAAAGTCAATAGGGCTCAATTCAATTCTATTGGTTAGACAACATCACCATTTTTTTTTTTTTCCTAATGAAATAGGTGGGCAAAAGCCCCAAAGACAACATCACCACTTGAACCTTCCTCTCTGTTTTCCAAACAACAAAAAAATAATAAATTTGGTGACACTTTGTTTGATATGTCGAATCCCTGAATTTATAGCTAGATTTCAATTTGTCCCAAATTTTTCTTTTAGAACAATTTTGTAGCTAATTTTCAATTTGCTCCTAAACTCTTTTATTAATTTTTTATGATATGAAAATAAAAAGTTACAAATAAAAGTCTCAGCATCTCCAAGGAAGATGTCAAATATCAAACATCAAATTTAAATTTGATGGCTGATGTGGCAATTTGATATCTTACACAGCTTTACACTCCACCCGATATGTCAAATTAAATTATTATTTTATTACATTTTAGTGTTGATTCATTTTTAATTAAAAAGAAAAGAAAAGAAAAAATAATAAAATATTCATTTGACATCTTGCTTTTGGGATGTCAAAAATAACATCTCAACCTCCAACCTTCATTCCACATCAGCTTTGACATATCGGTTGGAGTGATGTGAGATGTTATTTATAGCTGTTAAATGTCTATGTGGCACGTTTGACACATCGGTTGGAGATGCTCAAAGAGCATAAAATAAGAAGATGAAGCCTATGCTCCCACAACCTAGAAAAGTCGTTCCATGATGAAAGTGTCATAAATAGACCATAGATGCGGACATTTATACTAGCCACGCAATTCATCTGAATAGTAACTTCACTTACTCTAATGAAATGATCTTGTGGCCTATATGAAGATCTGCATTAGGGGCACTATAGAATTTCCCTCTATTCAATATGCACAATGAATTTGGCCAAAAATAGGCTGCAGGTGCAAATTTTGGTACAATCACATTCTTATAAATTATTAGTAGACGATTTTCAAATAATTTATTGAGCAAATATACAGTATAAACAGCCGGCCTGATTGAAATTGATTCACAACAGTAAGTGCACAAGATGCTCTCTAGCTAACCTATTTTCCCAGCATAAATACACAATGTAGATATTATAACTAATAGCTATTTTTACAATGTACTTTTATTGTTCATTACAGCCAACAGTGTAATTCTTAAGTGGTTACTAAAATTGACTCGCAATAATAAATACCCTACGTGATTTCTACATGGCTTTTTTTGCAGTATACCATTATTGTTCATCATCATCACCAGCACCTCTGAAAGATGATATCTGTAAGGGAAATGGGAAAATTATTAGGAAAATAAATACAGATAATCAACTCGATGCTTAAAATTTTAAATTGTGGATAAGCTGGTGGGGATCAACACCTTTGAGCTAATGGGATAAGGGTGAGGTCTATAAGGCATCCAAGATTTCCCCGTCCAGCCCAGATAGGTCAAGATTCTGTCATAAAAAAATTAGCAGCGAAACCAACACCATCAAGAACTCAACACCATAAAAATAGCAAGAAATCAACACCAAGTGGTAAGGAGTCCTAGAAAACTTTTCTTTCAATTTCTTGCTTTCTTGCTTCACAAGGTTCAAACCAACGGCGACTGCACTTAAGCTAATCCATATAAATGGAATCTACAATTCTTTGAGATACTTCTAAAGTTTTGCTACCAAACAGACCCATAAAATGTGGGACCAATAATCATGGAATTGGTGACCCATATAGCTCCGACTCTCTGCAAGTCAATTGTTGAGTTATGTCTGATTACTAAGTGGGTGGAGCTAACATTTTAGAAAAAGTTTTTCATAACTAATCAATATCAAAGATTCATCATGATATTTGCACAAAATTAAATGAATTTGCAAAGAGACTTATGATGCGTACCAAACCCAAAGCTTCTGCGACTCTTCTTTGGCTTTCTTCACTACAAATGCCAACAAGCATGCTCATTAGAAATTGCCTCTGATTCAATTTCAAGTGTTTCGCCAAGCCTCGAGCCACCATCTCCATCTCTGGCTGCAGAATAAATATAAAACCATCAAGAATCACAACTCAGTACTACTAACAACAGTAGTATGAAAGCCTCTCAGTTTCTGATGTTGCATATGTAAATTATAGGAACCAAAGCAGGCCAAACAAAAATATTCCATCACATGCATCGAGGCATTTGCATAGATTCATTTGAAAACCTCTAATACCAGACCATAAATGACAGTCTTGAAGAGCATGCTGTACATGGAAAATGGAGCAGAACATAATTTTTACCAATAATATGTAAAACAATTGTAGCTCTGTGAATATACATACAAGAAGAAAACGTTTTTCAATTCAATAACCAAGATACATATAGGAAACGGTAAACTACAATGTGTCTGCCTAAACTTTAAAATGTGCCATATTGGTTCCAAATTTTCAATTTGTTCTTAGCAAGGACAAAAATCTAATTTCAGTTTGAAAAAATTAAAAGAATTGGCCATATGTCCAGCACATGAGCACTTAACCAAGGACAAATTGGTCATTCTCTACTCTTCCCTACCCTCTTATCCATTCCCTACTATCCTGTCACTTGTAAATGCCTCCCATCAGTTTTAGCCCCAATGCATGTCAGCCAACGCTCTGGACAATGCGACTGCTAAGGCTTTATATTGATAAAAAAAAGCTTGTATTTCCAGAAGCCACTTTTGGAGTGGGGAAAACGAGATGCCGACCGTAATATACAGGTTCCTGACCTGACGTGCCTCACAGGACCCATATTAAGGGCAAGCACCCATGTGCACGGTTCTTTTCATTTACAACTTGATCACTGCTTGACTTAGCCTCGTTCTGAGGTAGAAGGTTTACTTGAGAAGGTGTCAGCTGAGGTAAATGCCTACTTGACTATTGAATACATGAGACATTCCAAGATTGCATAAACGAAGGATGTCTAAGACTCTTATGCAATAGGGCAGAAGTCTCGCTTTGAGCTAGAAGCACGTGCTTCGGTATGCCTTGGAGAATTTCACCAAACAGCGGGATGAGAAAGGCTATTTTACTCTACCTTGCCTCATCACATGCTTGGTTAGAGAAAGAGGCTGGGCAGATAGAGGAATGAGTCAGAGGGTAAGGATGGGTAGAGAATGACCACTTTGTCCTTAGGTGGTCATGTGCTGGGTACATAATCAAAATTTACAGACCAATATAGTATGCTTTTAGACTTCAGGATTTAAAAACTATGAGTAAATTCCAAAAATTAAAAAAAGAAATGCAAATATCAGATATGGTTATTATTCACAAATAAACAAAGCACATACAGAGGACTCCTCGGGAGGAAATATCCGCAAAATAAGGCATATCTTTGACAATTCCAGTACTGCTTCTGCATGTTTACCTTGCATTACCAAAGCCTGCAATCAAACAATTAAGAAATACAACCATTTAAAAATTCAAAGAATGTGATAAAGTGTTTTCAGAAAGGTAAAGAAAGGATATTTTCCAGCAGAGCCATAAAAGAATATACTTGAAAATACAAAATGGAGTATAAATCGAACTTATAGGTCCCAAATTCAATCTCACCACCAAAGTAACATATGCCTTAAATTATTCTCTAGAAAACTCCCAGGAATTCAAAACTCATAGAATCCAATAAACCAAAAAATTAAAACTACCAGGACTCCAATTAAACTGACATGTTAAAGTCTAAAATGTTTTTAGGTCAACATTTCTGACAAAGTGATGAATTTTTGTCAGAAATGTTTACCTAAAAAATTTAGGCTTCTACACTAAGTTAAAGTCATATGTTAATTTAGTTCCAAAGCCTGCAGACCATAACTAAGCAACAAAGATACGAGGCAGCAGGCCAACAAAACTAGTGTACTGGAGAATTCGAAACATACAATATAGCCTGAAAAAATAAAACTATCCCTAAATTCTGAAGCCAACGACCTAAAGAGCAAAGAGATCTAGAGTTCCCTAAAGCAATTATTTTTCAAGTAATCTTCTTTATTCTCTCAGAATTATTCACAAAATGTTGTCCAAGAGTTTTCTATTTACTTTTTGTTTTTTGGAGAATATGATGTCAAAATAACTGCCTGTGCCACAAGAGGCACTTAAATTGTTGTCAAGTCTGTGCAAGCATGTGACATGGCCATAGTCAAAAGAAGAGTGAAAAAATTACCCACGCCTGCAAAAAGCATGAACGTGTACGTGCAGCAACGGCTGCAGACACAATTCTTGCAGCACGAATGTTGTCAAGCCCAATATTCTCAGCAAGCCCAGCAACAAATTGACAAACATCTTCGCCGTCAATCTGAACATAAGTAGAGCGACTTGGGGCCCTGCCACACTATAAATGTTGAAACACCAGGAGAAAACAAAGCACCCAAATAAAAAGTGGTCGTATAAACTATTAGAATGTTAATGTATTGCATCCAAGAATCACACCTGCTGCAAGTATTTAAGACAAAGTCAACAGACACACGGTAGAATGAATCTCGTGTATTTGTTGTATCAAAGGTGACCCGTACTCTAGATGCCCTGCATATTTGACGTAACTGCTCACCCACTCAGACAAAGAAGTATACAATGTATTATGAAAGATCAGTTAATGCGGCACAAAATTGTAATTAAAATTTACAAAGAAAGAAATTGTGGTAATGATTCAAATTTCATATAATAAGAATGTTTTCCTAGCTGTAACGAATCAATGATATAACAAATATTCCAAATAAAAAGTTTAACATCTTACTGAAATTCACAAACATTACATCAACCAAACATGCTCATCAAAATCTCTCAGGCACATAACCTTTTAAAAGATAACTATCTAGACTCATTTAGCATTTGGTTTAACTTCACATGATGCACTGCACATTGATTCTTTCAACATCCACCACGCTTCATATGCTTAATCATTTAAAGGAAGAAGCACCTTTTGATGAAACTTTCAAAAACCCATAAAAGGCCCTTGGTTAACCAAAATGTTAGACAAAAGAAATTTAAGATGGGAAGTTTAAAATCATAAATAAGCAAGTAAAAAACTATAAAAATTAGTGTTTTTAGAATATTAAAATAATAAATATAAGGAAGAAAAAAATCCAATTGGCACATATTTACTTATGGGGAAAATGTTTGAAGACTGTTTCTGAGGTTTAAATAAGCAAGGTGTATGATAAACCTGATGCCAACATGACGTCTTAATTCCCATATATCAACAAGGTTTTCACATACAGACATTAATACAGTAAAATCTTAAAAACCATAACGTTCATGTATAGCAATATAGTAACAATCTGCATAATCCTTAGCTACTATAAACATCCAGTCTCTCATGGTGCAAGGGCTACTACCCTCCTCTTTTATTAGCTACACAATAAATGTATCTAATATCGTATCTGTATGTATAAAAACATGCTTTCAAACAATTAAAGTCACTAACAATAAGATTGATATTACGTTACACTTTTTCTAAGACTACCATTTATAAACCATCAAGAAAAGTACCCTAACCTGAATTTTTGCTACATATACATCTCATGTATGTGCGTACAAAGTGTGTGAACCTACAAAAAAATGTATGTTTAAGCATCTACCTATGTATTTATCAACAATCATAATTCACAAGGAAAAAAATAAAAGGGAAAAAACTTTGTAGGAATTTTGTCATTCATGAGACTGCAAATGTTATAAAAGTAATGCACAATCAACTCAAAAAATAAAAGCACTGACATGAATAATATCATCCTCCACAATGTCCTTTCCGCTCATTCTATTGTCCGTGATCGCTGGAAATCAAGTGGATGAGTTGCGAATTAAAGATGTAAAGTGGGATAAACAAAATAGCTACAAAACTCTGAGAAATGTGTGACTTTACCTACAACAAAAGCAAACCCACCAACAAAATCAAGTCAGAACCTAAACTTCTTATGTAGAATTCGAATGATCGCAGACTCAGAAATGTTAAAATATGATTCTAATGTGATTTTGGTAAATGCAGTAACATATGATTTTATATGAAAATGAGAACTGAAAGAGAAAGAGCCAACAAACAGACCTCTAACCAATCTATCTGCTTCGCTTTGATAATAATGCTTATCCACCACCGAACTCTGCTGCGGCATGGAGCTTGGCCACCAACTCGGCAGCTTTTTTTTCTCCCAAACCCGAACCCGGCTATTCAAAAGCCTCCCCAAACCATCCACCACCGTTCTCTTCGGCATCGACAGAGGATTGTCCAACATCCCAAAACTCTTCTTTTTCCTCACATCAACTCTATCCTTCTCTACCCTCCCCACCACAACCTCTTTTCCCCCAAGACTCCGATCCCTCCTCACCACCGTCCCCTCCCTCCCATACCCGGACCGACCCCCAAACCCTAACCTCACCAACCCAACCAAAACCCTAAACCCCAAAACGACGGCGAAGGTCATAACCACCAAATTTCCGACGAAACGCAGCGTGGAAGGGCGACAGGAAACGATGACGCGATTATCGGCGTCGACGGAGACGAGGGTCCGAAGATCTTGGAGGGCGTCAGAGGCGGAGGAGAGGAATTGTTGGAGGCTGTAGTGGGAGGTGTGGTAGAGGAATTGGAGGTCGAAGGTGGCTTGGAGCGTATCAGGGCGCGATGGCGAAGAAGAAGGGTAGAAGTAGGGTTTTGTGGTGGTGGTAGTTATGGTGGTGGTTGGGCGGCTTGGGTTTCGGTTGCCGCGAGTTCTGCGATTGCGATTGGGAGGGCGAGGCATGGAGCAAGAGAAGGAGGAGGATTTGGGAGAGCATGGGTTTGTGGAGATGGAGAAATGGTGGAGGTGGACGTAGGAGTTCATATCATGTAGCCAAAGATTTTGTGTGGGGCTGGAGCTCACTCTCATTCTCACTCACTTTTCTGAGAAAGTTGTGTAGTTTATCTTTTTAGCTTTTACTTGGTTCTGTTTTTTACTTTTGTGGCTGGCTGTGCTGCTGAGACAAGCTCGTCCCCTCTTGCATCTTGCTTGAAAAGAACAGTTGCCGTTTTTTTTTTTTTTTTTTTTTTTTTTGGGAAGGGATGCTCAACTACTATCCTTAAAGTTCTCATCAAAATTTCATACATGTGATTGGTTAAGCTAGATAGAGCCTATCTCCTCCTATTCTGTACCGGTGTTCGAATCCCTCTTCTTATAGTTTAGATTAGTTTAAAGAAAAATTTCACTTCTATAAATAAAATAAGAAAAAGTTTATCATCATAATTTCAGTGCAAAACTAGTACTACATGATAGGCATGGAAATTTGAACCGAATTTTCGTTTTTCAGTCCATAAACTAAATTGCTATCAATCGAATCAGTCACGATTCAAGATATCCCAAACTGTTGGTTCATATAATCGAACTAACCAATTTGTGTGTTTGCGAAATTTTGCAAAAATATGCGCCCTGGGGGACTCTAACCCTTGATATGGGGGTTCAAATGAGGTTATGTTACCACTCGACTACTTGGCTTTGATAAATTAAGTCTAATACAGTTGAATACAAATACATTTTCAATTGGTTGGCCCATCCTGACCCTATCAAGCCTAAAAGGTCCGACCTGTGTGGGTGAGCTTAGGCTGAGGCATTGAAACCTAAGCCCGATACGGCTTAGGTTGAGGATTGTTTTGCAGATCTAAACCCACCCATAATTATGAAATTAAGTGGTTTTTATATGTCAATGGGGTCTACTCCAATGAAAAAGGATCTAAACTTGCAAATAAGAGGTTTCAGGTTCAAACTCCCATGACATTTTAGTTGAGTGTCTGAGAGAAATCTTCCTCCCTTTTAACTTTAGACTATGACTTGTACTATAAAAAGTAAAATAAAAATAAAAAGTAGTTTCTATCTAATGTGAGAGAGGTTTCTAGAAAATGTGGTACTCCAATTGGTCTACACAGACAGCTTCTTTTCCAAATCTTGAAGGAAATACCATCCGAGTTTGGTATGAACGGTTGGAACCTATTTCACCAAGAAACGTTTATGCAATAGAAAGGTTCTGCTCATCCTTGGATGATGCGGATCGATTAAACCAACTGAAAACACTGGCTGGTTAGAAGTGAACGTCTAGTAGTTCAACATGGTAGCCATACCAAAATGCTTTTAAGAAAACACCTGAGAGATCAAGATGCATAAAATAGTGTATTGGATAATCCAGAGGAAATTCCTAATCCAACAGTTTTTTATTCATTCAAAATTACTTACTAATTCAACTCAAGTGTAGAGCTTGTTAAAACAGAGCTAGATCATTATTTGGAAGAGTATCTCTTACCTAGGACTCTTAGTTTTGATATATTGTCATGGTAGAGAACAGACGACATCAAATGCTCTTGTGCAACAAAGTAAGAAAGCATGTGAAATAGCCTTCCAAAACGAAATCCATCCATCTGCCTAACATTCTGAGTATTAATTCCCCATTGTTCATGTGCTGTAAGGACCGAACCGGAATCTCCAAAACACAACTAAGGAATCTCCATATCACCATATTCTCATTCCAAGAAACATCACCTGGTTTGAGTTTATGGCCCTTGAAACCACAAGAACTCACTCACATCCAAAGACATAGTAACGTTCCCTGTGGTCGACATTATACAACCACATAAGATTCACAATCCTAGTTAAGATGTTGGTGGCCTAAAATGAGGGTCAACCATCACGATATTTGATTTCTTAAAACAAACCAAAAATTGATGTATTACCTAAACAAACCAAAAATGGGACTCCTCAATTTTGAAGAGCCAAGTTTTTTCCTATAATAAAACAATAAAACATGTCTCAGATTCCACTAGAAAAGAAAAAGAAAAAAATTCAAACACGTTTGATTGCAATGAGAATGAGGTGTTCCTTACCAAAACAAAATCTAAGTCTGTATAAAATAAAATAAAAATACAAAAATTGAGATTGGGGGTGAAATATCTATGTGGTCCAACGTAAAGAATACAAAAGAACGCTAATACAAATCACATTGGTAGATAAAGTGCAGGACGGAAGGAACTACATCACTGTGGACATGTTGCTTATCTCTCTATCCAAATCTTCTGCAGCCAAAAAACTGGGATCACTCAAAGGCATGTATACTCCGAATTCGTTTATATAAATTTCTTTACACAACTTAGGGAAACCCTGTGACACGGGAAAGGGATCCCCGAAAACAGTAGAAAAGTATTTCTTCTCAGATTAATTTATTGAATGTTTGAGGAACCTTGCTTATCTCTTGTATTGTTTAATTCCTGCCAAAAGAATTCCTTCAAAGAAAAAATAAACCAACCTGCAACAACAACAATAAGCAAAAAACAAAGCCTGATTATGTACAGAAAAAAACCCAGTTATGCCAGTTTCAGGTTGACATTTTATGACCAACAGGAACGTTCTTTTCCGACCGACCAAATAATGTGGATGTCTCATAAGACACAAATTGCAGAGTGTAGCCTTTCCAGGATCTATAGGCCTACTAATTGGTTACTGGATGTGACAGCTATTTTAATTGCTGCAAATTGTAAGAAAGACTACTCCAATTTAATTGTTGTTCAACATGGCGTTGGTAATTTTTTCGCTCAACATGGTTAAATAGATTATGCAGTAGATGCATGTAGCAAACAATAAATAGTTAAAGAACAACAACATACTCCAATTAACTTTAGGTGGGTTAAAAGCGGCTGTCTTTCATCAGGTCCCACTCGGTGACTAGCCTGGAAAAGGTAAATTTATAAGAAAAGAGTGAGAAATATAAAAAATATATATATATTTAAAAGGAAAAAAATTATTTGCAAATCTAAACCTCTTCATTTGCCCCTGCTGCCATATTGATAAAGGAATCCTTTGACCTAAATCAAGAAAAGCATCTACATTAGTTACCATCATGAAGAAAAAGAAACAAATTATTTTTCCATGAATTTCTCCTTCATAATAACAACTAGCCTCTCACCCAACGACCCCAAACCCCAAAACTCATACTGGAGGCTCCATGTTTCCTTTTCTTTTTTCTTGATCTATTTATTGTGAGGTATAAGTGGTGATGAAGGGGTCGACATGTTTGGGCTTTAGCCCTCACTTAACAAAAAAAAAAAAAAAAAGACATGAAAGAGTGGCACCAAATTTCAAATATCAAATTTCCTTCTAGAGAATCAATTGTTCAAAGCAGTAATCAGAACTCTAGGTCTGCCTCAAATATTACATTATTACTGTAGAAATGACAAGTATCAAAAGTACATACTATAAAAATGGCAAAGTATCAAAAGTAAAAAAGTTCTTCAAAACATTAATTCCTTGGTGACCTATTCTTGTTAGGCCTAACAATATCAATGGTTTAGTGCTGACTAGGTGTTTCTGTCAAGCATACAACAGGAACACAGTAACATGTACAAGCAAGTGGGTACGCATCTGAACAAGGAGGTTTAACTCCCAACTAATGCTGCCATGCCACACCACTATCCTATATGACCGAAATGAGCAAAAAGAAAGAGCAGATACCTGTGTTTATCATCGACATCTATCATTTCTAGCTTCCCATTTTGTTCCTCTTCTTTGACTTTCGAAATGGGAGAAAAGAACTAAATAGAAAATGGAAACAAACAAAGGTCACCCAACAAAGTAATCAGAAGAACAAGAAGAAAAAGAAAGAAAGCTCTATTTAATTACACATTTTCTTGTTTTGAAACTCTCTCATTCTCTTTATTAACTAATGAAAAAAAAGAGAGTTCATTTATTAGGTTACCTGGTGCATCGAGATGAAGACAATAGAAATTCCTAAAACAAAGTTCATAGTCAATTTATGACCAAACAGCAAAGCAGATGCTATGCCTGTGAAGATAGTGGCCACTGTGGACGAGTACTTCTTTAGAATTGTATCTGAAAATATTAATAACATCTTCAATGAAGAGTGACGAGAAAAATGAAATTTAACAAAAAAGTGATGGTTAATGAAAGCAGAAGCTGAATAAAAGAATCTTGCTCTCATTCCCGGTAGCAATCCCTTTATTACAGCAACGTGTCCATACACAAATTGGCATGACACCTACACCTGAAGATGCTATTGCGGAAAACTAACCTGCATATTTGAAGAAAAAAGAGGACAGAATTCCTTGTGCTGCATTGTTAGCTATCAGAAACATTGTAGCTCTTGAATGACCGTGAAGGATATCAAAGCTACTTGGGCCTGGAACATTCATACAACATGAGGTTAGACTCGAAACACCCATTTACAACAATAAATTTCCCCAGTTTCCATCATAAAATACCAGTGCAAAAGCGCAATGAAGAAGTTTATTCGTGAAATGGCCCTCTTACACCATTCAACTATATTAAACAATAATTATATTCCAAAACTATATTGATCGGGAAAATATAACTAACAATATGACTTCCTTGAACAAGTACAAGTGCTACTAGAGTCAATAAATTTGAATCTGACCATTGAATATTGCTTTCAGTTAGTTCTCAGTAGCTGGAGGTAGCAGTGATAGCATTTTTATTCTTTGTGAGGAATGGGAAGTATAGTGAACTGGAGTCTACAAATTATCTTAACGTTCTCTAATTAGGGTTTAAATGCATACTGTCCCCTTGGAAGGAAATTTGGAGAATAAAAACCCCCAAAGTGGTGGCATTTGTTAAGAAGACTTGGTGGATAATTTTATTCAGAGAGTAAGGGCATGTAAATGGATGATATAAGTGTAAGGAAGCATACAAAAGCGAAGTTCATCTTTTTCTAAGAAAAACCCTTTAGATTGGAAAAGGTGAGGAGTTGTCTTCTCTGTTTCGGGTTAATTGTTTCTTACAGGTGCCAAGATCAGTTACTGCTTTGATCTCAGGATGACACAGCAGATTTTTGAAAGCATCTAATAAAGAGATTTCGTGAATAGACCCTTTAGTTTTTACTTTAGAACTTGTGGTTAAATAGAAAATTAAAACAAACAGCTACCAAAGCCAGTGGATCATCTTAAATAGCTGAAGGATTATGTTTATAGGTGGCATTCTGAGCTATGAAAGTCCCTTTCATTGCCTTTCGATTTTATACTTGCTTTATGCTCTCAAATTGTTGCGTACTACTTCTGTACATGGGACTTTCTTTCAGACTTTTTTATTCATCAAAATAAATAAATAAAATGATTTCTCTGCAAGAACAAATAAACAAAGTGTAGTTCATACCTTTGACAATGGCCATTACCAATATTCCTAGAAAGTTGAATATAGCACCATATCCATATAAAAATAAGTTCTGCACAGCCAAAAGATAACTTCAAATGAAGAAGATAAATTGATGACTTATATTTCTCAGTTTTCAATAGCTGTCCAAACATGAATTTAACAAAGTATAAACAATGAGAAAATTGAGATAAAAGCTGCTAAGATATGTTTATGAAGCTCTAGGTTCACACTGAGGCAATTGATCTTAGATGAGGACATGCATAGAAACCAAAACGAGTGGAAAAGGGTATGTCCTTCCACCTTATCGCCGACATCTCAGCGATACGTTGCCAGCTTGTCAATAAGCTTCAACATCAGTGAAATACCGGAACTTTGAGGCAAAAGGCCTTATTTTCCTTAGAAATTTTGCCAATATTCCAACTTTCTTGGTATAACCTAAGCTACCAAGAGATTATATGGCATGCTCATCATTTGCAAATTCCAGCCCAAGCCCAACCATATCCATAACCAACCAGTAAATTTAAGAGAAACAGAATAGATAGCTCCACCCAAAATAAAATCATAAAACAGTAATCAAGATCCAAATTGGTACTAGATCACTGACTGCAAGTACATAAGCAAATGGCCATTTGCTACCTTTAGAAAACCAATTCCTGAACATCCTTTAATAATAACACCACTTACTTTCATGAGAAAATTATAAAATCCTATATCTCACCTGGAGGTATATACTAGTGTCATATTGGCTCTTCAGAGCATACTCATTGTAAACAGAGGCCAAGGATGGAACTGTTACCTGTAAAATGAATCTAAGATAAGTCAACATGATGATATAGTTATTAACCTAAAGGCGCATGTTAAACAGCATGACATTCACTAGTAAAAACAACAAAATATCATAAATCACTTACAAAGATCAATGTGTATACATATGCGCCTGTTGAAACTGGAAGACCTAAAGCAGTGGAACCCTCTGGTAAAGATCGCAACTGATTTACGCTAATCCCGATGAGCAACAAAGCAAGGGCTTCCCACTGTATGAAAGTAATATCAGTTTGATACCATATAACAAAGCATAGCATCAAAAGGATTATGTTCAAATAAGTTCATCCAGAGTTCTACAAGTGACTACTCCCCCCTCCCCCACCTAGTAGGAACCAGAAAAGAACATACATGTACAAGTAGTAAAAGTTCCTTCTTTTTCTGGCTCAAAAGACTAAGAAACTAGGATACTAACCTGAATTATTGAAAATCGGCGTTTCATTATCATTTTCAATAAAACAGCAATCACCAACACCTGCATGTCCATCAAACTCCAGAAATTTAACAACTGATTAATTTAAGACAAGAATATATCAAATTTGTTAAAACGAACAGCAGAATTTCTACAGGTGAAACTAAGTGAAACAAAAACTATCTTAGCATATCTTTTCAAGCCCAATAAATATGCACGGCAAGCAACTCCTGTGGAACCAACACCAGTGTGCAGGGTATTTTTTTCATGGGAGTTTCACTAAAACACCCAAAATGGGAGTTGAAATTATAAAAAAACCCAAGCACTATTTAAACATATAGACACACCCAAAACCCATCATTACACACACTCAAAACCCATTTATAAACACACCCAAAAAGTTGACTTTGGGGTTGATTTTGGGTGTGTTTCTATATTTAAATAGTGCTTGGGTTTTTTTATAAATACATGTCTAGGATTGGGTTTATTTATAAATTTGTATTTTTTCATTGAGGTCACCATGTCAGACATCTCATGCCACTAACACTGGGTTTGGTGTCCATGAAACATTTTTTAATTGCTCTAGTAAAATTGAAGAGAGAAGGCATGAAAACAATAGTTTCAAGAGGCTGGAATAATGCATCTTTTATGAGACTGATTGTAGGAAGATTGTAAATGCATAATGCAGAAGCTTCCCCCCAAGAGGACCTGTTTCAGAAAGAGTCCTACCACTGAGCACTGGGAAAAATATCTTCCTCGCCAGATGTATTCAACCAGCTCAAAATGAAGATGTGGGAACCATAGGCGTGGAAGGACCAAAGAAGGGTTACTCAAACAGGTTTGTTACGAAAGCGATACACTCACATACCCTAAATATTTACATGAAAGACCAACACATTGCCTCAGAAAATAAGCTATTGTACTAAAATCATAAATCTCATTTCAGCTAGCCACAACTTTGCAATATATGTATTTGTTTTTTGTAGTACATATATTTTTGCATATGTCACAAATTCTCGCAGTTAACCATATCATATATATATATATATATATTATATACAGTCCCCTTCTATTGAGGGATCCCTCAAATAATTTTATTTGAGGGACGCCCTTTAGGGTATCCTACAATCGTTTTTTTAATGATCCAAACCATCTACTTTTTAGGTATTCATTCATAGATCATCCTTACAAAAAATTAGACAAATCGGACACCTTTTCGACATCCAATTGTGTCCTACAAAATCAATGAACACGGTGCTTCAAGAAAGTAATAAATTTTCAATAACTCAATTGAATAGTCAAATGATATCGGATTTAAGTGATTTTTTGTAGAGATGATCTTTGAATGAGTATCTACAAAATAGACGGTTTGGATTAGTGAAATACAATCCGGAGTGGGCCCTACAAGGGGTGTCCCTCAAATAAGCTTATTTGAGGGATCCCTCAATGGAAGCTCTCTGTATATATATATATTATATATATATATATATATATTACAGGGAGAGGGAGAGACAGAGAACTTATTAAGAGGGATCCCTATAGATAAATTCCAAAAGGGCTTGTGTATATAAACAAATAAGAAACCACTGAACATGAAAGCTAGAAGTCTTTGGAATTGCAGGGTGTTGGCAGTTTTTTGGGTTGAGCAGAATAGAAAGCTTTTTTTGGATTACTCAGGAGTAGGTATGGATATGCGACTTTGGGATCAAGTAAGTTTCTGGTCTGCCCTTTGGACTTCATATGGTTCAAGGACTCTTCCTTGCTATGGCTCTTATAAGTTAAGTATGAAGTGAGAAATTAAGTCCTACCAAGTTGTTAATATCTCTTGGTTTCTCTAAAAAGATGTTTTGTTTCAAAATAAGGTTTGAAAACAATGTGCGCATTCCATCTTCATGCATTGAAGATATATGTACATAAGTAATAAATTGAAGCCTATTTGTTGATTTGAAGTATGCTCTAATTTATTGAGTAGTAAGTCCAGATAATATTGATGCGCCTAACACATAGAGGAATTGGTGACAGTCTTCAACTGTATCACAATCCCTTAGGGTATCCAGGCTATTAGGTTATGTTTATGTTTATTTAAAATAAGTGAGAATATTGTTGTTAAGAGGTTTAAGATAGTAGGCATTCCGGGGCAAAAGCAAGGCTAAGCAAGTCATGAAATGATCGTTAACATCACTAAGATACCGATAATAAATATTATGAAACTAATAGTACCTTCAAATTGCTGAGCATCTTCACGGTTGCAGGATTGAAATATAGCTGCAAAATAAATAAGGTTATGTTATGAACAGTAATCAATTGACAAAGCTCTCCAAAATCGATGAATAGGAAACGTCAGATGAATATCAGGATAAACTTTGGATGACCTAGTAGCATTACATGTAAAAATTCCCATAAAGCCTAAGCAATAGCAAATTCTGGTAGTTCATACTATTCAAAAGAATTACAAGGTATAAATAATCTGGTAGCTCGCACTCCCTCCTAGGCAACTAAGCAGTTGCAGTATGAATATATCATGTCGCACACAAAGTGTGGTGTAGTGCATGGACGCATATCTCTATCCAAGAATTTTGTTTTGTGCGACCCTTTTTAGAATATTACTTAGACCTTAACACCACAAAAGCCACTTTTTATAAGTAGACCTGCGAGATTCAATACATCTTTCAGAAGGGCTCAAAAACTACATGAGGGAGAATCCTTAGAGCTAAAAACCTTTGTCATATCACAACTTCTCTATAGAATAGCATGAGTTTCATCAATCATACTAAAATTTGAAAAGTTCAAATTTAATCATATATGCCACCCGAACACAGAGATGAATGCTAAGAGGATCTACGAAATTACTTTACCTGCATGGTGAACTTTAAATAGTTATTAATAGCATAAAGAAATGCTGGAACAGCAAGAAGCACATTGTTCCTAGCCGCCTGCGAAAAGAGAAGAATAATCTTATTGGATCACAAACGACCGTGTTTCCCTTCTAAATATATAAACTCTAAAGTGTCAGCAAGCTTACGAGCAAAACAAGATACTGAAAGGAAATGAAAAGGAAAAAAAAGACTAAAGGATCACATAATGCTTCCTAATAAGCAACCACGCAGAACAAACTAAAGGAGGGACCAACTTCCATTTGTTACGATATCATGAACAGACATAAACGTTATGAAAACAAGAGCTTAGAAAAAGCAACAACTGTAATGTCAGTGGAAAGGCAACCTGCACGAATGTTGAAATTGAGAGAAGAGGCTTCTCCCCAACTTTCTGATTCCTAGCCTGCAGAATTAAAGAAAACGTCAATAAGAACAAAAACAAATTAAGCCCATTACAAATAAAAGAATCATAACTACTTCACAAAATACCCATAGTATAATCTAGAAAGCGAGCGTTATTACCAACTATCATTCATCTCTTTCCCTCCACACCAGATGTCTCTTTCATACAATATTTACCCCCAAATTTTACCCTAAATTTTAAATTTTAAAAAAAAAAAAAAAAAAAAAAAAAAAAAAATATGCAAGTTTATCCTTTTGGCATAATTAATTTCACTATCTTCAATACGAGGGAGCTCCTAAGTTCTCAACCATGCATAAAAAGGGCGCTAAACCAAGTAACTGCACCTCACATGGCATTAAGGTATTTTCTAGCCTCATCTCAGAACCTAAGCACACCATACAGGAGTTGATGCCTTTGACAGCACAGTATAAAATTTTGAGTAAACTTCATATTGGACCTTAATCCAGTTTGAACCAAAACCCAGAGAAGATGCTGGAACTTAACAGCACTGGGGAATAACTGTAACTTAATCTGAAATCTTCTTTCTCTTGGAGAATTAGATTTTACTAATAAAACACCTCATATTTGTTTTTAATAAAAGTGGAAATCAAAAGGCATGAATATTGTCGTGCATATTTGAGTAAGGGAGAGGAAAAAGATGTTGACAATACCTGCAACAGTAGCATGACAACAGCAAATAGAACCTTTGCAGCCTCTGTCAAAAAGTTTACACTAATTGGGCTAAATTCGAATTTTCCATCGACCTTGGACATATAAACCAGAATAGGCTGGTAGAGAAAGTAAAAAAATAGCCATGTCAGGTGAAAAAGAAATTGGGATGAAGAACTGCAAAAAAATTTATAGCATCGACTTGCAGCTTACTTCATAAATCCTTATCAAGATCGCACAAAGTAAAAAGAAATATTCAAAAGGACTTTTTGAAACAGTTGTTAGTGCTATTGCTTCTACAATATGATCAATCAACTTGATTCCAATCTTTATATGCTTTCTAACATGTTTGATATTTAAACTATCTTCATAGCCCAAAACAAAGAAATGAAATTGATAAGTTAAATCAGATCAAATTCAACAAAAGTTACAGGAGTTTCTGAGGGCAGGAATGGTAAAGATAATGGAAGTAACAACAGTAGTAACAGATACCGCATTTGCAACAGTATAACAACAATGATGACATTGGTAGTGACCTTGGTAGTTGAGAAAACATGCTCAACCTTGTTAAATCATGCAGAAAATATTGGAAAACTGAATTATCAAATACATGTTTAAAATTCCAGATTTCAAATATAATAAACTTCACTACTTTAATTTTAATACTTTGTCTTGTAATAAAAAATTTGATTACTATGAAAGATAAGGAAAAAGTCCATATATGAAAGCAAACCTGTAAAACCGACTAGCATACAATCACCAACGACCAAGAGGACATTGAGAACACGTTGCTTGGACGATAACCTGCTCTTGTGGCGGTCATATGCCCTCGAGAAAGCTTTAGTATTCGGGGAAACCAACTTGAATGGCATACACTGCATTCTATCATCCCGTTCTTCATCAATTTGTCCCGCCGTCACACTCGACAGAACAATCAAAATCTACAGAAATAAAATAATAAAATAATCCACAATTTATAACTACATCCAATAATTACATGCCCTCTTAAAAACTAATAAACATTCTTGGTGAATTATTAGTATGCCTAATCTAAACACAATCATTGAGAACGAATTATACGTGACAACATTAAACTCTCAAAATGCACACTTCAGACCATCCAAATAGATTCGCCTTCGAATCCCCAAGAAGACCATATTATTAAACCATCTTTATATATTCCCAATTTCTTTTCTTTTTCCTATGCCACTTTCTTAGCAACCAAATAGAAGGCAAATGGGAGCTCAATTCGATCAAATACCTCAGCAAACTCATCTACCAGTCGAAAATCAGTATAACTGAAGCAGATCTTGCCTTTAGAACAACCAAAATCATATAAAAACTTCAAAAACCAGCTAAGATCCTCGTAAAAACCCTAAAAGAAATCAAATTCAACTAAAGATAATACAAACGCAGACAGGGCTCAGATCTTGTCAATTCAAAATTTGAGCTGAAAAATATATATATAATAAAATGAGGTTTAACTAACCGAATTACAGATACGACGGGACCTAAATTGCCTCCGAACAAAGCATTGATCTGAGGCTTCAATTGGCTTCGCCTGCCAGATCCACACTCACCGGAGCTCAATCAATTCCACCTCTCTCTCTCTCTCTCTCTACAAAACTGATTGATTGAAGCACAAACACGGAAACGGAGAAGGAAAACTTGGGAATTTAAGAAGCCGAGAATGCGAGGATTCGAATTCTAAATCCTCGTTTTTCTGCTTTGATGAGAATTCGAGTTCCCAAAGATGCGAGGAATATGCAGAGAGATAAATTTTGTGGGCATGTTTAACGAAAGAGCTTCTTAACTCTCTCTCGTCTGGAAATATTTTTATTTAATTATTATTCTTTTCTTTTCTTTTCTGTTTTTTTTTGCTTTGAGTTTACACAACACGGTCTTTGTGCGCTGGCCTGTCACCGATTGGAGCATGCAAACAGTGACAGACCAATGAGGTTTCAGATTTGGGTAGAAAAATGGAAAGTCAACGTCGGTGACGAACTGGATTGTTAGGTTGTTCACTGCTTTTAATTTTTTTTTTGTTTTTTTTTTGGTTGTGTGTTTTTCGGGTTAGATGTTTCTTTCGCTTGAATTTGTTGTACTTTTAAAGTAAGCTTTGTTTGGCATCATCATGTGAAAAAGAAAAATAAAAATTGGAACTTTTGAGTTTTGATTTGAATCTTGATTGAAGTCAAAGCAGCAAGTGCTACGTGTACTTACGAGTGAAAAGTTGAAAGGTATGTGAACTTGACGCTTGGTAAGTAAAGCCAATTCAATTTCTACTACTTTAGGGTATGGTTTATATGAAGCATCAATCCATATCACGTATTATCCAAACGAGAAGGGTTTTTGTTTTTTGTTTTTTTGGTCTGAAAACGAGAAGGGTTTAGCAATTCTTTAAGAATTCCAGTTTTATTCTTGCAACTTTTTCACTTGATATTCGAGCTTTAATCCCAAATCTAGGTCTTTGATTGCACTTCAAAGTTCAAATTTCGAATTTAAATTACCCGGAACTTAGAAGTTATGGCTACTCACTCATTTTTAGTGTAGTCGTGTTATAGTTATTTTTTTATGTTCAAATGCATTTTGTCAATATAGTTTATATTTAATTTTATTGTCATACACCAATGAGCTCTTGGTTTTAAATCATTTTATCCAAATGGACCCTAGGTTCACTTTGGATAAAGAGATTTTAAAAAGTTTATTTTTGTTCTCTATAAATAAATAAAAAAGAGAAAGTAAAGTTTGTTTGTGTTTTAACAACCACCTTAAATTGGTTAGAAAAACTAACCACCAAATAGAACATAATTGAATGATTAGATACATTGTAATATTGAATCTATTTCGAGGAATGATTTCATATTAGGAATATAGTTAAAATTATACAATTGAATTTTTTTTACTAGATTATTAACAATACCAAATACTTACGTGTATTGAGAAAGGAACATACACATAGGTTTCAAATTATTCATTGTATCTAGTCATTATAAATTCAAAAGCTTACCTGTATTAGGGTTTTAAAATCTAAAATGGATTCGGATCCTCTATTGGATTCTCTCTACCATGATTATTCCTACTTTTCAATTAGGGTTTTTTTTCTTTCTTTTTTAATTATGAGAAAATTGGATTTTGTTCCAAAGATGATGTGTCAACTTAAAGACCCTTGAATTAAATTTTAATGAGATGATATATGCAGGAAAGAAGTCAAGCAGATCATGACAGAGAAAATCCAAACAGAGAATCCGGATTCATTTCGGGTAATGTGTATCTAGTTAACTAATTTATTGTAATTCCTATAAAAGAAAAACTAATATACTTTTTTCAGTCAAAATTCAAATCATTACATTCCAATCAGTCGATTTTGTTTTACATTACTTGGCTCGCTAAATAATTTGAATTTTATGATTTTGTCCTATTCTTCCCTTACAAATACAAATTTTTTTGTACTTCTAACCTTATTTTTAAGCAATGTAATAATAAACATTAACCTAAATAAAATAGTTTGTACAAATCATGTACAACAGATTAACACAACAATAACACACAGCAAAGGATATAGGTCCAGCCTAAGTCGGGTATATAGGTTGAGTTACTTATGACTTCATCTTTCTTTCTTTCTTTCTTTTATCATAGAGTTACTTATAACTTTAAGGTTTATTTTATTTTATTTTAGTAGAAGCGATTGGGAAGGGAATTTACACAAATATTTTTTGGATGCCTGAGATTTCGAGCCTCTGCCCACATGCCTTTAGACAATGTTTGGGTACTTTCTTGGATGATTTTTAAGTATGTATCATGTGACTTTCCAATTTTTAATTTTGCGCACTTAAAAAAAAATTCTGATATTGAATCATGAAATATAAATAAATAAATAAATTCCAATTTCAATTTAGTCCGATATAGTCTTGTATCAAACAAGTGTTGAATTGCATCATGGGATGGTGTTCATCGACACTAACAAAAACTTCGGTCTCTTGTGAATATGAGTAGGGCTAGCAATGGGTCATGTCGTGTCAGAATAATAAAAGTGTCAAGAATGTTCAACCCAAACCTAATCCATTTAATAAACATGTTGTGTCAGGTTTGAGTCATGTTTAATCGAGGATTCTTAGGCCATGGGATCATGGTGTAAAAGTTTAGAAATTTTTTTAGACGAAAATAACATTGAAAAATTAAACGATAACATTGCATTCCTAATCAACTAATCAAATACAACACCATAATTAGTTAATTAAAATACCCTAATCAATTAATGAAATCACAAGACTGTCAAATATTAAAAAATAGACCTAATCAACTAATCAAAACAAAAAGCCCTAATCAATTAATCAAAACATCCTTAATGAAATTGTAAACAAAAAGAGACAAGAAAAATTAGATATCATGAGGATATTAGAAGTTAGAATGCAAAAATACAGGTAATTCATCAATTTTATACATATTTTATGACAAAACAATATTAGAAAAGACCAAACCAATTATGCATACATATTGACAAAAAAAATCGTAGAAAAATAGAGGCCCGCATGGTATCTTACTTGGATCCAATTAAACTCAAAAACATAATTTAAGTCCAAAATCCAAAAGCCACGTTGGGTACACCCAATTATTTAAAATTCAATATTTAAAAAAAAAAAAAAAAAAAAAAAAAAAAAAAAAAAGAAAGTTAGATTTTAGGGTTTTTTTTTCTCTTTCCTCCCTCTCTCATTTCTTTTGTTAATTTCAATTTGGGAATTAGGATTTCTGATTTTCTAATTTTAATTTTAAGTATGAGTGAAAAGTTGAAAGGTATGTGAACTTGACACTTGGTAAGTAAAGCCAATTCAATTTCTACCACTCTAGGGTATGGTTTATATGAAGCATCAATCTATATCACATTTCTTCCAAACGAGAAAGGTTTAGCAATTCTGTAAGAATGCCAGTTTCATTCTTACAATTCACTTGATATTCGAGCTTTAATCCCAAATTTAAGTCTTCGATTGAACTTTAGAGTTCAAACTTCGTGTTATAGTTATTGTTTTTATGTTCAATGCATTTTGTCATTATAGTTTATATTTAGTTCTATTGTCATACACCAACGAACCTTTGGTTTAATGATATTCTATTCACAATGTTAGAAGAAAAACAAAGTTTGAATTAAAATAAATAAAATTAAGAACTCACTTCTAAATCTCTTGTTTTAAATCCAATTCAATCCTTTATTGGGTTAAAGATGTTACAATCCAATCCAATATGGTCGGGTGTCAAGATCCAATTCAATTCAATGTACATTGGATTGGTTTGAATTGAATTGAATGATCGGTTTGTATGAAAAAATAATCATCACAAAAAAAAAAACTTCATAATCCTTCATTACATATAATACAAAATTCAATCTAATCAAAGATATGACATTAATATTAATTTTTAATATATATATATATAAATTTTTAATTTTTTTGAAATTAAGATTAATATATTAGTGAGAAACAAGATAAAAGTGTAGATATTATTTAATATGAATGTATATTGGATTGGTTCGATTTAGGTAGGATTTTCAATTCTTGATCTGTCATCCAAACTGATCAAATTAGACTTCAATTTTTCTAAACCAATCCAATCCGCCAATGTTGTCAAAATCAATAAAAATTGGATTGGTCTGTTTTAGCGGAATTTTTTTCTTGTACAACCTTGCCAATTGAGATGTACCCCACTAGCAGATGTTTAAGATCTTTAACTTTGCTTATGTTGGGATTTTAGTTTGGAAATTATTTGGGTATTTTCTTGGATGATTTTTACTTATGTATCACGTGACTTACCAATTTTTCATTTTGCATGCTTAAAAAAAATTATTTTTCTGATATTGAATAATGAAATATAAATAAATAAATTCCAATTCCAATTTAGTCCGATCTAGTCTTGTATCAACCAACTGTTGAATTGGAAAATTAAACGATAGCACTTCCATTCCAAATCAACTAACCAAACACAACACCATAATAAATTAACCAAAATACAAAACTCTAATCAATTAATGAAATCACAAAACTATCAAATATTAAAAAATAGACCTAATCAACTAATCAAAACACAAAGCCCTAATCAATTAATCAAAACACAAGCCTGAATGAAATTGTAAACAAAAAGAGAATGGAAAAATTAGATAATAGGAGGATATTAGAAGTTATAACGCCAAAATGCAGGTAATTCATCAATTTTATACAGATTCTATGACAATATTAGGAAACACAAACCAATGATGCAGACAAATTGACAAAAAATCCTAGAGAAATTGAGGACCTGTTTGGTATCCTACTTAAATCAATTTTATAGGGAGTTTCACTAAAACACCCAAAATGGAGGTTGAAATTATAAAAAAACCCAACACCCAAAACACTTTATAAACACACCCAAAACACATCATTACACACACTCAAAACCCATTTATAAACACACCCAAAAAGTTGACTTTGGGGTTGATTTTGAGTGTGTTTCTATGTTTAAATAGTGCTTGGGTTTTTTTATAAATACATGTCTGGGATTGGGTTTATTTATAAATTTGTAAATTTTATAAACTCAAAAACATATTTTAAGTCCAAAGCCCAAATTTTGGTAGGCCCATTTTTAAAATCCAAACCCAAAAAAAACTAAAAAATTCCCCATTATTGAAAACAAAAAGAAGAAGATTTCTCTCTCTCTCTCTCTCTCTCTCTCTCTCTCTCTCTCTCTCTTTTGTGTTTTTTTTTTTTTTTTTAGATCTTGAAAATATTTTGGAGTTCAATACCAAATTTTTTTTAGATATTAAAATCAGTATTTAAAAACTCATGTGTTAGAAAAATCATGATTTTTGAGTTCATTTTTTTTAGTAGGATACCAAACGGGCCCTGAAAGATCCAACAACAATATTAATTTTTGAAACCAAATGATGCAAACAGATTTACAAAAATCCTTACGAAACTATAAACCCGGGCAATAAGATTCAATTTTGGTATCAAATGACAAATTGAAATTTAAAACTTGAACAAGAACAAATCCCCAAACCAAATGACAAAGCTACAATGACCATAAACTTCCTAAAGAACAAAGCCCCAATAAAACATGCTGTATATAATTCACCAAATTTATTTTTTTAGCTATAAGAATGCAAAAACTGCAACCAATTCCTCAAATTTAAACCCATTTTACAACTTGGAGGGGTTGATATCAAGTGGGTGGGTTTTGGGTGGCTAAGGGGTTTTTATTTTATAAATGTCTAGCCCAAAAAGCATTGTTTTGGCCATGGCATTTTATAAAAAAAATTCCTAGGCCAAACGACGTCATTTTCCCCATGCAGTTTTTTTCTCTATAGGGTCATTTCTTCTCTCTCTCTCTCTCTCTCTCTCTCTCTCTCTCTTGTTAATTTCAATTTGGGAAATAGGGTTTTTCATTTTCTTATTTTTATTTTATTTTATTTTAGATATTGAAAATATTTTGGAGCTCAATACCAAAAAAGTTTTTAGATCTTAAAATAATTTATTTAATAACTCATGTTTTAAAACAAAAATCATGATTTTTTAGTAGGATAACAAACGGGTCGTGAGACACCCAACGACAAGATTAATTTTTGAAACCATATAATGTAGATAGATTGACAAAAATCCTCACAAAACTGATAAACCCAAGCAATAAGATTCAATTTTGGTACGAAATGATAAATTTAAATTTAAAACTTGAAAAAAACAGATCCCCAAACCAAATGACAAAGCTAAAACCACCATAAACTCATAAAGAATAAAGCCCCAATAAAACATGCTCTAGATAATTCACCAAATTTATTGTTTTAGCTATAAGAATGCAAAAACCGCAACCAATTCCTCAAATTTAAACCCATTTTACAACTTGGGGTTTTGGAGGGGGTGATATCTAGTGGGTGGGTTTTGGGGCGCTAAAGGGCTTTTTTTAAAAATGCCTAGCCCAAAAAGGCGTCGTTTTGGCCATGCCATTTTATAAAAAAATTTCTAGGCCAAATGACGTCATTTTTCCCATGTAGTTTTCTTCTCTACAAGGTCGTTTCCAAGGCTGTCGAGGGCAAAACCAAGGCCTCCAAGTTTCATGGCTTCCATGGGGTCTGTTGACCCCATTGACCCATGGTGGCTATGCTATAGTTGATTTCTTATCAAATTTGAACAAAAAAGGAATTTTTATCATAATCAAATAAAATTGTTTTCTAAAGCCTTGCAATAAATTGACTTGAATTGATGACATGCCTCTAGTTTCTATTCTCCCATATGTGTGATAGCTAGCAACTTATAACTTATTTATTTTTTTTGGGTCAGTAAGTGGTAGCAACTAGTAAATAGCAAGCTAAAAAGGTAGAAAAATAAAGTTTATTATGTTTTTTTTTCCCCAGAATCACTTACATAATTGGGTATTGGGTAAAAAAAAAATAAATAAAAAAAACTTGCATGACCCATACAAGAATCACTTGCATAAATTGAGTATTGGGTAATAATTGAAAACAAATAAAAAGACAGAATAAAAAAAGCAACAATGACTCACATATTAAATTCACAAGGTCATCAAAAATATTTAAAAATAAGAAAAATATTTATAAAAAAAGAAAAGAAAAATGAAGAAAATGACAAAAGAAACAAAGAAACAGGTTATGAGTATTACACGGGTTGACACGACACGTTTAATAAACGGGTTACATATGTATTTTAGTGAGTTGACGGGTTAATCCCGAAACGGGTCATACAAGTTGACCAAAAATTTTAATAATACGAATTTCGAATGTATCGAGTTGTATCGGAAATTGCCACCTCTAGTTAAAAGACATGACGAACCTTAATCTTTCTCAGATGCTTATAATAATGAGGCAATGCTATCGTACGCATTATTCCATATTGTCTGTTTCTAATTGATCACCTGTTTGAGTTGAAGTTGCTTGTGGAAAAATATTTGGCTCATAAACCCATTTGGAAGAAAACTTACATTATTTGACGAATAATGTTCGTCAAACCAAACTTACATTATTTGACGTTAAAATATTCGGCAAACAAAACTTACATTATTTGACGAATAATGTTCTCCCACTCGCATGTTTAACGTCTTTATGGAATGCCTGAAGAAGAAATCAGAGTTGCCATCAGTGAACAACTACGTGCAACATTATCATACCTTTCCATGTACATAGACCACATGTTACACAATTTCATATACCCCAAAAGAATATAAATAATAAAAATAAAAAGAGAGGATACATTCGTTACTGAAAAAGAAGAGAAGGTTTACAAAATTTTGTTATGTTAAGCTCATGGTTCCTCTATATCAAGGGTTTCTTGCTCTTGATCAGTAAGATGTCTATTATTCTGATCAGAATTTGCCCAAAAAAAACATATTTGATGAGTTTATACAGTTTAACGGCTTCATCTAATTTCTAATTTGTATGACGTATAGTGTTTTGTGTTCTACGGAAACACAACTAAATATACGGGTTGCTCTAACATATATATACAACATGTCAGACAGTCTAATAAAAGAATACTAACCATGACAATAATATAAACTCTCGTTAGAAATTTGTAAAAAATAAATGATCTACCATAAAAGAAACAGAAATTAGCCAGGCAAATAAAGATCCTTAAAAATCAAAACATTACATTGCAAAATGCCTCAATATATTTTCTTCTATCAAAATCACATTTGGCAAAAGTTCAGTGTTTTCTCTTGTGCAACTTTTTTGATGTGCATTCTAATAAAAAATATTTTCTCCTGTGCTTTCAATTGGGCAACCTTTCATTAAAGTTCCTATCTGACTGAAACCACGAGCCCTCCCTTTGAACTAAATCTGTGGCAATAGTGACCAGTTAGAATACTTCTTTATCCCTTCCAGGACTTCATTGTCTGTAAGAAGATCGAAACTTCCAAATTCAACCTTATGTTTCTTCAAAATTTTAAGAGTCATTTTGCTAAATCTACATTTGGGCTCCTCAGGGGTTCCTTTCATGAAAAGCATGACTCGATTAGAGTCAATCAGCTTCTGTAGTCGCCTTTTCAAGGCATCATCTCAAGGCCATTTTGAGCTTGAATTTGCTCCTCAGAAGATTCAGTTTCTTTCACTAACTCTTGGACTGTGACAAGGCTGGCAGGAGCAACAGGTCCTCCAACCTTAACCGACCCAACAACCCTAGCAACTTTAGTGGCCAAAATAGGTGGATCTACACCTTCTGATGTATCAACGACCTTTCCATCCTGACAAAAGAAAAACACAAACAAAAAATGACCAAGAGAAAAACAAGATACAGAACAATCGCAGAACCAACAACAAAAGTTTATCAGCAACAAAATTCTTTTTTCCAATCATCACTCAACTCATACTTGCATGCATTTCCAGTTATCCAATTAAAGTAAGCGTTATATTGCATGGGACATTCTAAGTTTCTAGTTCGTCTTCCAAATTGTTGATTAGTGATCATAAATCCTGTGACCAAAAACGCAACCAGTTCAGCAGGTTTTTGATTATAAAAAAAAAACACACACCACCCCAACTCAACATTTGCAGTATATAAAAAAAAAAAAAAAAAAAAAAAAAAAAAAAAAAAAAAAAAAACAAATCTAAAATCTACTCTCGGATCTAGTAATCACTTTTGGGGGTGGATAGTCGTTTGGATTGATAAAGGTTTCACTACCACAATATTGAGCAATAATCACTATTATTGTAACCCATTCACTAACTAATTGATGGTTTGATAAGTTAATAATAAAAACAAGGGATGGGTGGTTCACATCTCTCTTCGGCGTCGGCCCCACTACCTCTCTCTCTACGGTACCCTTTCTCCCGATCCTCTCACATTCCTTAAAACACTTCAAGTGACGTAGTGTGCAATTATGCAAGGCGTTAAATTCTTCATTACCTTCATCTTTTTGTTTCTCTCAATCTGTGTTTTTCTCTTACAAGTTCAATTTTTGTGTGACTGATTTCAGAGATTCCAGTTCTCCAACTCTCAAATTGCATCTATGATCCTGTTTTCTACACCATTTTAAAAACCCACAAATCTTCTGTGGGTTTTCAGACTGATCTGAGCAGCAGAGTCGCCATTGAAGTTCAGAGAACTTCATTTGTGTATTCGGATCAGATGAGGAGCAGTGTACTGGACGCCATACTAGTGTTTATATAATGAATGGCTTGTTGGATGAAGATGCTTATAAAGTTGGTTTTGCCTAAATTCTCTTCGTAATTACTCTTTTGATTGATTCTATTATTGCACACTACCCCAATATTGCAATTACAAATTATAAACCCCACTCTCACATCTTGAGTTTGGTATTATAACCCGAGGATTTGTTACATACTTCTAATTTTGGGCGTTGAATTGCATTCATTAGATGTGTTGTTTGTTTTGTAGATACAATCCAACGCCCGAGATTCGAAGTATGTAGCAAATTCTTAACTTAAATACTTACTGGAGACAAGAAGACTTTATTCACAGGTCTTGGAGCGGTCATTCGTGATGAGCATGGTGCTTTTATTAGGGGAGCGGGAAAGTTTAGACTAGCCTCTTCTCCTATTGAAGCTGAAGCTTTTGCAGCTTTACATGGTCTGGAGGTCGCCTCAGATTTGGGTTGTATCCACCTTGAGTGTGAGTCTGATTCAAAGGAGCTGGTTCAAAGTGTTAGTGGCTTTTTTCAAAAAGCACTACTACAAAAAGTGAAAAAGACGACCAGAAAAACACGACGGTCTAAGTGAAAACCGTCGTTGTTTTTTAAAAGACGACGGTTTTATAAAACCGCCGTGTAATAACACATTAGACAACTAAAAAATGGAGTTTCAAATGGCTGTTCCAAAAACACGACGTACTTAATTAAAAAACCGACGTCTTATTGAAATAGAATTTTCAAGAGGTAAAATCATAGCCAACAAATAACGGCGGAAGTTATGAACCGACCGACGTAGAAAGTAAGACGACGGTTTCACAAAAAGCCGTCGTTTTTACCCAGAAATTAACACGACCAAGTTTTCGTATAAGGCGACGTATAATTACAAATAAATCCACGGCGGTAAAATACAAAATACCGCCGTATTAAATTAATGTACAACTACGGCAAAGGTAAATATAACGACGTCTTTCTCGTATTTCTACGACGACATCTTTAAATCTTACCAAGTTGGGGTTTTCATATAACGACGTATTATAGAATTTAACGTCGTATTTGTCCACTTTATACGTCATAAATTATATTTAAACCGTCGTCTGAATAAGAATTTTTTTAACAATTTATTTCTTCGATTTTGTTATCCTACGTCGGTAGATCTACCTAACGACAAGAATTGAAATAACCACGACGGTTTATATAGAAAACCGCCGACATAATCAGATTATTCTGAGATCACAAGGGTTAGGAAATCTTACAAGATGGAACTCTGTTGCTCATCATAATCTTACCAGAAAGACAATATTTTAGAGGTTAATGATGTATGTGTATTTGTGTCTTTGAGATACACAAACGCACATACACATTAACATCCAAAAAATTGCTTCTGAAATTTGACGACGGCAGCCTCAGATTTGCAATCAGAGAGACAATTTTTTGGAAGTTGATGATATGTGTGCGTTTGTGTATCTACACAAACGCACGCACACATCAACATCCAAACAATTGCCTCCTAAAATTTCATGACGGCAGCCACAGATTTGCAATCAGAGAGACAATTTTTTGGAAGTGGGTGATTTGCAATCAGATTTGCAATCAGCCACAGATAACCAACATTCAAACAATTGCCTCCCAAGAGATGAGGTGAGACAGAGAAAGGGGCAAGAAGAAGTTGAAACCCTAATCGAATACTAAAACTGAAAGAACCCGTGGAAAAAAAACCCTATTTATAATTAAAAAACCAAATCCACGTCGGTTATATTACACATAACGACGTTTAACAAAAACAATCCTCGTCGGTAACAAATACATTACGTCGTTTTATTCTTACTTAAGACGACAAGAAACGACGACGGTATAACAAAAACAGTCGTTGTTTTATATTTTTATTTGATTTAAATCAGTCACCTAGAAAAGAAACTTTACAAATTCTAGAACATTAATTTCCTCGGGAAAAAAAACTATATCTATAAGGCACTGTTTTTGAAAAATAAACTATAAGAAAAAGGGGAAAAAAATTATATTTATAATAAAAAAAATAAAATCCACGTCGGTTATATTACACATAACGACGTTTAAAAACGAATCCACGTCGTGGAAAAAATAATACGTCGTTTTAGTTTAGTGTTATCCACGTCGGTATATTACAATAAAACGACGTATATTATAAAAATAAACGTCGTAAATTTAAAACAACCGTCGTGTTAAATATTTCTACCATGACGCGAGATATTGAGTTATCGACTTTTATTTAGGAGTTTACTACGGCGGTACCTACAACACCACTGTCGTATTTATGTACCACGTCATAAGTTCAAATTAGCGTCGTAGTTTGTCTATTAATACGTCGTCGTTCTATGTAAACCGCCGTCTTATTACTATGAAACGGTTTGTATACATATACAACTTTTCGTCTACCTGACTTACACATGCACTGTTTCCAAACCCGAGAAAACATTTCAATCTCCCAGAGAAAACTTTTCGTCTTTTTTCCTTGTCAGAGCACTGTCAGAGTATCTCATCGTCTTCCTCTTGTCTTCGTCGTCGCCTCTGAACTTAAACACCAAAATCCGAGAGAAAGCTTTCATTGCACGCAAAAGGTAAGCTTTCATTTCTCACTATTTTTGTTGCTATTTTGCATGCTCATACTGTTTTTGTTTTGAAAATCTTTTTACCTTTTTTCTGGCGAAAATCATTTTTATTCTTTCCAAGTTTGATAAAATACACAGACAGAGAGGGAAAGTTTCAACTTTGAACATAACTAATTCAACTAAATAAGACGACGGTAGCTTTTTATTTACGTGGTTAAATATGTAGACCACGATGGTTCGTCAGTCGTCCTAGCGTCGTCTTAAAATTGATCTAAGTTGTTTTTAAAATGACGGTCAATTTTTTATTTGCTTGTTTAGTTGCAGGTTCGATTTCTTTGAACCATGGTTTTCGTTTTTCCTAATTTGATAAAATATAGAGACAAAGAAAGTAGGGTTTGGTATCTTATATAGACGACGGTATCTTATTATTGACGCCGTGTGAATGTTCATACCACGATGTTATACTAAGATACCGTCGTCTATAAAAAGATGCCAAAGCTTTTTTTCTTTGTATTTTATCAAATTAGGAAAAACAAAAACCATGTTTCAGAGAAATTAAACCTGCAATCAAACATTCACAAAGAAAGAAAAATGTTTTTGGTTTCTTATAAATACGACGGTAGCTTATTATTCACGTCGTGTGAATATCCATAACACGACGTTATATTAATATTTACGTCGTGTTAATATGAATATCACGACGTCGTGTAAATATCGCCGTAATAAGTTCTTATTACGTCTTATTTAATATTGTTTCGTCGTTGTTTAAACATTTATATTGTTCTTCTTTAAACATTTATTACGTCTGATGTTATGTTATTACGTCGTGTAAAATCTTATCATACGTCGTAGTTTATAAATAACCGTCGTTTGTGTTCTAATTTTTTTCACGAAATATTTTCACTTGCAGGTTTGTTTATTCTGTAACCATGGTTTCTCAAGACCAAAGTAAGTACTCTGGCTCCAAAAAAAATGGAGGTAAGGAGCTTGGAATGGTAACTCCTCAAGACAAGCCCTTGAAGAAGATGAAGTTTGTTTCATCTGCTGAGAAAGAACCAAGCAGCACGACAACAATTTCTGAGGATTCAAAGTCAGGTCGAGGTATGAGCACAATGCCTCGTGTTGTGAAGAGAAAATTGCAGAAAATCAAGCCAGTTGTTGAGTACAATAAAAGGGGGAAAGGATGTGGCCCTGCACATACTGAGATGCAGTCCTACATTGGTGTGTTGGCACGCTCCAGAGTCCCACTTGTGGACAAGAAATGGGCTGAAATCCCCAATGATATAAAGGAGCAGATTTGGGAAGCCGTTGACATGGCTTTTGTGGTAGGTCAAGGGGGCAAAACCTCGGTGTTATCTTCTGCTGCCAAGAAATGGAAGGATTTCAAGTCTACACTGACGAGGCATTATATCCTTCCATACATCAAGGAGAGGGAGAAATTAAGCCAACCCCCTGAAGTATATAAATTCATAGAGAAAGCAGAATGGGATGCCTTTGTAGCTTCAAGGTTATCCAAAGAATTTGAGTCTGTGCATTCTCAACATGCACAGATTAGGGAGAAACTTGAGTACAATCATCGATTGTCTCGAAAAGGATATGCTGGTTTGGAGGATCAATTGGAGGAAACCATGCCTGGGGTAGAAATTGATCGATCTACCTTATGGAAGAAAGCTAGACAGGACAAACATGGTAACATCCCGGATCCAAAGGTGGCAGAGAAAGCAAAATTAATTGTAAGCCTACACACTCTGTTTTAAATTTTTATTAAACTGGGTAGAATTCTTATTACGTCTTATGTTATATTTTTCCGTCGTGTGAATGATTTTACTACGTCGAAATATTTTAAAAAACGTCGTGAAAGATCTAAATCTGGAATCACAACTCTGTTTTCTGTAATTATAGCATAAGACGTCGGTGGTTAATTTTTTCCGTCGTGTTAATGTTATTACTACGTCGAAATGTTTTCAAAAACGTCGTGAAAGATCTAAATCTGGAATCACAACTCTGTTTTCTGTAATTACAGCATAAGACGTCGGTGGTTTATTTATTGCGTCGTTTTAAACAACTAACCACGTCGGTTTTAATTAACGTCGTTATAAATATATTATAACGTCGATTTCTATATTGGTGCGTCGTGTGAAATTATATATGCGTCGTTTGTTTATAAATAACCGTCGTGTATTTTCTTGTGCTGACTTTTTTTTATGTCTTTGTTTTAGGATGAATTGCAAAAACAAGTGGCTGAAGGCAGTCTGAGTATAACTGGCAGTAATGAGATGTTGACCTTGGCTTTGGGTCCCGAGCATCCAGGGAGAGTAAGAGGGGTAGGTGCTGGGATTTCCCCTAGGCAATTCTTCAATTTACCTAGACCACAAAGGGTAAAGTTTGCTGATCAATTGAAGGAAAGTGTAAGAATTGTCCTTCAAGAAGAGACTAAGAAGATGGAAGCTAGAACCAAACAATTAGTAGAGGCTGAGAGGGAACATTTACTAAGTCAGCTTTCCCACCTCATCCCCAATTTTGATCCAAGCATGCTTAAACCGAAAACTAGCCCCTGTCAAAACCAAGGTCTACAGCAAAGTCCCAAGAATCCAATGTCTGATAAAGCAAGCTGTTCTGGGGCTGAAGTGAGATCCCTACATTTAGAGGATGATACTGCCAGAAATGGGGAACAGCAGGAACAAACGGTAACATATCTGAACTTTGAATTCTCTGTTTTTTTTTAAACATTAGACGTCGTTATTATGAATAAACCCGTCGTTTTAAAACCATACCACGACGATTTTATAAATAACCCGTCGTGTTTATTTAAATACCACGTCGTATTTAGTTTACTTGTTTTACACGCCATTAGACGTCGTACTTTGTGGCTTTTAGACGACGGTTTTTGTCCTTAACGACGTAATATAAAATTACCACGACGTTTATTATTTACCATCGTTTAATAATTTTAAGACGTCCATAATTCTTACATACCGTCTTATGTTATGCCTTACCACGACGTTTTGGTTTAATTTTTTTACTCTCTGTACAATCTGTCTTATATATATATTTCTTTATTATTTAAAACAGAAATCTGGGGCTTTAGATAATCAAGATGAAGAGAAGAAAGAAGAAAATAAAGATGAACAGAAGATGGGAGAAAAAAAAGATGAAGGGAAGAAGGAAGAAAAAAAAGAGAATAAAGATGAAGGCAAAGAGGAAGACACAAATGTTGAAGAGAAGAAAGAAGAAAAACAAGATGAAGAAAAGCATGACGAGGAGGTATATTCTCATAACTTTGCCTTTTTAATTTGTTTTTCACATTTCAGACGTCGATATTTTTCTTTAAACCGTCGTTTGTTTTCACATTAGACGTCGGAATTTATTTTCTACGACGTAATAAATAATCTAAAACGACGGTATTTAATTACCGTCGTTTAATTTAAACCGTCGTTTTTAATGAATTACCACGTCATTTTATTTTGCTTTATTTCTTTAAACAGGGTAATGAAGTAGTTGATTATTCAAATGTGGAGGTGCCATCTTCCTTACAATCCCTTTGTGGTTATGTGGAAACTACACTAAAGCCACAGGGGAAGATCATGACCTTCAACATTGAGAAGGAGGTGTTTGGTGCAGATCGAGGTACCTTCGTCTTGCATGAAGATATTACACAGTTTGCAGGCATGGAAGAAATTGGGGCTACTGTGGTTGCAGTATATATGAGGTTTGTCCTAATCAAATATCAAACATTATATCATAAGACGTCGGTTGTTTAATTATTGCGTTGTTTTAAACCACTAACCACGTCGTTCTTTTTTACCGTCGTGATAAATTAGTTATCACGTCTGTTTCTATTTCAGTTCGTCGTGTGAAATTGTATAATACGTCGTTTGTGTATAAATAACCGTCGTTTGTTTTATATATTTAGGTGCTTATATGATCTTTTGAGAGAAGCAAATATGTGCAGCATGGTTGGCTTTATCGACCCTGCTCAAGTTAGTGCCAACGCTGGGTCACTAACTGACAGATCACGAATTGTAGCCAGTCGACTTCAGAAAACAGATGGTGAACAGATTTTCATGATGCCTTACAATCCAGGGTTAGTCTCCTTAAAAGGATTTTGTTTGTATGATTTTCACTAACTGAACACTTATAAAACTGTTTAACTAATTCTGTGTCGTTTGAAACATCTAACCACGTCGGTTATTTATTTATTGAGTCGTTTGAAACAACTAACCACGTCGGTAGTTAATTACCGTCGTGATAAATTTATAATGACGTCGATGATTAAGTTATTACGTCGTGTGAAACTATATAATACGTCGGTTTTTATAAATAAACGTCGTTTGTTTTCTGGTGCTGACTTTTTATATTAACCGTCGTTTTTTATTTTATTTTTGTGCAGCCGTCATTGGGTCTTGCTGATTGTGAGGGCAAAGAGGGAAACCGTCTATTTTCTGGATCCTCTGCCTGGAAATTGTGTGGTTGATGAGGAGGGCAAAAACATCGTGAACAGTGCTTTAAAAATTTATAATTCCCACATAGGCAGACCAGGCCGTAAAGCACCAATTTGGAAAACTCTGCCAGGCACACCAAAGCAACCCAGCAGTGTCGAATGCGGGTATTATGTCATGCGCTTCATGAGGGACATCATCATGGATCCTTCCTTGGAGTTTGAGAAGAAGGTAAGAATAAAATTTTCAGAAACATTTTATGTGGTTTTTTGTATTATCAACGACGGTCATTTAAAATTACCGTCGTTGAATCGATAGACTACGTCGGTTATGAAAAAAAACGTCGTCTGTGTCTGAATTTCTTTTTATTTTGTAAAGCTTAATAATCATTGTTTATGGATTGCAGTTTGCCAAGGGAAAAGATCAAGCGCCATACCCCCAAGCAGCCATTGATGAAGTCAGGAAAGAATGGGCAGAGTTTGTTTGCCTTCATATGGATTAGAGGATTTTTGGAACACTTGATATTTTTATATGTACTAATTTTGTCTATAATATATAATGTACAAATTTTGTCTATAATATACATCCTTTTTTTCCCTGAAAATTTGCTGAGGTTTTCATATTATAAAAGAAAAAACAAATTGCGTAACCGACGTGTAATAACTTTCCAACGACATAATTATGTAAAAAACCGACGTAAAATGATATTTAGACGTGATGGGACGTACATGGGACGTCGTTTTGATGAAAATTTCGCCATGGTTTCGTTTTTAAACGACGTCCTTTTGAACAAGTAAGTCGTTCATTAGGGTTTAGGTTAATACCTTTTAACGACGGTGATTAGGTCGTGGAATATCTATTTTACGTCAGATGGTGAAACATCCGCCATGGTTTCTCTTTTAAACGACGTCCTTTTTACATGTGAGTCGTTTATTATTATTTACAACGTCGTGGTTTGTTGTTGATATAAGAATATTTTATTATTTTTAATTCAAAATTTTAAAAATAAATTTAAAATAAATTCAAAAAATTCAACTTCAACTCCTATGAAGTCATTGATATATTTTCTTCCCCCTAAACCCCAAAAAAATGCAGTTTGTGTAATAAAAGTTTAAAATGACCAACCAAAATAAAATTGTTTTTATGAGTCATAGCATCACTTATATAGTTTGATGGTTTAGGGTTGTTATTTATTAGGGTTTATGGTTAAAGTATAATTTTTGGGGTTTATGGTTTATGTTTGTTATTTATTAGGATGTAAAACCATAAACAATTTTATAAAATTAAATTTTACAAATATATAATTTATGGTTTTAAAGTTTAGGGTATTACTTTTAACGACGGTGATTGAGTCGTGGAATATTGAGTTTACGTCGTATGGTGAAAAATCCGACGTGGTTTCTTTTTAAACGACGTTTTGTTTACCTTTTAGTCGTTTATTATTATTTACAACGTCGTTAGTTACTTAACCCCGCCGTGGTTTGTTGTTGATATAAGAATATTTTATTATTTTTAATTCAAAATTTTAAAAATAAATTTAAAATAAATTCAAAAAATTCAACTTCAACTCCTATGAAGTCATTGATATATTTTCTTCCCCCTAAACCCCAAAAAAATGCAGTTTGTGTAATAAAAGTTTAAAATGACCAACCAAAATAAAATTGTTGTTATGTGTCATAGAATCACTTATATAGTTTGATGGTTTAGGGTTTAGGGTTTGGGGTTTAGGGTTGTTATTTATTAGGGTTTATGGTTAAAGTATAATTTTTGGGGTTTAGGGTTTATGCTTGTTATTTATTAGGATGTAAAACCATAAACAATTTTATAAAATTAAATTTTACAAATATATAATTTATGGTTTTAAAGTTTAGGATATTACTTTTAACGACGGTGATTGAGTCGTGGAATATTGAGTTTACGTCGTATGGTGAAAAATCCGACGTGGTTTCTTTTTTAAACGACGTTTGTTTACACGTAAGTCGTTTATTATTATTTACAACGTCGTTAGTTACTTAACCCCGCCGTGGTTTGTTGTTGATATAAGAATATTTTATTATTTTTAATTCAAAATTTTAAAAATAAATTTAAAATAAATTCAAAAAATTCAACTTCAACTCCTATGAAGTCATTGATATATTTTCTTCCCCCTAAACCCCAAAAAAATGCAGTTTGTGTAATAAAAGTTTAAAATGACCAACCAAAATAAATTGTTGTTATGTGTCATAGCATCACTTATATAGTTTGATGGTTTAGGGTTTAGGGTTTGGGGTTTAGGGTTGTTATTTATTAGGGTTTATGGTTAAAGTATAATTTTTGGGGTTTAGGGTTTATGCTTGTTATTTATTAGGATGTAAAACCATAAACAATTTTATAAAATTAAATTTTACAAATATATAATTTATGGTTTTAAAGTTTAGGGTATTACTTTTAACGACGGTGATTGCGTCGTGAAATATTGAGTTTACGTCGTATGGTGAAAAATCCGACGTGGTTTCTTTTTTAAACGACGTTTTGTTTACACGTAAGTCGTTTATTATTATTTACAACGTCGTTAGTTACTTAACCCCGCCGTGGTTTGTTGTTGATATAAGAATATTTTATTATTTTTAATTCAAAATTTTAAAAATAAATTTAAAATAAATTCAAAAAATTCAACTTCAACTCCTATGAAGTCATTGATATATTTTCTTCCCCCTAAACCCCCAAAAAAATGCAGTTTGTGTAATAAAAGTTTAAAATGACCAACCAAAATAAAATTGTTGTTATGTGTCATAGCATCACTTATATAGTTTGATGGTTTGGGGTTTAGGGTTTGGGGTTTAGGGTTGTTATTTATTAGGGTTTATGGTTAAAGTATAATTTTTGGGGTTTAGGATGTATGCTTGTTATTTATTAGGATGTAAAACCATAAACAATTTTATAAAATTAAATTTTACAAATATATAATTTATGGTTTTAAAGTTTAGGGTATTACTTTTAACGACGGTGATTGAGTCGTGGAATATTGAGTTTACGTCGTATGGTGAAAAATCCGACGTGGTTTCTTTTTTAAACGACGTTTTGTTTACACGTAAGTCGTTTATTATTATTTACAACGTCGTTAATTACTTAACCCCGCCGTGGTTTTTCATAGTTTTAACGCCTTTTTTGATTTTGCGTGGCACATAGTTTTACCACGACGTCCTTAATGTAATAAGCGTCATGTTTAATGTTAAATTTTAACGACGCTTGTTTTTTCGGTCGATGTTTTAAAAGCGCGCTTTCTTAAAATATTCGCGGGACCTAAAATTTTCAGATTTGGCTCTTATTTTTATACTTCTAACCCTGAACCCTAAAATTTTCTGATTTCGCGCAACATAACATTTCGCTCTCTCACTTCATCTCTAATTCAAAGTTGGGCCAGGCTGTGTCAAATCCAATTTGGTCATAATCTGTGAGCTCTGCCAACCTGTAAGTACAAACCCTCTCTTCCCCTTGTAAATTCATTGAATGATATATTACGTTGTTTTGTTAAAGGGTTTTAGGTATATGTTTTGCGATCTGTTAATAATGTTGTTGGAGGTATGGGTTCATGGATTGTCTGTTTAATGTTTTCTTGATCACTCTGTTATGTTGAATATGGAATGGATTTCATTTTGTCGGATCTTTTAATCACTCTCTGTTATGTTGAATTGGGAATGGATTTATTGTTTTCATGCTTAGTATATGTTGGTTTCATGTATATGTTGGTTTCTTGCTTGGTTTCATGTCTATAACGTTGTGTTCTTAATAGGGTTTTGGGATCTTGAAAATGAACTGGATATCGACGCGTTTTCAGGCATACGACGACGGTTTTTACTTTAAACCGTCGTTTTTATTACTTATACACGACGGTGTTATTTAACTACCGTCGTGGTTATAATTAGACGACGTAAAATCCGTCGTCTATATATGTCAAAGACGTCTGTTTTTGTTTAAAAACCGTCGTCTCTGTTGTATATTACTTGCTATTAGACTTTATATAATCTGCTATAGTGATGGTCATTGCTGTCTTTTCACTTTATTATATATAATAGGGTATAGTGTCGGAGATGGATAAGTCATGGATGCACTCGGATAGAAGATCGAAGGCATATGAGTTAGGGGTGGAAGCATTTTTGAACTTTTCTGTAGAAAATCTTCTAACTACCACACATATCCGTTGTCCATGTGTTAAATGTGTTAATTTGAAATTGTTTGGGGTTGGAATTATAAGGGATCACTTATACTTTAATGGAGTTGACCAAAGCTATAAGAATTGGACATTTCACGGAGAACCTTGGGAAGCAGCTACTAATGCTAGTAGAAATGTTGAAGAAGATGATGACCATAGTAGGTACAGTTTTGTGTCTGAAGAAATAGAGATGGATGATAATGATTTTGGTGATTTTGGATCTGATCCTTATGAGTTTGCCAATGTGATTGGGGATGGAGATCAACCATTGTACCCTGGTTGTAGAAAGTACACGAAGTTATCGGCATTAGTGAAGTTGTATAATTTGAAGGCAAAATATGGGATGAGTGATGTCTGTTTTACAGAATTATTGATACTTCAAGGCGATTTGCTTCCAGAAGGAAATACAATACCGGCCTCTATGTATGAGGCAAAAAAGACTTTGTGTGCATTGGGGCTGAGTTATGAGAAAATGCACGCATGCCCCAATGATTGCATCTTGTATAGGAAGGAGTATGAGGATTTAACTCATTGTCCTAATTGTGGTATCTCAAGGTGGAAGGAAGGCAAAGATTCAATCTTGAAAGAGGGTGTGCCAGCGAAGGTGGTGTGGTATTTTCCTCCAATTCCAAGGTTTAAAAGGATGTTTCGATCACATGAGACCGCTAAGAGTTTGACTTGGCATGCTGCTAGAAAATCAATTGACGGTTATATGTCTCATCCAGCGGATTCCCCGTCTTGGAAACTTCTTGATGATAAATGGCCCGAGTTTGGTAATGAGCCGAGAAACTTGAGATTGGCTCTTTCATCTGATGGATTCAATCCCCACAGTTCTCTAAGTAGCAGATATAGTTGCTGGCCAGTTATCTTAGTTACATATAATCTCCCTCCATGGCTGTGCATGAAACGAAAGTTCATGATGTTGACCTTATTGATTTCCGGTCCTAAACAGCCGGGAAATGATATAGACGTCTACTTGGAGCCTTTGATTGATGATTTAAAATCTTTGTGGGATGGGATTGGAGGAGTGTATGATGCACATAATGGAGAATACTTTACACTCAGAGCTGCATTAATGTGGACAATTAATGATTTCCCCGCCTATGGAAACTTATCTGGTTGTGTTGTTAAAGGATATAAAGCTTGTCCAATATGCGGCGATGATACACCTAGTCACAGGTTGAAAAATGGCCACAAAATTTGTTACATTGGGCATAGAAAATGGTTACCGATCAATCATCCATATAGGAGGCAACGTGCAGCTTTTAATGGGAAACCTGAATATGGCACGCCTCCTGAGCCATTAACCGGAGAAGAAGTGCTGCATATGGTTGAAGATGGTGACAGAGTTTGTTGGAAGAAGAAATCAATATTCTTTGATCTCGAGTATTGGAAATACCTTCCTGTGAGGCATGTCCTAGATGTTATGCACATTGAGAAGAATGTTTGCGATAGTATCATTGGTACATTGCTGGAGATCCCTGGAAAAAATAAAGATGGGATTGCTGCTCGATTAGATTTATTGAACATGGGGGTCAAAACTGATTTTGCAACCCGAGTATGGAGAAAGACGTACTCGTTTGCCTCCCGGGCCTTGGAATTTGTCAAGAGCAGAGAAGAGAGAGGTTTGCAATTCTTTTCTATGGTATGAAGGTCCCTGAAGGTTATTCTTCAAAATATAAAAAATCTTGTATCTTTACAAGATTCAAGACTTCTTGGCCTTAAATCACTACCATTGCTCCCTGTGGCAAGTTTTGGAGGGTATGTTTGGCTTGCTTTATTGGAAGAAGAGTAGTAGTTACTTTGAGAAGTACTTTCCCCCTTCATTCTTTGATATCATGGTTCATCTAGTAGTACATCTTGTCAGAGAAGTTCGTCTGTGTGGGCCAGTATATTTTAGATGGATGTATCCGTTTGAAAGATATATGAAAGTGCTAAAGGGGTATGTTCAGAATCGTACTCGTCCCGAAGGTTGCATTGCTGAGCGGTATATAGCTGAAGAAGCTGTAGAGTTTTGTACCGAGCATTTATCTGATGTTAGTACAGTTGGAGTGCCTTCAAGCCAAAAGATGGGAGTTTCAAAGCCATTATCAGGTTGCACAGTGAGCGTAGTTGATCGGGACCTGTTGAACCAAGCACATCTATATGTCTTGGAGAATACGGAGGAAGTCCTACCTTATATCGAGTACGTATGAGTTTTATTCTTTAAGTTTCCATTTTAAATTATTTCTTATGTTTATCTTATATGTTTGGGACCGTAATACTTGAATTTTGTGTGTCATGTAGGCAACATATGATCCACATCCAGACCGCTTATCCAAAATTTAGAAAGAGAACAAAGTGGCTGCAGGATAAGCACAATAGCACTTTCATTCAATGGCTACGCTTGAAGGTATATGTTATTGAATAACATATTGGACTTTTAATTTTCTTCTTTCTATGTTAGATTGAATTAAGTTATGATTAATTTGCAGGTTCAAAGTGAACCCTTTTAAAAAAAAAAAAAAAAAAAAAAAAAAAAAAAAAAAAAAAAAAAAAAAAAAAAAAAAAAAAAAAAAAAAAAAAAAAAAAAAAAAAAAAAAAAAAAAAAAAAAAAAAAAAAAAAAAAAAAAAAAAAAAAAAAAAAAAAAAAAAAAAAAAAAAAAAAAAAAAAAAAAAAAAAAAAAAAAAAAAAAAAAAAAAAAAAAAAAAAAAAAAAAAAAAAAAAAAAAAAAAAAAAAAAAAAAAAAAAAAAAAAAAAAAAAAAAAAAAAAAAAAAAAAAAAAAAAAAAAAAAAAAAAAAAAAAAAAAAAAAAAAAAAAAAAAAAAAAAAAAAAAAAAAAAAAAAAAAAAAAAAAAAAAAAAAAAAAAAAAAAAAAAAAAAAAAAAAAAAAAAAAAAAACTGAGGTCTGTAGCTAGCTAGGGCCTCCCCTCCCTACTTAATTACATGTACTATTAATTTGACGAATAAAATAAAAATATATACTATGTTGATGGTCGTCAATATACAATATTAATGCTCTCTCAAGTTCAGCAACAGTGGCATTATTTTACGGATGAAATATGAATTTGGAAATATGGAAGATATATATAACAAATGCATAATATTTATAACGATTTCTCCCCAAGGCACAGGCACAGTAGGCTCTATGAAGCAGAAGAATAAGCCATCAGATTTTTGGAGTATATATGGATAAAAACAAAATAAAAAAACAGAAGCCACGAACCATAAAAATGGAAATGAAGAAGCAGAGTTCGTTCATCAGATTTTCGTGAAAAATGAAGTTTTACGAACATTAATACATATAACAAATCTCTCTTTATCAAAAAATTCGTTTATTATAACCGACCGTATTATGTATTTTCGAACACTAAAATGAACTTTACGGTGATCATCACCATGTTCGAAAAATTCGTTTAGGATATTTATTTCCTATTCTATTTGGATTTTATTTTTTTCTTTTTTGTACAAATTTTATGTAATTAGAATTTTATTTGTTTTCTTGTATAATCTTACTAGGGTTTACACACTTGTATTATAAATACCTCCTTTGGATGAATGGAAATATATCAAAAAAAAATTTTACCCCGTATTGTTTGACTCAACATCGCTCTTGAAGTTTTGAATCCCTTAAATTGTAGAATTTGACATTTTAAAACCATAAATTAATAATACAAATTTATAAATAAACTCAATCTTAGACATGTATTTAAAAAAACCCAAGCACTATTTAAAACATAGAAATACACCCAAAATTAACTTCAAAATCAACAATTGTATATTTTTTGGGTGTGTTTATAAATGGGTTTTGAGTGTGTGTAATGATGGGTTTTGGGTGTGTTTATAAAGTGTTTTGGGTGTTGAGTTTTTTTATAATTTCAGCCCCCATTTTGGGTGTTTTAGTGAAACTCCCAATTAATAATGGAAAATGTTAGGTTTACCACATTTTTCATACCACAATTGTACCATCTCTCTAATAGAGGTGGGCCCCATTGTATGGTGGGCTCCACCTCTATTAGAGAGGTGGTACAATTGTGGTATGAAAAATGTGGTAAGCCTAGCATTACTCATTAATAATAGCAATACCTATTTTCAAGCTTATGTATGCTCCAATAATTAATATCACTAGTATCTTTGCTAACGTTACAGCTAAAAAGAGGGGAAGTTGTTGTCATTTACGCTAAACAAACTGGAAAGCATCAAAGTTGCTTGAGCCCCTTAATTCTCAGTAGGAGTGCAAGTATATATATAATGTGTCAGATCACAGGCAGCTATAGTTTATATTTATAATGAATTTTTATTTTAATACATATCATAACTACATAAAATATTTTTACATAATATTTTTATTGTTAGTGAAATAGTTTTTTCCATTTGAAAAGTTGTAGGTTTTTGAAAAAATAAAATAAAATATACATTCTTCGAGGGCATGCATTCCACTAATCAAATATTTCTTCATTTCGATTCATGATAGTTAGTATATAATTTAATGAGAAGTCATGTTGATTCGATGCATTTCTCACTCTAATTCATGGTTACCTTAAGGTTGAGTAGTATTTCTTTTTCCAACGATAAAGGAATCCAAATTCATAATAATAATGAAAAAATGACCCTAATTAAATAACCAGAGCCTCTATTATCAACAGAGCATCAAATAGAAAGTACATAAGGATTGTCACTAGGTACGTGGTGACACGTGATGTGATGTGAAGGTAGAGGATAAACATAGAGACAACCAAGATTATCACTAGGCACGTGGTGACCTTCAATATAAAAATTTGGCATGTGACCAGCCCGGAATATGCATACAGATCAAAGGAAACTGCGGAAGTTAATATAAAATTGTTCATATTTTAATATTTTTATATAAATATGAACAGTGGACTGGCTAAAAATAAAACAAAGAAGCTGTTTTTTGTTTTTTTTGTTGTTTTTGTTTTTTTTGTTTGTTACAAAACACATGAGCTCTTTGTTTAGAAGCCAACTGGGCATATACTACGTACACTCTGTGAAACATGGCCACTTACAAATGTCTGTGTCCTGCCCCCCTTAGCATTTGGACAAAAGTTGTCCTGCATGTGATCAAAACAAAAATTCAACGTAATCATTAGCTAGATAATTTATAATTGCAAGCACTAATTATAATTTCTTATATAATTTATGTGTGAACTTCTCTTTCAAAGGTGCATGTGCGTGTCCGAAGAAGTCAAATATTTTTTCCACAGGAGTACCTTTTTGTACTACCACCATCTTTCATGATTTATTATTTTTTTTTTTTGTTGTTTGTTGAAATTCTGGAATTGCATACATAATTTAGCTAAAAAAGTCATTAGTCACAAATGACCAATACAAACTTGTCATAAGGGGCAATTACAATAAACAATAGCTAACATCAAAATTAAGACAATCTGATGTGCATCCACTAACAATTACTCATGATCGAAGAAACTCTAGTATAGGCATCCCACTAAGATTCCAAACTCATAATAATAAAAAAGAGATAAGCTTGTAATCTATGAAATTAAGATCCACTTTACAAGTTCTTGGAAGATTATGAATTAGGGTTATTACAAGATTATGAATTATGAAGAACTTTAAACTTGTAATGGTGCAAAATATGATAATGAGAATCCAAAGCTTGTAATCTATGAGATTAAAGATCCACTTTACAAGTTTTTTGGAACTCTTATGTCCAAACCATTGTGTCAATAAAATAAGTAAAGTGCAATTGAAACTATAGGACCCAAGTGGTAAAACCGAGAAATTACAGGACTAGAAATGAATTTTTGCCTTTTTAAAACCTGTTAATGGTCATAGATTAAAAATAATACAAAAAAGATTCAAGGCCATACAATAGTTTTAAATTTAGATTAGTGGTGTGTTACTAATTAGGAATTGGAATTCTCATCTGAATTGAATTCCGTCTATGGAGAATTTTTGTTTACTTCACATCAAGGAATTGAAAAGTAAGCGGGGCCCACATAAAATTAGGAATTGAATTCTTGATTTTGGAAGAATTCAATTCCGGAATGGGAGGTGGTATTCTAATTCCCTGGAGAATTCACCCATTATGAATTCATCTTTTTTACCCATTATATCCTCACACAATTTTCAAAATTCCAAACATGTCATCTACTTTAACCCAAAAATGAGGACATTTTAGTAATTAATACCACTCCTACCCCAATTCTATATTGTTTAGTAAACACTTCAAAAGGAATTCGGAATCTAACTCCCCTCAATCCATATGGTTTAGTAAATAACTTCATTAGGAATCCGGAATCTAATTCTCCTCAATCCAACTCCTCCTCAATTCAGTTCATCCTTAATTCAATTCCTCCTAATCCAATTACGGATTAGTAAACATGTCATAGATGTATCGATACAACTAGGGACGGCTATGAATAGATCTTTAAATAAAACAGGGCCCATCAAGAACGCGGGACGCAATGAAGCAAGCAAAGAATTGGAGCGCATCTACGGAAATGGTGTAATGACCCGGTCCTAAATAAATTGGTAAATATTATTTTATTCAGATAAAATACCATTTCCCATAGAATAATTTTTTAGGTTTAAATTTGACTGGAAAGGAATTTGGGAATTTCGACTATACCGTTGCTTAGAGGACAGCGAGATGAGTCCGTAGACACGTAGTGGGCTCAAATCGGAGTTGTAACGAGAGAGATACGATCAAAATACCCTCAGTGGCGTAACCGTAATTTTGGTGAAAAGGGTTTGATAAAAATCAGATTTCTCTCTCTCTCTCTCTCTCTCTCTCTCTCTCTCTCTCTCTCTCCCCTTCGCACCCCCTCTTTCTCTCTCCCTGATGGCAGCCCTCTCCCTCTCTCTCTTTGGGCCACGGTTGCGGACGAGACCGGTGCCAAAGGACTGGCTCAGCCCCGGCATCACGACCCCGACATCGGCCCGCTGCTCCAGCCACCAAAAAATGTGGTTTTAGGCCGATTTTTGCTCGAAACTTCACCGGCTTCCTCTCTCCTCAAGCCGCCATTTTAGCGATCAAGGTATGGAAATTCATCCTTTCTTCATGATCTAGCTGATGGTTGGGGTAGGATTTCATCATTTTGAGCCTAGATTGTCTAATTTTCGAATTGGAGTAGGTCCAAGAACAAAAGTGGTTCCAAATAGGGTGTTACACCAAGGGTAGGAGTCTTGAGCTCTAATTTTGAGTTTTTCCCGCGATGGGTTATCGTTTTGGACACCCACGCTCTACCGGTGTGTGTGGCGTCGCGTGGGCACTATAGAAAAAAGGGCATTGTGTCCCGATGTAATCTCCCTGGTCCTCACAAGTGCGTAGGTGAGCTCGGATTTCAATTTGGATACCGTTTGAGTCCCGAACGGATATCGCCTATTGTGCGTTATCCAAGTTCGATAGGTTTGAACTGTTGGATAGTCTTAAATTTATTTTTATGTTAATCTAGACATCCTTAGAATCGTGTAGGATTCGACGGATCGTAAAACGGAGTCTCTAATACTCCGAAAAATGCCAACCCTAGG